ACGGAGGTTAGGATTTCGTATGTTTTTTTAAACACCCCTTTGTATATTTGAAATTAGTTTTTGTATCTTTTGACACCTTAATATTTTTTTAAAATACAATTGTACATACATAAAATATTTATAAAAAAATCTACTTACTGAGATATTACACTTCATGGTGGATAGGTTTTTAAATAGCAAATTAATGAACTTAAACTTTTGAATTATAAAACAGCAACACTCTCATCTAAATATAAATTCTAACTGACCTTTAGGAATCACATGCATCTATAATGTCGTAAACAGAGGTTTTTGCTTATTTAAAATGATTAAAGCGCCATCCGTTATAAAAATTAAAACAAAAACAGATTCACGGAGGATAGAATCAATTTTTGTAACACCTACATAAATGGTTATAAAAATTTCTTTTAATTTTTAACAATATTTTATATTTGATTCGATTGCTTTGGATGTGTTTAATTTACTTAATAAACTGATATATATTATATATTATACTGAAATATTTTTAGTATGCTTTTACTACCTCAGATATTTGAAAACATATAGGTTAACCTAGAAAGAGTAACAGTCAAGGATGATAGGTTTTAGACTTTTAAAACATTGTAAAAAATAATTAATTGCGGTTAAAAATCTGGAACCTGAGTTGATTACAACATTACAGATATTAATCTACTTAATTATGAAAGATCAAAACACAATAAAAGTGTACGTCAAACTCATTTAGATTTATTAAATATTACGGGGTAACACCATCGGGGGACATTTCGTGAGATTCACCCACATATATTATTTATTAAATTATAAAAATTGGTGAATGCAAAAAAATGATACCCTAAAAATTTTTTCCAGCACCTTTTCCGGTATAAGGGTCCCTACCAGATTTTTGATACGGGGCCCCTTCGAGGCTAGCTACGCCACTGATGATAACATTTTTCCAACCAAACCTATAGCATTCAGAAGTCCCTAAAACTGTTAGGTAATACAGGGCGTTTCAAAATAAGATGCTGAACCTTAAGGGTGTGAATCCTTAGTTGATTTTAAGAAAAAAAGTTCAAATAAACCTATAAAATTAAGAGGTTTAGGTCATATATGACCTAAACCTCTTAATTTTTGAGTTACAGGGTAAGTATTAAGAAAAAAATCGTTTTTTTATCATAACTTTAATTACTTCCTAGATATTTTTATAAAATTTGGCACACGCCTTCTAAGCATTAACAGTAAGTTTTTGATGTAGAAGATTTTTTATTTTTTTTACCAGTGGCGTCCGTACAGGAATTTTTAAATCAACATTATAGAAATCGCTGGATAGGGCGCGGAGGAACACAATCGTGGCCACCTAGATCGCCAGACCTAAACGGTCTAGATTTTTCCTATGGGGACATCTTAAGGCGTTGGTTTACAGCACCCCAATAAATACCGAGGAGGAGTTGAGAAACCGCATAATAGTTTGTTGTGACACTATCAGAAATACTCCAGGAATTTTTCTAAGGGTCGAAACTCAATGAGGAGAAGAGCTGAAGCATGCATACTTGCAGGTGGTGGCCACTTTCAGCTAATCTAAATTATTTTTGTTTTTGTTTACGTTATTTAATGTTAGTTCTTTTAAAATTATTTTATAATTAAATTTAATTTTAATGTTTATTTAATCATGGCATTGTTTTCTCAATATGCGCATTAAATGCTTTTTATTTTTTTCATCGAAAACCGTTAGCGTACGAAAAATGGTCAAGAAATCAAATTTGCCCTAAAATGAATGGGGATTTAAAAAATAATTTTTATTTTGAAAAATAGCAGTGGCGTGCATAATATTTTTCCAAAAATATCTAGACCACATCCTGTACGGACGCCACTGGTAAAAAAAATAAAAAATATTCTACATCAAAAACTTACTGTTAATGCTTAGAAGGCGTGTGCCAAATTTTATAAAAATATCTAGGAAATTATTAAAGTTATGATAAAAAAATGATTTTTTTTTAAACTTTAACACCCTGAAACTCAAAAATTAAGAGGTTTAGGTCATAGGTTTATTTGAACTTTTTTCCTTAAAATTAACTAAGGATTCACACCCTTAAAGTTCAGGATTTTCTGTATCTATTTTTCTATCCGTTAGTTTTATTAGTTAGTTTAATTTTCAATCCATTCTAAAAGAAAAAGTATAGTATATAACTTTAGTTATAAGCAGAAATAACACACCAGTTGTATTTCCAACACGATCGTGTGTTTTAGCTTAACTATCGTTATGGATAGTATACTATTATTATGTATTTTACAAAATCATTCTTTATAAAACCTCTTGCGTGTTTAAAATAAGATTCCTATAAAAAAAATTTTAATCAAATGTACAGAAATTAAGTAAACTTAAAAATGCTTCAGGAGAAGTTTTCTTTATTATTTTATAAGAAAAAAATTCTAAATTTGCATGGCTCTAGATTCTAGGAGATTACGGATTAAAAGGATTATTTTTAAAAAAATTCTCAGAAATGTGTTTTGGAAAAGATTTCCACAAATCCCAGTTCCATAAAAAATCACCAGATCTGGGTAAAAATCCCCAGACCTTGCAATAATGGGCACTATTCTCTAACATTTGAACTATTTTTGAAACTTTTGAAGTACAATGCCTGATCGTATATCTAGATTCTATTAAATATTACTTTTTAAAGTACATATTTATTTATTTTATTTAAAATAAAGAACTTGGAAGTTTTTACTGAACAAAATCAAATAAAAGTATAAAAATACAACTTTAAAAAAATAATAAATCACAATCACGATAATCACACACAAGCAATCACTCAAAAAATCAGATTTTCCTGAACGACACTTTCACTAGAATTACACAGTTCAACAGCAAAAAAAAAGATGGGGTTCAGAATTAACTGGTAGTAAATTGTTGTCATAACAATAAATTAAAAAGAAATAATAAAAAATAAAACAAAAATTTAAACTAATGTACTAAATGAGGAGCCTCCGTGCAAAACCGGCTATATCCACTTTAATAAAATGTTGGGAAATGGCAAAAACTCTCGGTTTCCTGGCCTTTACAGATAAAAGAAAAAGCAAACTTAAGTTTTGTGGGCTTTGTGGTACTTGATTTATAAGACATACTTTCGTTTTCAAAAACTTTATATTAAGGCCAAAATTTTAAAAAATGTTTTGTATATAGCCGGTTTTGCTCAAAAACCGAATAAAATGTGAAAAAAACCTTTATTATTAAAAAATAATAACAAAATAAATTTAGTGCAAACATGAAAAAACAGAACAAATTTTAGTATGCATGCTCATCATCATTAATATTTATTGGATATAGCCGGGTTTGCTATAAAAACGTAGATTTGGCCGGTTTTGCTCCTAAAGCTACCTTTTAAATGTGATTTTTACATGGATATAGTCGGATTTAAACAAAATTATCTTGGTTGTCGATAGAAATGAACCCAAAGATGCGAAATCATAAAAAAAACAAAAACTGAATAAAATGGATTTAGCCGGTTTTGCACGGATGCTCCTCATTTGCTCCATGCACATCTTGACCTGTTCGAAAATCAGCTGTCCACCGAATCAGAAGAGCATCAAACAATAATGGAAATGGAAAATCGTTATAGAGGAAAGAGGTTTGATTCGATGTTGGCAGATTTTTGTTGGTCTATGGCAATGGAAATTTTGGCATAAAATTATAAATAAAATTTGTTATATCTTTTATGTTGATTCATACCATTTGTTAAAAAGAATATGTTTTTAATAATTAATATAGTAATAATTACCATAATTATTATTATGGTAGAAGCAAAAGAACTAAGAAATTGCACTACAACATATTAAATCCAGAAAAAGGTTCAATTTTTTTAAAAAAATTGCATTTTATTGTTCTTATTATTTTTTTATTAAATTATTTTTTTCTTTATTTGATTGTTATAAAACAATATACAAAACCAATAATTATCTTTTATGTACTAATTATTTATTATTTTACGATATTTCGGGATCCAGAATTACTAAAACTTTAAATTGATATTAAAAAAAAACCAGAATCAATCTAAACATTCTGTAAACGCTATAATTCATGATTTTGATTGTAGAAACCGAAAATACTTTCAGAACCCCATCATCTTATTTTTTTCCGAAAATGTTGCACAGTGTTATTAATGAAGTTAAGAAAATGAATAAGGTTTAGTACAGCCAAATATGATTGGTGACGCTCAATAAAAACTTTCAATACTCAGCAGCGATAAATAATTATAATTATAATACAATAACTATTATGAAAACGATTTTAAGTCATAGTACTTCCAATTTTTTATCCCCCTCATAGCCGAAAAAGATCTCTCACAAGGTGCTGAACTTATTGGCATTAAAAAAAACAATTTTAAAAAGTTTTTAATAATTTACATAAGTTTCAATATTGATCTCTTTTTTAAAAATATAACATTATTAAGCCATCTCGATGTTTTATGGTGTTTTTTATGACGATCATTTCAGCTTTCAAAATATCCTGCTGAATTTTACCATTAAAACCAAATTTTATAAAATTGTCGATAGCATTGGTCATTTATTAACTTTCTGAGGAAAATCTTTCTTTTAAATATCCAATCATTGCGTCGAGTACCTATAGCATAATAAATTTGTATGCGCAAAGTATTCTTGGACATTTTAGATTTCTCATTGGTTTTAGAATTATAAATAATAAAAAAAGAAAAAATAATTCATAAAATGTTGGGGGTGCTAATTTTATTTTCGGGGGTGCTTATCCCCCCAAGCCCCCTCCTAACTCCGCCTATGCCTTTACGTATATGATACGTGGAGAACTATAGTTCTTCACGTATCATTCCTAAAGCAACGTACATAAGAAAACATTGAAGTAAACTCAATGTAGTTAAATTAATTTATTATTTTTTATAAAACTTGTTTTAACGAACCTAGTGTGAGAAGAAATAATACAGTAAGTATATTTCGTAATAAAAATCCAAACAAATTTTATAAAATTTATTAAATTTTATAATCAAACTTGGACAAAATCCCCAGGACAAGACGATTCACAATAATTTATATTTTTGTAATTTTCTGAATCTAAAAACTGAAAATAACAATTAAATATAACCTTTAATGTAAAACTTACCAAAAATGACGACTAATTTTCATATTTAAATTTATCTATTTTCCACCTTGTATAGAATATCTTCAACTTTCTATAAAAAATTGGGAATTTCAAAACTTACTTTACAATTTTAATATTCTTAATTTACCAAAATTAAAATAGAAAATGAATATTTGTACATATTAATACATGCTAAAAGAACATCGTACAATAATTCAAGTTCTGAAACAGTCATATTCATTGATGTAACTCTCGAAGCCCTTTTCCATAAACTATAGACTTTTTTCATATTCTCATCTAAAAGAATTAAATAGGGCTAGGGTTGGGAAAATTTCACTTTTTGCTTGTACTTGAAATTTCACTTGAAATTTTCATGACATTTATGAATTTTATTAAAATTTCCTAAATTTCTGAAATTTATTGAAACTTTCAATAAATTTCAATCACTTTAAGCGTAATATATTAATATTAAATAAGCCCACTCGGGGACCATGGCAAATTGCTTCTCTTACCTCCTACCCCTCTGTGGGCCCCTGACCAATAATATAAATAGTAAATACCTATGTTTGCCACAAATTTCTTGAGATTTCCGCTTAAAATATTTTTAAAATTACTAATGAGATTGTGCCACTTTCATTGTTTTATATTTTGTATGTATATTTATTATTTTTATATATTTTACTGAAATTTTACGAAAATTGAAGAAACTTTATCAAAATTTTATGAGCCAAAGACATTTTTTATCCGTTTTCCGATGCAATTATAGCAAAATTAAAAGTTTTAATTAATCATAACTTTAAAAAAAAAATCTGTCTGAATAATAAATAAATAAATAAAGTTTTTATTGCATATTCAGTACAATACAGAACATATAATACAAAATATACAAAATTTTGTATATTTTGTATTATATGTTCCGGTCGATGGCCTTAAGGCCATCGACCGGGGTCCTTCAGCCTCTGTCTGTCTGATTTAATTTACAAATTAAATTGGTAACTGAATGAAATTATTTAAATTAATTTATGCATATAAGTAACAATAATTACTTATAGTGTATTCAAATCCAAGCCGAACTAAACAAAAACGCCCAGACGCTTGATAACTCGTTCTTATTGGTCGATTTGGACTCTGTTGTAAATTATTATTATTATAAGGTCCCAGGGGAGGCCGCATGTGAAATTTATGCGAAATTTTTAGTAAATTGCGAAATTTTCAATGAAATGCCTGAAATTTTCACAGGCAATGTTGAAATTTTGGGATTGAAAATTTCATTTGAAATTTTTTAAAATTTCACTTTTCCAACTAAATGAAATATTTCATGTTTGAAACTTTCAAAGTTGAAATTCCCAACCCTAATCATAGCACAACAGTTTTTTGAGGTGATACTTACCATTAGGTTCATATTCTTCCCGAATATTGGGCTCCGCTTTAATCGGTACACATGCAATCGACTCCAAGGAGGAAACTGGTACGACACTTATCTCGGAAGGCTGTAAGGGCTCTTTGGATCTGTGATACAAAAGCTCGTTTAAAAGTATGGTGAATTGTTCCTTATTTTTCCTGTTTTGATTAATTGTCGATGAAGAACAGTGTTCTATTTGCTCTTCTACAAACGATGATTTAGTACTTTTGATAAAGGGTGCTTCAGAAAACATCGGCCGTGGATCCAAGAACAAGGCAAAAAGTCAGTATACTCATATGTCCGTTTAATATGTAAACTTCCTAGTTATAAATTACAGTCCGCAATTCTTCCTAAAATACGCAATACTCTTGATATAGACCATTTTAAACGGCCTGTTTCAATCAATCAGTCCAGCACGATTTTTTTATTACCAGTTGCATGCAACTAGCAGTAAAAAAATAATACTCTTAAAATACACGATGTTTATTAACAAAACATAAGAACCTAACAAAATTTTATGTTTTTCGGTTGGGATCACGCAAGTTGCCATTGGAATTCAGGCAAGAAAGATTGATGTACACTCAGAGAAATATCATGTCATGAAAAGCATATGAAATGATATTAATTTAAATAATCGGGTAAATTTGATTCAAATAGAAAAAAATGTAGTTTTATATTCATTTACCAACAGTTTTACAATGTTTTTAAACACTTTTAAAGTGTACTCTTTTTAAAATATATATACAAAAAGAAATCTATTTATTTCATTGCCTTTCTCAACGTTATTTTAAAAATATATGTATTATACAATTGTTATACACCTTTTAATTTAATGAGAAACACCAATGACGCCAAAACATATTTGAATCCCTTTGAATTACACTGTGCGACAAATTTTGACCTTACAATTTGAACTGGGATGAAATGTGGAAAAATCGAATCTATGCAACCCCCAAAACTAATCTTTAAAGGGGTTTTGCTAGTTTAGCTCGAATAATGGAGATATACAGGGTGTTTCTTTTAACTTGAGACAGCTCAATATCTCGAGAAATACGCATTTCACGGAAAAATGTCTTAAATAAAAGGTTAATGTGACCAAAGGGGACATTATTTGGTGCTACCACTAGCCACCCCCTACCCCTCCTTAAGGGTGAAACGGGGGGTAACTTTGGAAAGTCAAATGGAATGACCCGATTTTTTTCACAGAGTTTGGTAGTACATAAAAAAATGAATAACTTTTATTTGAAAGTTTTTTTCAATTTATCAACAGATGGCGCTGTAATTCAAAATTTAAGAAAAAGGGGTTTCCTTGTAAAATGTATTATTTGAAACGTTTGAAAAACAAAAATTAACATTAAATCAACAATAGTCGGCTCTGAAAACAATTTATAACAAATGTTCGAAATGTCGTCCTTCCATTTCGACACCAAGTGGAGCACCAGCGTCCCTGGTCGGTAAACGTTTGGTGCGGTACCTTAAGCGAACGATTAATCGGACCCTTCTTTATTGACGGTGCATTAAATGGCGAAAAGTACCGGAATTTTCTAGAAAACGATCCGACGGACCTTTTGGAGGATGTACCACTAGCACGGCTCCAAAACATGTGGTACCAGCAAGATGGTTGTCCTGCACATTATTCGACAATTGCTAGAGAGGTGTTGGATCGGGAGTTCAATGGCCGGTGCACCGCGGTGGATCGGTAGACGTGGTCCAGTAATTTGGCCTGCTCGATCACCTGATCTTACGCCACCAGACTTCTTCCAGTGGGGTTACTTGAAAGAAAAAGTTTACGCTGCAATTCCTACAACTTGGGAAGACATGGTGGAGCGGATCAGGAACGCCTGTGCGGCGATACCGCCCGATATGTTGGCGCGTTGTGTGCCAGAATTCATTACCCGCATTCAAAAATGTGTTGAAATGGAATGAGGACATTTGTTATAAATTGTTTTCATAGCCGACTATTGTTGTTAATGTTAATTTTTGTTTTTCAAACGTTTCAAATAATACATTTTACAAGGAAACTCATTTTTCTTAAATTTTGAATTACAGCGCCATCTGTTGATAAATTGAAAAAAGTTTTAAATAAAAGTTATTTATTTTTTTATGTACTACCAAACTCTGTGTAAAAAATCGGGTCATTCCATTTGACTTTCCAAAGTTACCCCCCGTTTCACCCTTAAGGAGGAGTAGGGGGTGGCTAGCGGTAGCACCAAATAATGTCCCCTTTAGTCACATTAACCTTTTATTTAAGACATTTTTCCGTGAAATGTGTATTTCTCGAGATATTGAGCTGTCTCAAGTTAAAAGAAACACCCTGTACATATATATATGTATATCTCCATTATTCGAGCTAAACTGGTAAAACCCCTTAAAGGATTTGTTTTGGGGGTTGCCTAGATTCGATTTTTTCAGATTTGATCCCAGTTCATTTTTTGTGTTGCACAGTGTTATTAGGGATTCAAATATGTTTTGGCGTCATTGGTGTTTCCCATTAAATTAATAGGTGCATAACAATTGTATAATACATATCTTTTTGAAACAACTTTGAGAAAGGCAATGAAATAAATGGATTTCTTTTTGTATATGTATTTTAAAGAGGGTACACTTTAAAAGTGTTTCAAAACATTGTAAAACTGTTGGTAAATGAATGTAAAACTAAAATTTTTTCTATTTGAATTAATTTTACCCGATTATTTAAATTAATATAATTTCATATGCTTTTCATAACTTGATATTTCTCTGAGTGTAAGAAGAAATACGGACTGTAATACTTGCTTTAGACCACAAAAAGTTGATTTAAGTAAACTGACCAGGGGTGTGCAAATAGTGTTCAGTTAATATTAATAATATAATATTTTTGCTAAATACCTAATATGCTTACATTGTCAAATATCTACTCTCTAAAAATGAAACAGTGGATTTTCACTGATTGACAGTGCATATTAACTATTTGCCGCAGTGATAAGTATACCACTAGCAATTAGTGAATACTCACTTTTTCATGTAGCGATTTCTTTGCACTAATTTATTTAGTGAAAATTACACTGTACAAATTAGTGAAATAGCTTTATTAGTTATGATAACTAAGTTCAAAAAAGTTAAAGTTTCACTATTTTATGTCGAGAGTTCCGGAAAAGTAGTGATAATAAAAAACACTAATTTGGAGAAGTTAAAATTTCACTAATTTATATTGAAAAACACTAATTTTACAGTGATTAATAACTCACTGACGGAAATAGTGAAAATTTCACTGTTTCACTTTTAGAGAGTACAGAGTAGTTTTTTAGTTTGGAGTCTATACAAACTCCTAAGAATCTCACCTTGAAGACCAATGTCATGCTCCCCATTCAATAATAAATTATTGCTTACTAAGCAATGCTTAGGAACCAGTTTTTGGCCCTTGAATCTCCATGGCCTGTCTCTTAAGAACCTCCAAATCTCTGTGCCTCACCGAGATTGTTATGTCGTCTGCCAATAGGACATGACTTATCTTTGCTTGTTGTTAAAGCAAGTTATTGATAAAGATTAAAAACAATATGGGACCAGGTACGGAGCCCTGTAGCACCCCTATTGTTGCGCAGTAAATAATTTGAATTTCAAGTAATACAATCACAGGCAAAATAATCGATCCACACAAATTTTCGATGAATTTCAATCGCAAATAACTTTTTTAGATAATTGCAGAAACACTCACATTTTAAATAATTACTAAAAAATGGATGTACGTTTATAATATACAGGTTTAAACAAAAATAAGTTTTTTATCATAACTTTAAGACACTCTGTAGAGTGGCTAAACCGTATATTGTTCTATATTAAGTTTTAATTATCAACTCACATCTATTCTTAACAATTTTGTTTTTGATTCACCTCGATATATTTATTTTTGTGAAAAATATGGATTTAAAAAAAACATTGCAATTTCCAGTATTTTTTCTGTACGAAGAACTAAGGTTGCTATGGTCCATCCATAGGCTATGGAGGATGACAGTGACAGTTTTGTTGAATCATCCCATACTTGGACATGTCAAAAGCTATCAAATTGTTTTTTGCAAATTAATGTTTTACTTTCGAGATGTCTTCTTACTTTTAAAAATGGATATGTCTCCGACTGATGTTGCCAGAGCCATTGATTTAATTCAGGATAGACGGTCACAGTATTACGTGGCAAGTGTTTTAAACGTCACAAGAAGTAAAGTACAAACGGCAACATCAGTCGGAGACATATCCATTTTTAAAATTAAGAAAACACCACAAAATTAACACATTAATTTACAAAACACAATTTGATAGCTTTTGAAAGCCGTATATAACATCTCCAAGTATGGGATGATTCAACAAAACTGTCACTGTCATCCTCTATAGCTTATGGATGGACCATAGCAACCTTAGTTCTTCGTACAGAAAAAATATTGGAAATTGCAATGTTTTTTTTTAAATTCATATTTTCCAAAAAAATAATTATATCAAGGTGAACCAAAAACAAAACTGTTAAAAATATATGTGACTTGATAATTAAAACTTAATTCAGAACAATATACGGTTTTGCCACTCTACAGAGTGTCTTAAACTTATGGTAAAAAACATATTTCTTTTAAACCTGTATATTATGAACGTAGGTCTATTTTTTAGTAATTTTTAAAATGTGAGCGATTCTCCATTAATTTATCTACAATATTCTTTAATACTTGTTTAAATCCGAAATCAATTAAGAAAATTTATTTGCGATTAAAATTCATCGACAATTTAAGTGGATCGATTATTTTGCCTGTGAGTGTAGTAGTTTCAAGAAAATAAATAATAATAAATGTATATTTTTTTTTAATATATTTAATATCCCGGAACTCACACCACAGAGAAAAAGAGAAACGTTGTTCTAAATCTTAATCATTTAAATTTGATGATCATTGTTTTACATTTTCCTAAATTAATTTCCATCTGCATTCCTTGTTTCTATTTATTTTACATAAATATTTGTAAATTCTTTTAACTTTTGGTAAGTGTCTGCTATTAAAACCATATCAACATATACTGCCGTCCTGCTTTAAAAAGTGGGTATTGAAGTCTAACCGAGAAATTGCAAAACGTGTTTTTTTATAAATGCAAAAACAAATGTATGCAGATACTGTATTTTAACAGGACAAAAGCGCTGACAATGTCGAGTTTCCTCCCCTTCCCAACTTGGGTATCTACAAATTTGTACTTTTTATTCCTATTAAATTCTTTTAAAAAGTCTGATGCGAACTTCCAAATGAAAATTTCTACGGATTACATGCCAAAATATCTTAAATTATATAAACTGCGCAACACTCAATGTGTCGCGACCAAAAAGTTCGTCCTTTTTCAAAACGGCATAACTTTTTTGTTTCTTGAACGATTTCTGTGATGTCTGCTAAGCCCATCCTCTGGCAATTTATGCTATAGATATTAAGCCCACGTTCTTCAAGTAAATTTTCTACAGGGTGATATGTAAAACGGTGAAAAATTTCAATAAAGCCCCGTTAGAAAAAAGAAATATTTTTTCTCGTTTTTACTTTGAAATAATGAAGTATTATATCTTACCTTGAAAAGGTTTTCAAAATTTTCGAATTGGAATCTTATATTCGTTGCTACAGCAACGAAAATCAGATTTTTTTTTACAAAAGAGTACATTTAAGGATTTTTGGTAGGCAATACACTCAGTCTTTTTAAGAACAAGAAAATAAGATGGTGAAAGATTGTTCCGTGAATAATTCTGAAAAAGCGACAAGCAACAAACTTCCATTATTTTTAGAGGTGTCTAAGTAAAGACCACTTTTTCAAAATGACATTTTGGTAAAAATTTTCGAAAACTAAACCTGAACCGATATTTACGTTCGCGACATGTTTTCTTTATAATTTTGACCTCCTGATTGTGATTCAGTTGTCAAATTTAAGTTTCAGATAAAACCAAAATCACCAAGAATCAAAATTCACACAAATCACACAATTCCCGGCTGTTAAATGTCCTAATAAAACGAAAAAAAATAATATTGGCGTTGCTAAGATTTCAATTCGAAAAATTTGAAAAACGTTTCAAGGTAACACATAATAACTTCATTATATTAAAATAAAAACGAGAAAAAATTACTTTTTTACAAATGAGGCTTGGATGAAGTTATTGAAATTTTTCACTGTTTAACATATCACCCCTTAAGCTTAATTTTCATGTATCCGTTTGTACGTTTTTCAATAAAATCGTCCGATAAGAAATGTTCTAATTTTCATGCATCCGTTTTTTAATGACGTTTAACGGATTGATTTGGCAACAAATAATAATTAAGGGTCAGAATATTCACTTTACTAAAACCTAATACTTAATTGTCATAGTTACAATTATGTCAACAATTGTAACTTTAACAGTTAGCTGTCTAATAAATTTAAAGATAGGTAAATATAACATATGTATAAAAAGAATATACTAGCTTTAATTTACATTAAAATGTATAGTTTTAAAAAGCAGGTCCTTTTAGTTCTGGTTTTAATATTTTATTGTTTGTCTTTTCTTTTTTTCTGTTATTTTTATTAAATAAAAACATAAAAGTAGAACATTATTCACATAACGAACGTTATATTTCCGTTTTACCATCTTATTAAAAGAATATTAAAAGATTTGAAAATAAAGTATCTTAAAATAACGTTAGGCGTCAAAAACAGATGTGTAGTGACAGATTAGTTAAAATTATTTTAACTTTCTCCGTCAGACGTACGAAGTTAAAACTTGACGGACCGAAAAAATGTCATAATTTTTGAATTATAATTGGATCAATAAGAGCGCTCCCGGATGAACGGACTAACGGACAAACGGATACATGAAAATTAAGCTTTAGGAAATTTACTTGACGAACCGTGAGCTTCATATCTATATCATGAATTACCAGAGGATGAGGCTAGCAGACAACACAGACCAAAATGAAATCGTTCAAGAAACAAAAAAGTTATGTCGTTTTGAAAAAGAACGAACTTTTTGGTCGCGACACATTGAGTGGTGCGCAGTTTAGATAAAATATTTAAATTTTTTTAATATTTAAGAATTTCACAATAAATTTGTAATGCTTTTAGCATTCCGAACTAATAAAATAAGTTAAAATATTCCCATGATGATAAAAAATGTTTTGTTAATTATTATAATAATTAGTTATTATTGGAAATGTTTAATATACTAATATTTGAATCATTCAAATAATTCCTAAATTCTCTAAAATTTGCACACCCCTGAAACTACAATTTTAAAGCATGGAGTTTTTATGATTTATTCTTATATTATTCTTACACACCAAGGCACATGTTTTTTGAAGCACCCTGTCTAATTCGTTTGTACTTTTAATTTCGTGTTCAAGACTCGATCTAAAATATTGAGCGTTCGGTTTGATACCCGCAAACATGTTTTCGCACAGTTTGATGCGTTTGCTGACCATCGCCTCGTTATCGGAAAATTCCCTTTTTCTTTTTCCTTTAAAGTTTAGACAGTTAGACAAAGTATTATATATTTTGAGTAGAAAATCACCAGCCACAACATTCGGTTGGATTTGCCGTGTTTTGTTTCGCGAACTTTTTCTAGAAAGTCTCGAGTTCATATCGAAAGATAACCCTGAAAATTCGAAAACATCGTCATGGTTTAGGATACAATTGCGAAAACGTACTTTTGATTGGCTTGGGTTCCATCATGTAATGTCGATCTAAAACTGTGGACAAACTAACAATGTTGGAATCGAAGAATAGCGGAGTAAAGAATTTTTCCTTTTCTACAAAATTTGGATGCTCAATTTTCAATCCAATGTTACTACTGTTGTGGAAAACTTCGTGTAACTAAAATATGCCAAGCAATTTAGTTTAAAATACCATACAGGTAGGGGTGTCAATCCCGAGCCCATTTTCCAATCCCGGGCCTTCCGGGACCAAAGGTAACTTATCCCGGGATCCCGGGATCCCGGGATCCCGGAATCAGTCCCGAAAAAATATATATCATTAATTTTAAAACCAATTTAAAAGAAAACAACAAACAAACTAACGAACGATATCTTTCGGACTTCACACTAGTCGGAAGAATGGTTTTCAAGAATTCGTAGGCACATTGTACCCAGGTTTACCCCCATTATAAAATAATTCCATTTCTTTTATCAATCGGGCCTTGGTGAGTTCCAATTGGGGCTGTAACTTACATTGAAATTATCAAATTTGTGACATTTTTTCAGGTTTGACGTTTGAAATATGTTATATTATAGGTTATGTACATAAATTTATTCTACAGTGACCTGTAACTTTACATTTTCTTTGGTGATTTTATGCTATAGATGGAACCACTCTTGCTATGTAATTTCAATGTATTTTCATTATTGAACGGCGGTGTATAATAATTTGACTTGAACTGAGTAAAAAAATGAAGTGTTTACATTTATGCTTATGAGTATTATAATATGAAAAATGTCATACGCATTTAAAAGTCTATTTTATTCTTTGTAACTTATTACTAAGATCCCGGGATTGGGACTTTTAATCCCGGGATTTTCGGGATGGGATTTTTTAAGGGATCCCGGGACCCCGGGATTTCGGGATCCCGGGATTGACACCCCTACATACAGGGTATACAAAATTTCAAATTCTGATATATCACTTTAATTATGGCAAATTGACTAATCATCGGGGTCTTGATGGTGATGTTACAGAAAATGCCACACTATTTAAGTTCGAGTCATATCTTGTATAAACTCACAAGAAAATTCAAACAAACTCAATAATGGAAACATTTCACCACACCTTAAATTTTGTGAATATAATTTTGGGCTTGGATATACACAAAAATAAAAGTTAAAAATCATATTATAACTAATTAGTAATTACCACAGACCTGTGGTAATTACCGAAAAATTAATTATTTTAGTTATAAATTATCTGCAATATGGTTAATTTTTTTGCTTAATTTCTCAAATAACTTAAATAAGCTGTACAAGATATTAAAGTGAAACTTTGCATATATACAGTGTGACCCATTTGTTTGCGACTCACCCCTGGAAATCTTGATAAACTGTATTTTTGAAGCAAAAAACGCCATATTTTTACAAAATACAAGGCCTACTATGCCAGTTTTTAAGAGAAAGTTTTTAAGAATTCATATTAGCGATTTTTTTAAACAAAGTCTAAGCACGGCACTTGATTCACCACCCCTCAAAACGTCCCTATACTAAATTTTATTGAAAAATTTTAAGTAGAAAAATGCACAATAATGACTACAAAAATTTATTTTGTCAAGTTATCCATGAACAAAACATTGAAAAAAATTAAACTAATAGTAACATGGTACTATTAGTACTATTATCTTTTTTTTCAAAAATACAATTTATCAAGATCTACTAAACTAAAACAAATACGGTTAAAATCGCACCATAAATAAAGATTTTACAGGGGTGAGACGCAAACAAATGGGTTACACTGTATATTCCTATAGGAATAACTTTCTAAGCTTTTTTTTTTAAAAAATGTTGGTAATCAAAATTTTTATACCTTATATTGTTTTTGCATAAGCATTGCATTTGCTAAAAAAAATTCGATGTGTTAATCAGGACCACATCTTTTAATTTTATCTTGGCTTTCCGACTAAATAGGCCAGGTGCCACATGTCAAAAATTAGGAGGAAGAGATTTCAAAAATTGAAACCAGATTTTAGAAATGGGCCATTTTGACATCTGCCTCGGCTCATTTTTGACAAATGTCACCGGTTGTTTCTAGAATTCTAGATTTAAAAAAAAAACGGGCAGTTTTAATTATTTTTTTTTCAGCTTCTGTAAGTAGTGGTAAAGACGTTACAACATATAAAAATTTCAAACATGTGGTCCTGATTAAACATGTAAGAATTTTTTTTAGCAAATGCAATGCTCGTGCAAAAACAATAGAATATAAACAAATTCCAAATATTTTTTTTAAATCGGCCCCTGAAAACAAATTTTCAATTCTATAACTTGTTCAGAAAAAAAATGATGAATATTGCGAAAAATTTAAAAATTAAAATATTTATTTTCTCGGTTATTAATTATCGTAGAACGTTCAAAAAAGAAATAGTTTTCCTTTTATTAAGGTATGACAGAGAATAGATTTTTTCCAAGTCGTGTTACCCACTATTATATACCATACCGTATACCATTAAGATATTTAAGCAAAGGTTACTGTATTAAAATCATTTGAAGTTACATCAAGACCCCGATTATATTATAAAAAACATTAGCGTACATGGATCATTAAACTTTTTAGCCCTACCTTTAAAAAATAAATATATCACATTTTCATATATTGTGACTTATTTAGGCAAACTAAAGGTAATTTTAAAGTTTCGCTTAAAGAGTCTCTTTGTAAGTTTGTAAGCACTATAGTGCGATAGTAGTGACAAAAGAGACGTGTGACGAAGGAGACATTTTTCAAAATAAAAAAAATCGATTTTCCAACTGACAAACTTCCAGCTCTCCCGTAAAGATTCCTTTACAAAGCTTGACACGTAAATAACTATTAAGTTCTTATGTATGAATTTAGTTCTATATTAGCTATCTCAATTTATTATTTTTTTAATAAAAAATGTTAGAGAGCCTTAATAGTATAATGACCCACATATCGTACATATTTTAAAATTATAAAAAAATACTAACCTTTGGAGGAATTTTACTTTTGAAAGTGGCTATGGTTAAAATAGGCAAACCGGCATGTAAATCCTCCATTGAAGCTATGAAACTGATTTGATCAGATTCCTCAAGAAACGACCACCATTCATCAACTCTCGATAAAACCAAAAGAGATGGGAAATTATTTTGCAGGGCTAGATCTTTCTAGAAAATATTATTTTTTTAACAGATTATTTATTGGTAGGGGTCCAAATACATCTCCAAACGATTGCAAATCCAAAATATGAACGGGAAGGTGCTCGAAATGGTGCAGCAAAGCTGGTATTAAATGTGTTGACAATCCTTCGTTGTTTGTGCCATATAAAAGTATTCGTCCTGCGTATCTGTACTCTCCTATGACATATCTTAAAAAAATATTTATTTCAGAAATAATTTTAACCAATATTGACTATTATACAGTGTGACCCATTTGTTTGCGACTCATCTTTATTTATTGTGAGATTTTAACTGGATTTGTTTAAAGTGTAGATCTTGATAAACTGCATTTTTTTAACCATCTGTCAATTTATAGGAATTCATATTAGCTATTTAAAAGAAAAACTAAAGTTTATATATGCAACTGGATTCACCACCCCTCAAAAGGACCCTTTACTAAATTTAATTGAATACTTTTAAGAAGAAACGATTTTGTAGCCAATTAAAAATGAACTATGTTTTTACAAAAATTTATTCTTTTAAGTTATCCATGAAAAAAATATTAAAATAATAGTAATATTGGTATAAATATTCTTATGCTTGGAAACAAAAATAGAGAATCCAACAAATTTTCTACAACTATATTTTCGTTTTCGGTGACGAAATTTAATTGTAAAGAATTTTTTTGTTTCATTGCTATTTTAAGTTTCTATTGCGTTTTTTATTTGTTAAAACTATAACTATAATATTTATACCATGTTACTATTAATTTAATTTTATTTCAATGTTTTTTTCATGGATAACTTGACAGAATACATTTTTGTAAATAGTAGGTAATTATCGTGCATTTGTAATTTAGCTACAAAATCGTTCCTACTTAAAATTTTTAAATAAAATTTAGTATGGGGTAGTTTTGTGAATCCAGTGCCGTGCATAGTTTTTTTTAAATTATTATTTTTTGCTCCGGTTAAATCCGGTTAAAATCGCACACAAAATAAAGATTTTACAGGGGTGAGTCGCAAACAAATGGGTCAAACTGTATGTATAACTCAAACATAGCAAAATTGTTCTAATAAAATTTAATTTAAACCATTGTAAACATTCCAATTTAATCCTCTTCGACAGAGAAGTTAATAAGTAAAATTAATAGGTATTATAGTATTATTAAAAAATAGACTTTTAAAATTGGTTAAAAATAATAATTGCGTTTATATATGGGGCATTCCACGCCAAAAAGTTTTTTTTTCATTTCTCCATTTTTTTTGTATTTTTTAGTACTCCTTGAAAAAGCTTTCTCAGTAAATTTTGAGATTTTTTTGATCACGGGTTCAAATGATATCAAATTTTCAAAAAAACTGCTTTTTTTTAGTTTTTCGCTCATATATAACTTCTTAAAAAATGCTCCAAATCAAAATGTTCATTCTATATAAAATTTTCGTTTTTAAATGTACTTTTCGAAAAATAATATATTGAAAATATTTAAAGCGTTTTAAGTCAAGATTTTTGAGTTTTAAAGTTAAAATCGTGTTTTTAAAAATGTGTCTTCTTCGATTTTCGCGAAAAATTTTTATTTCCAACTTCTATCTATTCAACAACTATTCAGCCTGGTCCGGTAGTGGGCCTTCCATAATTACTATTTTTTTCGAAACTTATAATAATTTTTACAGAATTTTTTTTTTAATTTTAAAAAATCGAAAAAAAAATAGTTTGAAACCATCCGATTTGGCGTGGAATGCCCCATATACATGCATGTATACACATAAAATAATAAGTAACCTAAATTAAAAATTATTTTTAGATTGTGATAACGTATTTATTTTTATATTTAAGTTACAGTTTTGGCGGATGCGCCGGTTTATTTTGTTTTATTTATATTTATTTTTTATGAATATTTTTTTTACTTAAAGAGCTATAAGGTCGGTCAAATTACAGAATAGTTGCGTAATTATAAGGCTATTTAAATGAAATTTGATAAAAATCCAGCGGTTCTCAAAATATTTGAAAAAAACTAAAAACCTTTTAAAACCAAAAATTGTTATAATTTCGTTACTTCTGAAAATTTTGAAAAAAGTAAGTTTTACATGTAAGCATACGCAATAGGTAAGTATACTACATTTTCATCCAATTTCTTCTCTACTAAATTTTGATTTAACATCATCATGTTTTGTTTTTATAATGACCGCCATAACTTATGTTGTTTGATACACACGTTGGATTCCTTGAGTTTTTTTTCTAACTTACCCTATAAAATTTAACTCAAAAATCTAGTAAGCAAAAAAATCACAAATTGGTTAAAAATGTATACAGGGTGTCCCATAACTAATGGTACACAGTAAAACTGTAGATTCCTTGGGTAAAAAAAATACGATTAGACCAAACTTAGCTTAGTTCAAAAGTTGACAATAACCGAGATACAAGGTGTCCCAGTAATTATTTAATTTTCGATTTTCCTAATTAACTTGTTTATATTTCAATATTTTTGCATAAAATTTTGTGATTAGGGGTTTTTTGGGTCGAGAAATTTGAATTTGTTAATAATTTTGATGTAGATTGTAGAGGGCGCTCTCTACGACGCTCTGGGTACCTAAAAACGAGTGTAACTTTTTCGCGCCTTCGCTTATTTATGTTTTTATTAAAAATATCAATTTTCCCACCATTTTTACGCAAAAAAGATATACCTTGTAAATGTCGATTCGGGGATTTGTTTTCGAAAGTTTTCCATTCCATTTTTATTTGCAAAGGTCAACTTTTCAAAGTAGGCTTCATTTCTATCAAACTGTCATGTGATTTGTCAACTTTATAGTTCTTTTTTAAGTTTTTAAAGAAACTTGTTAAAAGTTAAGTTAAAAATGCCACGACATAATTTATTTTCTAACGAAGAGATGCGAGACATGGTATGCTTATACGCACAAGAAAATTTTAATGGACGAAGAGCACATCGAAGATATATGGAAATGTATCCACATTTAAGGCAGCCAGATTTTAAAATTTTTAGAAACCTTTACCAGAGACTGGGAGAAACAGGATCCTTTCGTCCCAAGCGTAATAGTGGGGGACGCCCGAAGATTATTACACCCGAGCAGGAAGAAGAAATACTAGTTCGCGTGGCTGAGAACCCGGAAATTAGCACAAGACGTATGGCTGCAAATACTCCAGTAAGCAAATCATCCATTTTTAGACCACTTTACGCCTGTTTAGAATTTGTTGGACATTGATCTTCCAGCCAGATTAGGATTTGCCCGTTTTTGTCGTACCCAGAAAAATGCCGACCCAATGTTTTTTAATAAAGTCTTATTCACCGATGAAGCAACTTTACACGGAGAGGTATCTTCAATTTTAGAAATAAACATGCGTGGGATTTAGAAAACCCCCAATTAGTAACCAAACGCCATTTTCAGCATGAGTTTAAAATAAATGTGTGGTGTGGACTTATTGGCAATTACATGTTGGGTCCAGTTGAGCTACCACCAAATTTAAACGGACAGCTATATCTTAATTTTTTGCAAAATCAGCTTGCCGATTATTTGCATGGTCTACCATTAGAGCTAAGAAGAGATATGTTTTTATGCAAGATGGTGCCCCGGCACACTATTCCAGGATTGTTAGAGATTACTTAAATATCGAATTTCCTAACCGCTGGATAGGTCGAGGAAGCCAAATGCCTTGGCCTGCCCGAAGCCCCGACTTTAACCCCCTTGATTTTTGTGTATGGGGATACATGAAATCACTTGTTTATGAAGAGACGATTAATACTAGGGAACAACTATGGCAAAAAATTCAGAATGCAGCGGAATCGTTTCAAAATGAACAACTATTATTTAAAATCAGGCGGTCATTCAATAGACGAGTAGCCAAGTGCATTGAAGTTAACGGCAATCACTTTGAGCAATTATTGTCAAAAGAAAATATTTTCTTTTATTGAGATTTCAAAGTTTTTATAATATTATATTGATAGTTGAAAATTTTTAAATTAATAATAAATTTATAATAGGTGCTCTAAAAATCTCCAATGTAATCTAAATTATTTGTAATTAAATTCTATTCTATTCTATTCGACTAATATTTAATACAACAATGAGTTTTTAAAACGGATGCATTAAATATTGTAAATGCAAAATTTTTGAAAACAAATCCCCGAATCGACATTTACAAAGTATACCTTTTTTACGTAAAAATAATGGGAAAATTGATATTTTTAATAAAAACATAAATAAGCGAAGGCGCGAAAAAGTTACACTCGTTTTTATGTACCCAGAGCGCCGCAGAGAGCGCCCTCTACAATCTACATCAAAATTATTAACAAATTCAAATTTCTCGACCCAAAAAACCCCTAATCACAAAATTTTATGCAAAAATATTGAAATATAAATAAGTTAATTAGGAAAATCGAAAATTAAATATTCACTGGGACACCTTGTATCTCGGTTATTGTCAACTTTTGAACTAAGCTAAGTTTGGTCTAATCGTATATTTTTAACCAAGGAATCTGCATTTTTACTGTGTACCATTAGTTATGGGACACCCTGTATAAATGTGAATGTTCAACAAAGTTAAAACGATTTTTGGTTATGAAAGGTTTTTAGTTTTTTTTTTCTTAATATTTTGAGAACTGCTAGCTTTTGTAACCAGGTAGGCAACCAATACATAGAAGGATACAATTTGGAAGAACAATTAAATAAAACTATTTTGACATTTCATAGACAACTGTCAAAAAGTTAGATATAATATACCCTAAAATGATATTATCATAAAGAGGTACAAAAAGCATAATGTGTTTGTATATGAAATAAATTGATTTGGGTGTGTGAATAGTGGAAAATCACGTCAAAAATTACAGATGACGACCATGTTAATTTCAAATAGCTGCTAAATGCCTTGTTTATTTTGTTTACATAACAACCTTTCTTAGTTTTTTTACGGCCTGTATATCTATTAGGAACCATTTTTAAAAAAATCATTTTTTAGCAATGTTTCATAAAAAAGATAGATTTTGATGCCTATTCACCTCTTAAATTACATACGTTTGAACTGGACCACCATGTAATATAAAAATTATTGTAATTACAATTTTGTACATTGTCCCATGCATATACTAGCAATAAACAATTAAAAAATAAAAAAGCATTTTTTTAGAATTTTATAAATAAAATTGAATGAATCTTGTTGGGGAGATTAGATTAATTGAGTTATAGTTAAGTATGAAGTTGAGTTAATCTATATCAGCTCGTTGATGTTTATATTAAGGACAGTAAAACAAAATGAACTAAAAAACTATAATTTAGGCTAATTACCAATTATTTGCATGATTAAATAAACCATTTTAAATCTTAATACGACTTAATCAATAATTAAATCTAATAAATTATTAAACAATACGTACTTATAATGCTCGTCCAGGAAATGTGGCCAGAGAAATTTCACGCGTCCAATAATGTTGTCTAGTTGCCTTTGGAGAAGTGGCCTAATTACCGAGTTTAAACATCTCATTTTTGAGCCCATTTTAATGGAACATGGCAAGAGAGATTGTCGGGCGTCCATAAAGTCGCACTCTTCAACCTTAAAGAAGTTTATTTTCAAGCGGACTATAAATTAAACTTTACTGTCGTCAAAAGTCGACACTAAAGTAGGTATGGTATAATATATATAGATATATAGTAAAAAAATATAGTATAGTAATTAGTTGGGTGAGTGATTTGAATCAATCATAAAGGTCGACTTCTGTTAGACAGTTCTAACCTCACTTAAATAAATTTATAATTTTAAATTTGAGCTTATCACAAAAAGACTTACTTCTTGGCCTAATGGCGTAAACAACTACCTATTATATACCGTACCTTCATTTGCAAGCTAACCATAGGGAAAATACATTGTAACTGGACCAGATAAGTCTTAGTCAGCACGAAGCGAAAAACGTTGTAGAAATGATTTGGACGCGTGGACGAGTAAGCTAGCATGCGCCGTAACAGTTGACCTTGCTTCATACATCGATGCTTTATTATTGTTTTGTATTTTGTGCGGTGTAAATCTGGTAAAATTTGTTTTAGTACGCATGTCTCGACGACGCATCCAAATTATTTCTGAGAAGGTTCTCGCTTTGTGTTGACTACGACTTATCTGGTCCAGTTACAATGTATTTTCCCTATGGTTAGCTTGAAAATGAAGGTACGGTATAGTAGTCGTAAAGAACTATACCTTTAAACTATCCAACTCTATCTTGACTTTATTTCCCAAATTTTCTATGTTAGGGTAAACGCGTTTCATGCAGCATAACACAGCTTCTGAACACAAAGCTGCCAAATCCGAACCATTAAATCCTGATGTAGCTTCAGCTATGTGAGTTAAAAATTGAATATTTGGTTTACACTTCCAGCTCAGGGTGTGGACCTAAAAAATAGTATAAAACGCATTGCTATTTAAACAGATACTGTTTTTTGATTAAATGATTTATTTTTTCAAACAGAATTCTGGTTTAAACCTACTATATTTTTCCAACTTCAGAATTACACCATTACATACGGTTTTTCCCTTCAAAATTCGTTCGTTCTCGAGAAATCATTACAATTTGATTAATCGTTTCGATCATAAGTTGTAGGTAACTAAACATTTTTCGGAAATTAAAAAAAACTGGAACAATTTATAGACGCTTTTTTCTAATTTAACCTTCAAAAAGGTCTGATTTGAACAATAGGAATTTGGTTAATTTTTTTATAAAAACCTGTGAAGAATAATTAATACTATAAATGCCTCTGTGAGAATTTGTCCCACTATTTTTTTAATTTTTGCCTCGGTGCGAATCAGTCCCACCATTTTCAAATGTTTCCCTCTGTGCGAATTTTCCATGGCATTTTTTAAATTTACGCTACCGTGCGTATTTGTTCTACTATTTTTTAAATTTATCCCAGTGTGCAAATTTGTCCTCCCAATTTTTATTTATGCCGCTGTGCGTGTGGTCCTAACATTTTAAAATGCATCCCTTTGTGCGATTTTTCCTGGCATTTTTTAAATTTACGCCACCGTGCGTATTTGTCCTACTGTTTTTTAAATTTTGTCACTGTGAATTTTTCCTAACATTTTATTAATTTATCCCACTGTGAGAGTTTGCCCTATTTTTTTAATTTTTGCCTCGGTGCGAATTGGTCCTACCATTTTCAAATGTATCCCTCTGTGCGAATTTTTCATGGCATTTTTTAAATTTACGTTACCGTGCGTATTTGTCCTCCTATTTTTTAAATTTTGTCACCGTGTGAATTTTTCCTACCATTTTATTAATTTATCCTAACATTTTAAAATGTATCCCCTTGTGCGAATTTTTCCTGGCATTTTTTAAATTTACGCCACCTTGCGTATTAGCTCTATTTTTTAAATATTGTCATTGTGTGAATTTTCCCTACCATTTTATTAATTTATCCCACTGTGAGAGTTTGTCCTACTATTTTTTAAATTTTTGCCACTGTGCGAATTTGTCCTACCATTTTAAAATTTATCCCTTTGTGTAAATTTTTCGTAGATTTTTTAAATTTACGCCACCGTGCGTATTTGTCCTACTATTTTATTTAATTTTGTCACCGTGTGAATTTTTCCCACCATTTTATTAATGTATCCCACTGTACGAATTTGCCTAACTATTTTTTAAATGCATGGTACTTTGAAAATTGTTCCCACTATTTTTTAGTTTTAAACTACTGTGCGGATGTGTCCTAACATTTTAAAATTTTTGCATGTTAGTGATCATTCAAGTATTACGTATTTTCTGGATCTTTTAGACCCCCCGTAACATTTCGCTTAGCCCCCCTCCCCCTTATTTATTATCTTACACTAGTTAGTAAATTTACTAAATTTTAATAACGTATAATTTTGTTATTTTAAAAGTGTAAATACCTAATTAAGCAAAGTTTTTCGGCTGTGCCGTGGATTGCCTAACTTTTTTTGGAAATCGCGTTAGGCGTCATCCATTAGTTAGGTGAGGTATTTTTCTGATAATTTGGACCCCCCTATCCCTCAAGTAAGATTCTAGCAATGAAACTTTCTTTGCGGACAATGTGATAAACCCCAAAAAAATAAAAAAGATTATTAATTTTGTTTAACAAAATTAAATTATAATGCCTATTATAGGCCTATAATAGGTACCTGCATATTCTTTAAACTCAAAAGTTGACGTTAGATTTTTTTTCGTGAGACGTTGCCTGCGAATATCGATTTATCTTAGACGTGACGTCACTCCCGTCGCGACGCGTCGCCTGCTAAAATTTTACTCTCAACGCGCCAAAAAAAGCATAACTTCAACAAAAGTATAACTTCAAAAACATTAGTTGCATTGTTGAAAGGTGCAATCATATCAATAACCATCAAAGAACTTTCTTTTTTAATAAATAAACTCACCTGTATAATTTCTTTCCTAGCTTCCAACGTAGGAAGAGGAAAATAGAGTTCGCGGTCAAATCTCCCGGGTCTTCGCAAAGCTGGATCGATGGTTTCAATCCTGTTGGTGGCTCCTATCACGATAACTCCCGGTTTGTTGTCCAGACCGTCCATTAAGGCAAGCAAAGTGGCAACGATACTGCTGTGGATGTGGTCGTTTTTTTGTGACCTCGTCGGAGCCAAACCATCTATCTCATCGAAAAATATTATCGATGGTCGACATTTACTCGCCTTAAATAATTAGAAGGGTTTTAGACCAGGGTCGATAATTTTTGAAACAAAAAAAATAACAGTAGGATAAAACCCATTGGAAAAGGAGAAGAATATAATAAAAATGAAAGGAAAAATAAATTACGGGCGATCTGACTTCGGGAAGTGGGAGGGGGGGGTTTAAGGGTAAAAAATGGTTTATCTCGATTTCCGGCAAAACTACAAGTCCTATGGAAAAAAGTTAAATGGCAAAGTCGTAGGTAATAAAAGGATCTACAACTTTTGTAATTACAATTTTTTTACATAACCTCAAAATTTATGTGAAAAATTCAAAAAACCAAGTTTTTGGTTTTTTATTTTTATCTTTTTCAAAAAAAAATTTTTTCCACGAAATTTGGTGAAAACTTACCTTTTTATGTCCCAAATACACTGTAATTTATTTGATTTGAAATATTTATTATTTCGCCTTATTTTGACTTAATATCAAAAAAGCGCCCTAATTTTCAATCGAAAATTCTCGCGTCAAAATATCAGCTTTTTTCAAAAAGTCGGTGTGCTTTTTGTTTGTTGAAATCTCTACTTTCTGATGGTGTAAAAATATACATTACTATGGTAAATGTTCTCAGAAAATGCAAAAAATATTATAATGAATAACGAAAAAAACTCGAATTCGAAAATTTATTTTAATCATTATGTACAATTTCATCAAAAAAATGTGATTGTTGCAATTTTTTTTAGTTAAAAAGTTTATTTATTAAATTCTAATAACATTAATGTAATTTATGTCAGAAAATCTCATAAAATATAAAAATACATGTAAATCATACTATTGAATTTAGATACCTACTTCATTCTGATTACGTTATTCATTATAATATTTTTTGTATTTTCTGAGAACATTTACCATAGTAATGTATATTTTTTTTTACACCATCAGAAAGTAGAGTTCATCGAACAAAAAGCACACCTACTTTTTGAAAAAAGCTGATATTTTGACGCGAGAATTAGGGTGCTTTTTTGATATTACATGTATTGTATGATATTATTGTATGTCAAAATAAGGCGAAATAATAAATATTTCAAATCAAATAAATTACAGTGTATTTGGGACATAAAAAGGTAAGTTTTCACCAAATTTTGTGGAAAAAAATTTTTTTTTTGAAAAAGATAAAAATAAAAAACCAAAAACTTGGTTTTTTGAATTTTTCACATAAATTTTGAGGTTATGTGAAAAAATTGTAAATACAAAAGTTGTAGATCTTTTTATTACCTACAACTTTGACATTTAACTTTTTTCCATAGGACTTGTAGTTTTGCCGGAAATCGAGATAAACTATTTTTTACCCTTAAAACCCCCCCTCCCACTTCCCGAACTCAGATCGCCCGTAATTTATTTTTTCTTTAATTTTTATTATATTCCCCTCCTTTTCCAATGGGTTTCATCCTACTGTTATTTTTTTTCTCTTTTACCACTTTTAAAAGGCTTCTGCACTGGTCTATTTGGATTTTTGAGTTAATTGCCTAAAACATTGAAAATACCTTTTCAAAAAGTTCGCGTAACTTTTTCTCCGATTCCCCAACCCATTTGTCCAAGACATCGGCTCCTTTTCTTTGAAAAAAGTTAACTTTTCCTACACCTTCTCTATTCAATTCGGTCGCTAAGGCTCCAGCCACCAAAGTCTTACCGGTTCCTTAAAAAAACTTTTTCAAAAATAAAACTTTTTTTTTTTGTTCAAATTACCTGGTGGTCCATAAAACAACACCCCTCTAGGCGCCCTTATATTGAAATATTCGAAGACATTCCCATGCAGTAAGGGAACTATAAATATGTCTCTTAAAGTTTTTAAATGATTACTGAGTCCCCCAATTTTCGAGAAATCCGTACTTTCCTTAACAGTTCTTGTCCCAATTTTATTTTGCACTTTATTCTGATTTAAAAGAGACATGATAATTTAGGAATTTCACCGAAAAAATGATTTCATAACATTCGATTTTGAAAGTGACAGACTTGAATTCTGTCTGACAAAGACATGTCAATATATTTAATAAAAATGCAAGTTATTAAAAAAGAAAAGAAAGTTTTTGGATAGCATAAATATATAACAATTAAATGCTATCCAATAAATAACTTTTAATTAATCCGGCCAATTGTTTGCACACATTTATTTTTGTAATTTTCCACTATTTGCTTAAATACCTTTAAATAGAAATTTTGAAATGCGCCAGAAACTTAATTTGAATCAGTAATTTGATTCGGCGCGCATTTGCACGCATGCGCTTGATCAATTCAATGACGCTACCTAACCTATTGCTGTGACGCCATATTATTTTGTTGATATTGACGTGTGGAGCGGCTTTCTGTTTAATTTTGTACATAGTAATAATTTAAAGTAAGTACACATTTACAATTTATTGCCTCTAGATAATAGTTATACTAATTGAACATTTCGCTGCAGGCCTTTTAATTTCCGAGATGGGCGTAACTGTTGAAACTATTTCTCCCGGTGATGGTAAGTCTTTAATTTTTGCATTAATTATTGATTAAAACGTGGCGAATTTGTATTTTCTGCATCTGCATGGTTAATTGTACGGATTTGATGTGGTTAGGGCTGGACTTTTTGAAAAAAATCAATATTTAAGGCAATGCGGTATTTCACGCGTGACCTTGAGGATGATATTAAAAAGTGTTAAAATATGAATTTTTATCGTTAATTTTAATATAAAGAAACCCAAATAATACGTTTCAGTGTTTGCTTAAGAATATTTTTATTAAAAAAAGCTTATAGGTAGGTATTTTTTAAACAAAAAGTTTAATTTATTTTACCTAGAAAATGTCTGTAGGTAGGTAGGTACCTACCTTGTAAAGAAAATTATTCAAATTTTTGAATTACTTAAGCTTCATAATATTTGTAATTGTTTATGAACAATCTTGATTCCACAAATTTACGTTTTTTATTATCATTTGAATCTAGGCCCTGTAAATCAAATTTAGTAAAATTTGCATTTATAAATGAAGAAAAATTGTTAAATAACTATTATGAAATTTTAACAATTAACTGGTTAACAAATTGAACCTATAACACACCTATATCGATGACTTTCTGCCAAAGTATCACAAGCAACAAACTCAAATTTCGGGAATTGAAAACATTTTTTGTTTTAAAGTCTGTTTTAAATTAAATATAGCCTAAAGGTTTTATAACAAGTAAATAGCTTATACTTATAACTATTTACTTGTTATAAAACCTATAGGTTATATATGGTTTAAAAAAGACTTTAAAACAAAAAATTATTTCAATTACCGAAATTTGAGTTATGTTGCTTGCGATACTTTGGCAGAAAGTCATCGATATGTAGGTACAAAAAAATTTGAAAATAAAAATTTAATTATTTAATTTAAAGGATTTTAAATTTGGCTCAGAACAAATAGGTAAATGAAAAATAACTTAAAATAGCTGCTCTTAGAAGTTCAGAACAATGACTGGTCTAGTCATAGACCAGGGTAGAGATGCGACTTGAAAAAAAACGATCCGTTTTTTTTGTTTTTTTTTCAGGTTTTTTTTCATTGTTTTTTTTTCAAATGGTTTTTTTCACATTTTAGGTTTTTTTTCAAAATAAGTCCCATTTGCCCAATTTTTTATGTTTCCATGGACTAAAATTAGCCTCTAAATGACAATTACTAAATGTAAATACAGTCTCGCGCTATGCACGCGCCACAACCACCGATTTGACCAATAAGGGCCGCGCTTGTTTTGATTTGGTCCTAAAAAAAGTAACTACATATAATATATTTGATTCAGCGCTTGATTTTTCAAAAGCAACCAAAAGCACTTTTTTCATGATTTTTCAAATTCTTGTAGAGTATGGAAATTTTATTTTCAAAAAACAATAGCAAATTCTTGTAGAACATTTGGACCAAAAAAGAAAACAAAAAAAATCAATTTTTTTATTACGTTACTCGTTAGTATTGACCGTTGCACGTCTAAAAATCTCAAAACTATAAACTTCAAGCTTCAAATTGCTTTTTTTACGGCTCCAATACGACCATTTTTAACAAAGATACAGTTATCCAAAAAATCGCAAAAAAAATTTGTATCGTTTAATTTTTTTTTAGTGTAGAAATTTTACATTGCTATTGGTTTCTAATGTGGAAACTACCAAATAATAAGAAATCAGATTTTTTAGTCTTTGTCAAAATTTTCAATTTTAAAGAATTTAAAATATTCTACATATTACTCAAAATTTCATTTTGAAAAAAAACAAAAAAAAACGGTTTTTGAAATTTTGAGTAATATGTAGAATATTTTAAATTCTTTAAAATTGAAAATTTTGACAAAGACTAAAAAATCTGTGTGTCTAAACACTTTTGGAGTATATTTTTATAATATTTGAATGCACAACTAATAGGAATATTATTAGAAATATTTTGATGCATATTCTCTCATTCTTTATCAAAGGGAGATTCATTTAGCAAGTTTTAGCATAAATTATATACAGGTATAATTTAAGATATTAATTTTAACCATAAAAATTTATATTTTGTGAATAACAAACCGCAGAAAAGTTCAATATTTAGTAATGAAAGAGCTCAGAGGATATGGGAGCAGGGTCACAAAAACTAGTTACCTACTTTTCACAGACTATAAAAAGCATAGTTTGCAGACTCATAATTTTGATTACAGTTAATCGTTTTTGTATGGAACTGCTCAGGCTGTGATAGCTCTTATGCTATCTTTTTTATTTAAATTCGACTGTGATTGTTTTTGCTGAAAACCGACATAGCCATGTGAAAGCTTGCGTGTCTAACGAATTTTCGACAAAAAAGGACTTTGGTCGTTTTTCCCCTGAGCCCTTCAATTGTTTTCATAGATAAAACCACATTACATTACATTAAGGCAGTAACTGCTTAACAATAAATTTGTGGAAAATTAGCAGAAACTACATTTTTATAAAAAGCAGTAGATATTTTATTGATTTTTTTAACTTATGAGATATTTGACTGCATTTCTGTGTTGAATTCGGTTACAAAATGTCCATAGCTTTACTATAGCAGAAGAAAACGCATTTTGCATTTTTTGCAGTTACTGCCTTTCTCCATAGTAGGGCAGATTAAATGTTTACAAATATTTAAGTTAGGTATTATAATAATATAATATTTAGGATCAACCTATCCCAAATCTGGACAAAAAGTGGTTGTCCATTACACTGGAACCCTTCAAAATGGCACAAAGTTTGATTCATCAAGAGATAGGAAATCACCATTCAAATTCCACATAGGCAAGGGGGAAGTCATCAAAGGTTGGGATGAAGGTGTTGCTCAAGTAAGAATTTTAAATATTAAGGTTTACCAATATGATAATAATTGTTGTTTTGACCCTTATCATAATTTAAAAATAACTTTTACATAAATTAAATATTATCATAATTAATTCAAGTTATTAAGAATTCTAACCATCTAGTTCCACCCTTAAAATGATGAGGAATATCCTTGCGCTCTTATTTGCAATTGGCAAAAGTGCTGATAAAACGTTAATTATTTGTCTGATATTTCAATTTAAATACAAAAAATTTAATTTTTTCGAAGTTTCATTAACTAACTATCTGTTTTAGTTGAGTGTTGGTCAAAGAGCCAAGCTGACCTGTACTCCTGATTACGCCTATGGCTCCCGTGGACATCCAGGAATCATCCCACCAAATTCCACTCTGATTTTTGATGTTGAATTGTTGGAAATCGAATAGAATAGCAAAAATTTTTAAAATAGAATTGTTTTGTTTTAAGTTAATAATATGAAGCATTTAGCGCATTTTTCTATGTTAATTTTTTACTTATAACAAATTCAAAACTTAAAATTAGATACCTACACTGCTTTTTTCATTTCAATAGTTCAGTTATAAGTGTTGTGGTGTCCCAATAAAAAAAATGTCAGTGTCTTACTTTTGTGTTTTATTTTACCTAAACTATGCAAACAATGGTTTAAATTTACCGCGTTTTTGAAAGATTCTTTAAGATTTTTATAGAAGAGTTGTACGCACAAAACTAGAACCTTCTAGTTTTGTGGTTGTACGCAGGAAGCGTCCTGTGCTTTGATTGGTTAATGGTTTTCTATAGAATACGAATTTCAAAAAAATGAACCAATCCAAACACGGCATTTTCCATCGCATACCAGATTGCAACAGATAATGTTCTGCTGTGATTGGTTTTCTGTGAAACAAACTTGCAAATTTAAAGTCTTTTAATTTAAATTAAAGAATACCATACAAATAAGTCGTTTTTTCGCGTAAATACCATGAAATACTATGGTTATTAAACTTAACCGTGGTTAATAGTTAAGGCATTTTTGCGTTTAGAGTGCGTTCAAAAATCCTAACTATGACGTCACAAATACCAGACCATAAAACTATATCGCTGAGCTAGTTATTCAACGTGGTTAATAGTCTTTCTCTTTTTAATATATATTTTTCTCTGTTTCGATCTGTCAAGAAGTTGTTTACATTTGAAATTTAAAATATTTTAAGTAGGTACAATTGCTCTTAAACCGAATTTAAACTTTGTATTAAAATGGTAAACGGGGTGTTGTCAGTAAAAATAAATGATAGGGTGCTCCATATTGTGAATCTCCACAAGTGGAGGAATTATATGCAGGTTTTTTTATATTCTTCCTTATTTTGTATTAAACATGTAGGAGAATTGGATAACGTGTATTAAAAAAACTAGTACCTATAGAAAAAGAATATACTAGGTATAAAAAGAGGCAAAGAAATTTATTTACACCGGTAAAAGCATAGAAATTAAATATAAATAGGTAAAAACACATTTCAAAAATTATAGGTTATGAACAAGTAAACAAATGTCAAATGTTAGAAACCTAACCATGGTTATATGAATTAACTGTGACGTCATGACTTATTTAACCGTAGTATTACATAGTATTTACGCGAAAAAACGACTATAGGTTCTATGGTCTATATTATAAGTCGTTTTTTCGAGTAAATACCATGAAATACTATGGTTATTAAACTTAACCTTGGTTAATAGTTAAGGCATTTTTGCGTTTAGAGTGCGTTCAAAAATCCTAACTATGACGTCACAAATACCAGACCATAAAACTATGTCGCTGAGCTAGTTATTCAACGTGGTTAATAGTCTTTCTCTTTTTAATATATATTTTTCGGTTTCGATCTGTCAAAAAGTTGTTTATATTTGAAATTTAAAATATTTTAAGTAGGTATAATTGCTCTTAAACCAAATTTAAACTTTTTATTAAAATGGTAAACGGGGTATTGTCAGTAAAAATAAATGATAGGGTGCTCCATATTGTGGAATCTCCACAAGAAGTGGAGTAATTATATGCAGGTTTGTTTTATATTCTTCCTTATTTTGTACATGTAGGATAACGTGTATTGAAAAAACTAGTATAGAAAAAGAATATACTAGGTATAAGAAGAAATTTATTTACACCGGTAAAAGCATAGAAATTAAATATAAATAGATAAAAACACATTTCAAAAATTAAAGGTTATGAACAAGTAAACAAATGTCAAATTTTAGAAACCTAACCATGGTTATACGAATTAACTGTGACGTCATGACTTATTTACATGGTATTTACGCGAAAAAAACGACTATAGACTCTTTAAGACCACAGATTATAGACTAACTTGGTATTTTTTTGTTTAAAAGTTGGCAAGCTTGGGCTGTCCAAGTTGTGCATAAATTATCTAGGTTATGTAACACAAATAGGTTAAGAAAAATACTTTCGAACAATTTGCCCGTAAATGTGCTTTAAAAAATGGCAAGCACAGCAAGAACATGCTTCTTAAAGTGCTTAAAATCCGCTAAACGAATCTCTCTTCCACATGGAGTAATCATAAGCATTGGAAGACAAAAGGAATACGAAATCGAAGACGTCATCGTATCTAGAAATCAAATCGAATTGAAATCCGACTGCGAAAAATGTCACGTAGACGTCAAACCTGTGGGAAGAAATCCTTCCGGATGTAACGGCTATGCCTTGGTAGCAAACAAAAATTATTCGTTAGAACATGGTGATATAATTGAGGTACGATTAACAGCTCATGAATATGAGATTGTTTTTGAGCCGCCTCCAAAGGGTTTAGATGAGCTGCCTCCCCAACCCAAGAAGATGAAGTTCGACTTTTCTATTTTTAATGTAGGCAGTAAAAAAAACAGTGATAGCAATTTTAATCTGAATGGGCAATGGGAGGAAATTGATGGAAAAGAGTTGTTGATTTATACTCCAAATAATTGTGTTTCAAGAAGTGTAATAGCTGGGTTTGATATTGATGGGACTATTATAAAAACTAAGTCGGGAGCCAGGTTTCCCAAGGACTGTGATGACTGGGTTTTTTATTTTCAAGATGTACAACACAAGTTAAAAAAACTTCATGAAGACAAAAATAAAATTGTTTTTTTCACAAACCAGGCAGGCATTGGAAAAGACTCGCAAAAAATTAAGGGATTTAAGAGAAAAATTGAAAATATAGTAAATAAATTGGAAATTCCCATTCAAGTTTTCATTGCAACAGGTAAAACATTTTATAGAAAACCTTTGCCAGGGTCATGGAACGTTTTATGTGATGTTAAAAATGACAATATAGAAATAGACAAAAGTAAATCATTTTTTGTTGGTGATGCTGCTGGGAGGCCTAAAAATTGGGCGCCAAAAAGAAATAAGGATCATTCTTGTGCAGATCGTTTGTTTGCCATTAATTTAGGTCTAACATTTTATACTCCTGAGGAATATTTTTTACAAAGTAGACCAGTACAGTATGTTATGCCTGAATTTGATCCTAAAAAACTGGATAAAATGCAATATCCAAGTTTTGCTTACCCTAAAACTAATGTAGTGCTTATGGTTGGTGGCCCAGGTTCAGGTAAAAGCCACTATTGTACAAATATTTTAGTTCCAAATGGTTATGTTCATGTCAATAGAGACAAATTAGGTACTATGCAAAAATGCGAGAGACATTTGGAGGAATGCCTGATGAAAAAAGAAAATGTCGTAATTGATAATACAAATCCTGATAAAAAAGCAAGACAGCCATTCATCAACATTGCCAAAAAATTTGGTGTGGATTGCAGATGTGTGGTGATGTTAACGTCAGTTAAACATTGCAAGCACAATAACAAATTCAGGAATCTAACAGATAAATCTCATGACTACATTAGTGAAGTGATAATAAACAAATACCAAAACAGCTTTCAAGAACCAGAGCTTTCAGAAGGATTTTCACAAATTTTACACATACCATTTATGCCCACTTTTGATAATGAGGAGCAGGAAAAATTATACAAAATGTACCTGTTGGAATCTTAATGTAATGTTTTTAAAACAGGTTTTATATTTTTTTGATACACGTTTTTTTTTGTAAAATTGGTTTTTAATCTCAGCCCCACTTAATTAATAATTGATCGGTAATTAAGGTTTTTTGATTATAAAAAACTATAATTACCTACAATTTAACATAAACAAGTTTTTGTTGAAATTTGTTAATGTTATTTTTATGGTAATAATAAAACCATAAAAATCTTAAAAATGTATAATTTATTTCTCATGTCATGCTTAATTAAAAATACTGGAATGTATATTATGTTAGTTTAACATCTTTAATTTTTTTTCTAAATTGAGGTATTCTGTCCAAAATACTCAACAATATACTACCAGGTATCCTTTGGTGTCGGTGAATTAATTCTTCTACAGCAGCCAAGACCTAAAATAATAAATAATATAATCATAAACATAAAATTTTTAAATGTTTTTTTTTAAATAATATTATACCTTGACTTGTAACTGTTCAGGGGTCAAATTTGGGTCATAGGGTATAGGTTTACCTATATGTGTAATCAGTTTTACTGGAAATCCTCCATAAATTAAAGTACATGGCAATTTAAATTTAGTATAAACATACATTGACAGACGCCTCATAAAACCAAGGGCTCTAAAAGATTCCCTCAAGTTTTCTGTAAACATTGGTATAATTGGCTAAAATATATGTATTAAAATATTACACAAACGTTATAACAAACATTTACTTACCACTTTGGCATCAAGAGCAACTTTTGCAAAACCCATTCGCTTTTTCCAAAGTAAACTGTAATGATCGCTAAATTGTGCTTCAAAAACACCCCCAGGCGAAATTGCCAGCAAATTTCCGCCTTTTAGAACGTTTGAGCATGTTTGTATTGTTCCAGGTATAACTTTCATACACTCTTCAATCACACTAAATCCTGAAATTATTTATCAACAATTAAGTTATAATTTAATGTTTTTAAAATTTAAAATCCCACCTGGAATTTTAAAAAGAAAATGATCAGCTACTGTATGTATTAACCTTTTATGTAAAATCATTTTTGCTAATAAATAATAAATATCTATAGGAATAGCACCATGATAGTAAATAATTAAAGCAGGTCCATCAACCGGGATATTTTCCATACCGTCCACTTCATATCCTAAAATTATTAATTAATTAACTATTAAAATTGTATTTAAACATTATATAATAATATTTTAATATTTTAATTATTATTATAATATTTAAAAACAATGCTAGCATATTGAAATTTTTAGCATTTTTTAATAATATTAAGAAAAAGTAAAAAATTCAATATGCACCAACTTTGTCACACAATGTTTTTTTACCATGCATGATCCATCCATGACCGTCCCATATAATACTTGCAATTCTCCTAATTCTATCCCATTTGTCACCGGATAAGTCTAAGTTTCTCCAATGCAGTTTGTAAATATACATCATTAAAGCAGTAATATATAATAAAAGAACTATTGCTAAAGGCAGTAAAAAAGTAATAAGTAGAGGTGCTAGGCACCATGTTAGCCATAAAGAATAATCTATATCTACATAATCAACTAAAATAAAAAAAAACATGTTAATTTCGTGATTTACGATTTTTAACTTATTTATAATAGGTAAACGTCCCAATTATCGACACTGTCCCAATCATCGACATTTGTGCACTAAACATTCAAAAATAAGAATTTGATGCTTTGGACATCTATTGTCATATTAAAATAAGAAACAAGTAGGTTTTCCCTACCTTTCCTAAAAAGTTTCGGTCGGTTATGCAGAAAATATTAATTGAAAAAATATTTTAATCCCGCCATTCCGCAGTCATCTGTGAACTTGTGCAAATCCTTAAGAAAAGTGTTAAGAAACAGGTAAGTTAATTATGGCAATTTTAGTTTAAAATATTTAAGTTTCTTTATGTAGATAGTTGTATATTTATATACAGAATCTATAATGTATGGTTTTTGCCAATAATTTGGCATAGAATCAGTATAAACGTAAAATTATGTGGTGTCGATAAAAGGTACATCCATTTTTAGGCTTTGTACGATTTATCGACATAGGTGTCGATAAATGGTACTATGTAGCTTTCTCTTTTCTTATGAATATTTAAATGTCTATCAAACTTATTCTTACTCTGTCTGAAGAGTTTAAAGGAAATTATATTAAACTACCGCTGTACCAATTATCGACACCCATTTTTTCCATTGGTAACATCGTTAGAGTGGATCAAAGTCTGTGGAGTGGATGTAATTTATATGTCGATATTTGGTACCAAAAATGTCGATAACTGGTTCAACCTATTTTTTTTCAGAAAGAATGTTTTAAAATGAACATTATTGAAAATAGTGAAAAATGGGAAAAAAACATTTACAAACATGACTTAAGAAAAGTTATTTGTAAACGATTATGTTATAGTGAATTATAACGATCAATCACTATATACCAGGTAAAATTATTGACATATCATTGTAAAGAAAATTATGAGTTTGATTACCAAGTCTTACATATGGAGAAAAATGGGCTCAATTGGATATGGGATATGGCCCATATGGGACATATGGGACAAAGGGATAATATTCTTTGGTATGATAGAGAAGAGGTCCTTAAAAAATTAAGGAACAAAAAAAAACGCGGACTTTACTGCGTACTGGAGATTTGTGATTAAAATACTTTTATCGTCAAACATTTTTGTTTGCAATAAATACTGCTTATATTTTATAATAAATAAACTTTTATGATAAACTCTTTGTTACTTATTATAACCATTTAAATCGACTTTTCCGAGTGTCGATATTACGTACGCAAGGGTGTCGATATTTGGTTCAAGACAAATTTTCCCATGTCGATAACTGGGTCAAATGGTACTTTTCAACAAATTTATTTTTTGCATATAAATTACGCATTGCTATTTAAAAAATAAACATTGCAAAGCAATAATCAATATTATAACAATCCACAGTAAAATTGTTAAACGTGTAACTTTAATATGCAAATTTTTATAACGATATGATTTAGAAAAATCTCTTAAGGTGTCGATAATTGGGACGTTTACCTAATAATTAATCTTACCTAAATATTCTTTTAAAACTTGTAAAATTATTTCTATATATTCCCACATTGTTACTTAATTTACATCCATAAAGCATATTTTTCTCTTACTTTTTTATTTACAAATAACCTTCATAATAATTAAAGCTGTTTTCTTAATTTGTGTGTAGTGTTGACCTAAGCAGGTCTTTAATCAGCTCAGAATCAGCTGTTATGGTTTGTATATGCTGTTATGTTTCTAGCGTGACAGATTTGTCATTGAAATAAATCGCAAAATAAATTGTAAATTGCATAATCGCAATTACTTTTAATGCAAGGTGCAAATAAACTTTGTTAATTTAAAATTCATATCGTTTGAAACTATAAAAATCAAATAAAAATGTATACAATTGACCTAATTTTTTAGGGGAAATAGTTTTTTTGACACAAACTGTTGGCAACACTATCCGTTGAAGACAGTTTGTGAATGTAGACATTTCTGTTTTTAGATTTATCCCGTTTTTTAAAGTAATTTCTGAAGTAATATTCATATACGTAAGTTTTTTTCATTTAAATGTATCCTACTTAACATACACAAACACATATTTGGTGGATGGCTCCTAATATTAAGTGATTTTTGTATTATACTTATTTTAAGTGTTTTGGTTGTTGTTATTTAGATGTTGTGCAATTTAAATGGTTTTGAATACTAAAGATAAATATACTAATTCTACTAACAATATTAAATCCTTATGTACTGTTCCCATTTAAACATTAATTGCATGTAATAATTGATATAAACCTGTTTTTAGTCTAGAAAATCATTTCCTTTGTGTTCAAATGTCTTCAATATCCTTTTAAATAAAATATTTTGAATTAAAATTGCCATTGGACCGATAATTTAAATAATTTTAGTGTATTTTAATGAATAAAATTTAACTTAAAATGGTTAAAGGCTTTTAAAATTAGAACCAGTACTAATCATTGCCAAATCAAATGTAACAATTTTTTTTGTGTTTTATGAGTGTTGTTGGTTTAAATGATTTTTGTAACTATTCGTAGTCTCTCAGCTGAAAAGGTGTCATGGTGAATACTCGGCGCATGGAGTCAATTGGCTCATCTGCAGATATTGGTACCAGACACCGCACCAGGGTAAATATTTTGATATATTTGCATATATATCATTATAATCCTTATTGTCACCAGTAGAAATTGCATGTTCTGTTTTTAAATGAACCTACAGTGATTCAGATTGCAATTCTGGAAAAACAAAAGCCCTAACTTTGTATTGATGTAGATTTTTTTATATCTATCAACTGGATTGTAATACAATATAATACAATCATTGTATCATTTAGGTATAATAATATTTATAGAACTACTTAACTGTAGTTAGGTTAATTTATATAAAAATTTAAGGTCCACTAATATTCACCTTTTTCTAAAATGTTTTGTATAAAGGATAAAAAATGATATTAAAATAGTCATTGTATATTTGAAATAAATGTAAGTAATTCATCTTGTGTCTAGCTAGATTTGCCAATTGAATCACTGAAATCCTTTATTTGTAAATTTTAATTTTTATACACATTTCATGTATCATTATCCCATTTAGATAATTCTGTTAAATCATATTTGAAAATTACACTAAGATAGGAACTAAATGTTATATTTCAGATTAAATATTGATAATTTAAAAAAGTTATATATTTTAAAAGCATGTTAAAATCAGTGCTTAAAGTAATACTATAATTAATATATGATGATTTATGCAGTTTCTAGCATGTAAGTAAACAATTAAATGTAGGTATATTTGATTATAAATTTGTAAAAGTTGTTTGAAAAAAAACACAAAACCCTTACTTTACGATGATATAATATATTATGTCATCAGACAAGCAAAATAATATTTTTTTTAAATTTTACTCAAAATATTATCTTCATTGTTTTAAGAAAAAAAAATATTTTGTGAAAATCAGTCAGTGTCTGACTCGGACAATAAATAAATTTTATTTTATCAAAAAAATCCTACCCCTACTGCTTGACTTAATTAAATTTTAGACCAACATCATTGGTAAATTGTAAAACGTTTCACTTCAAGTATTTTTATAAAACGTGTAGTTTTTTATTATGTTCATAGTTGTTATTAGGGACAGGCAATTAAATTATTTTATATTATATATATTTATAATTCATATAAATATTTTTTTTGTTTGGTGTTTTCAGAAACTAAAAAAACTTATTATTTTAAAACACCTGTTATTAAAATAATTATAAAATTTATTCTGTACTTTACCAATAATATGTTTAATCACCCCATTACCAGGTAATGTAACTAAATGACTTTAACAATAAACCGGCGATATTTACAAAAAAAATTTCTAAATAAAATACTTACTGAAAGTTAAGATAACACTGGTGAGTTTCATCTAGAAAAAAACACAGATATGCATAAAAACAACAGTAAAATGTAAATACTGATTTCTTACTAATGCACTGTGAAAATACTCATGTAAATGGTTAATGCAGTGATTATATTATTATTTTTTACAAAAATAAATTAACTTTAAAACACTACCTATTAAAATATTACGTCCGTTTGTTTTTTAGTACCTATATTATTAATTTAGATTTATTTCTAAAGATTAAACTGTGCTGGGCTTAATATGTTGTTTGTAAATTTGAATACAGTATTTTAAATAATAATTACGTTTATCAGTTGGTGTTTTTAATTAGTTTTAAAATTAAATTGTTTAAAAACAAAATTTGTTTTTTTCAAAGAATTTATGTATAATAGTTTATATGTTTATTATTTAATCCAGTTTAACTTTTGCTTACGTTACGTTACGTTTTATTTTATATCATACTCTGCTTATAGCTTAGTCACCTTATTTTGTATGTGCCAAAATAGTATTTATTTTGGATATCTTGTTTTTAAATGTGTACAACATTTTTGGGACCTCTGTAGATTTGCCAAATTGGGGGTTTTCTGAACCCTTGGCACAAAATTTTGGTTAATTTTTCGGCAGTAATGTTTTCTATAAACTAGTTCAAATTTTTAGAAGGACATACCTAGTATACACAGAATACAATTAAAAAATAACTTAGGGTTTTTCTTCAAAAATGCATTAAAAAGAATTCAAATTTAAAAAGTTTACAACTAAGTTTTAAAATATAAGTATGTATATACATATATGTAAGATGAAATATCCAAATTTAATTGAAAACAAACCCAATAAGCCATTATTGACAAATTATATTATGACAGTTTCTTTCTAAAAATCAAATATACCGCCAGAAATAAATTAGTTATATTCATAGATAACAAAGCCAACACTGTCCATATTTTTTAGAAATCCATTTAAACTTTTTTTAAGGATAACATTTTAAATTAAACTTTTAAACTGCTAAACATTTTTTATAATATATACTATCGCGTGTTATTTTGTATTAGATAAAAATTTACAATTTGCAAGCATCTCTAAAACACTTTATTAAACAAATATCTTTCTTAAATGCTTGAGTGACCGAGCCTGTATATTGTCTGTACTAAAAATGTTTTTGGTTTTATCAAGGGTACCGCAAAGGAAGAAGTAAGCGTAACGGAAGAATCCTCGAGCATTGGTGAAAGCGATAGTGAAGATCCAAACATAGATGAAGACGAACCGTCTGACATAAATGATGTTAAGCCTAAAGTATCTAATATAAAGAAGAAACCCACTATTAGTCTACCCGCATCTAGAATCAAGACTTTTAGAGACAGAAAATACTGTAAGAAAGTTTTATACTGAGTGATCCACAAGTCTGATGCCATAAGAAAATCTTTATAAAACTCACCAATCTTTTATTAGGAACTTATTTATCATAAACAAATAAATGGCATGGGAGTTGTGTATCACATGGTTTTTTTTAGATATTTTAATGTGATTTAAGATTAAATGCAATCTGTAGACGTACACAAACACTTTTTTTACAGGGTGTCTGTAAAAAGTCTTTATAAAATTGGTGAACTATTTTAAAATCGTTTTATATTAAATCTATAATGGCTTTAGTAGCGTGTCAAAGGCAAGGCAAGGGCGTAGGGGGGCGAGCTATCTTAAGGGTGCTATTTTTTATTTAATACAAAATTCAGGGTCTTAAAATTAAGCATATCTTTGAAAAAATATATTGTGCGACTAGTGGGAGAAAGAGGATATTCCTCAAACGTTTGTGGAATCTCCTTTTTTGACCAATAGTCTCACACAATATTTTAATTAATTACTGCAGGGACATTCTTGGCCTAATGACATTAACAATTATTATATAGTCTGAAATACTAAATTATTTAAAATTAAAAATGGTTAATATTTTTCCGTTAAAAAATAATAATTGTTGTCCTGTTAAATTACTCTTAACCCACAAAACATTTTATATTCATCAATAACAGAAGTTACTATAAAATATTTCAAGATCCATCAGACTCATTATCTTGAAAATTTACCAAAAATTAAAATTTTTGTGAACCGGAACGAAAATTTTTCTTTTAAACCAAATTGTTCCGACTTTATCCGGTTTTCCAGTAACTTTTTTAACATTTTTCCTGACCATGTGGGTGTTGAAATGAATTTAATTGGTATTTTTTTAGAAGGGGTGTTAGCTACTTATTTAAATCCACTAAAGATGGAAGAAACAGTTTTCCTATTTACCGGAAACTTCAACATTGTTACCCAGACCCCATACGGCAAGCTACTGAATGTCTTATGTAATGTTAATTGGATTTGGGCAAAATCGCATAAGCCGATTTAAATTTAAATAAATAATGGTTTAACTAAATACGCAAATAATGTAATTTACTGTAAATATTTTGCCACTTCTTAATGTTTAATGACTATGCCAAAAACATGGGACGCTTTTAGATTATGGTTTTTTAAAAAGCATGTACTTTTAATTAATTTCAACAGAGCACCTGATACTTGTTGGCGTTTGCATTGAACATTAAGAATTAATTAGTTTATTAATTGCACCAAATATTTTAAGTGAATTAGATTATTTTTTACTTTTAAGTCTTAAAATTTAGTTTTAGTTTGTTAAATTACATCAGCCATATTGAAATTAGAATGACGTCACATTTTCTACTAGTCAACCCCTTTTATTTTAAACCCATGTCAAGGACGTTGTAAAGAAATAGATAACCCGCCATCTTGGGGCGGCCGCCATATTGGATTTTGTATGACGTTACTCACCTTATTGTTTTCTACTCATGGTCAAACCCATGGAGCCTACACAAGGACTCCGAACTTCATGTATACAAAAATCTTCCTAAGATAAGAGGGCGCTGATGTTTGTTTGATTGATACCAAAACATCAGACCAAAAACAAGATCTAATTTGTGCAATTTATAGACAGGTTTTCTCAATTTCCCCTATTAAGTTCGGACTCCTTGTGTAGGCTGCATGGTCAAACCCTTTCATTTGATACTTATGTCAAGAAGGTTGTGAAGAACATGCCAGCAATGTATTTTGAGTTGGCATACGCTAAAGAAGCATCGCTAGTATCGCCACCACTTGGCCGTTATCATCGTAACAAAACTACAAATTTTAATAATCAACTGTCAAACGCGTATGTTACAAACGAGTGTTTTTGAGAATAAAGCCGAAAACAGTGGCGGCTGGTGGATTTTGCGTATACCGATATTTTGGTTATTAGACATTGCACCCACACCAAATTTATAAGAGTTTATAATTACACTAAATTAACAAGTTCTGCGCAAGCAGAATTTAAATAAAAGTTTGCAAAAAAGTTTTTGATGCAGCTCCCCTGCAGCATGGCCCCCCTAATAAAGATAAAAAAAATTTAGTGGTGCTGGTTTAGTCCACCAGCCGCCACTGCCGGAAAATGTTAAAAAATATCGAAAAAAAAAACCGTGGCACGATTTGTTGTGTTGTTGGGTGTTTTTTCGAGAGGAAATCCTGAAACATGAAAATGCAACGATTTAGTTCTTGAATTTTATTCACAATTAAAAACACAATAATTCACCATGATAAAATACACACACACTAACGTAACTATATAATCATATAAGCGTTGAGTTCCTTAATCAATGATATAAGAAATAATTATCGAAATCGAGTACTAACCAAAGTTTTTTAGTTTTTACTTGCAACGCAAAATAAAAATAACGTGCGCGGTTTAGCTCTGCAATTGAATAAAATTTGTCGAGTAAGACTTCTGCCTTCCTCTCTTTTGAGAAAAAACTGCTTGTTTATTTAAAAATGATGTGCAGTATGCTTTAAATGTATTGTTGACAATTCTTAAATTCACGCAATGCTTTTGAAGTCCACCAGATGGCGCGCGCGTTGCGAGAACCCGATGCTTTTTTAGCGTATATCAACAGTCGTAAAAATTGTGTTATTCTTAAGACTTCATATTTGAATATAGGGGTTTTATGGGTGGCTGAAACAAACTTGAGGTATATTTTTCACAAAAAAAATGGCGGATAGTTTTTCTTTGAACTCTTCTTATATTGACTATAGGGTATTGACATTGTAACGGGTGCGACTCTAAAACTGCGTTTTTTCATGATAATTAAGTGTTTGTTCATATATATCAAGGTACTTTAATATAAAAAAATAGTATAAAAAATTAGGTATTTAACTCAAACAAAATGTCAATAAAAACTTGTATAGAAAACCTTTTATAACGTCATGAACACCGTAACGGGCGCGACCTTAGAAAATCGGCAAATGCGACCAAGTTGGCTTCTAAAGTTGATACTGTAAAATTTTGGATGAAAGCATATAGTAATATTTTTTTGTGTAAAACTTGAACTTAAACAATCACGTATTTTAAAAGCACAAATATTCTATACTTTATTTTCTAAAAATGTAACGGGTGCGACATTTGAACATTTTATCGAGTATTGAAACTCTTCCGTGTTTATTCTTAATGTTAGCTTCTTAGCATCACAATGTACGAATATTTTAAGGTTGTAAATTACGTCGCAATTAAACTATTTTACTTCAGATATAGTTGTTATTTTGTTAAATAACACATCTGATTTTTTGTCAAGGTGGGGTAAGGTTTCGTGGTAATACCCTATAGTCAATGTATTGAATTTTTTTAAGACTGTTGGCAGTGGCGGCTGGTGGATTTTATGTATACCAATATCTCAGTTATTAGACATGGGACCCACACCAAATTTATAATAGTTTATAATGACATTAAATAGACAAGTTCGGCGCGAACAGAATGTAAATTGAAGTTTGCGAAAAAAAGTTAGTTTTTCCTTACCCGCCTCCAGGCCCCCCTATTTGAGATAATTCAAATTAAAGTGGTGGAATTTATTATCTACTATAATTTATCGACAAATTTAAAATTTTATTTAAAAAATCCAAATATTACATATTTTATACGATTTAAAATTTTTATTATTTATTTTATTAAAATAAAAAAATATTTAAAATGGTATAAAACCTGTAATATTTGAATTTTTTAAATAAAATTTTAAATTTGTCGATAAATTATAGTAGATAATAAATTGTACCACTTTAATTTGAATTATCTTAAATAGGGTGGCCTGGAGGCGGGTGAGGCGACAGGAAAAACTAACTTTTTTTCGCAAACTTCAATTTAAATTCTGTTTGCGCCGAACTTGTCTAATAACTGAAATATAATATATATACCCAAAATCCACCAGCCGCCACTGACCGTTGGTTAATAAGGTAAGTTAAACTTATTTTCGTCTAGGGAATATGTCTTAGGAGACTTTTTACAGACACACTGTTTGTTTTATAATTGTTTTTTTACGTGAACTGGTAAAATGAAATATTAAATGGTTTACATTAACTGGTAAAATGAAATATTAGAGAATAAAATATAGTTCATTAGAGCCATTTCATGCCAAATCAACACACTTTAAAAAGAAATTTTTCCTCACCATTTCAGATTTTCCTAAAATTTGGTATACTTATACTATGTACTAAGACTAAGAAAAATACCAATTTTTAAATTTTTATCTCACACCGTTTCCGATATATGGCTATGTAAAGTTTTTAAAAACTCGCGAAAAAAGTGTGAACGTTTATTTTTTAAATTGCGCTGGAAGCTGTCCTAATTTAGTTAGAAAGCTGGGAGAGGTGTCATTTTGCAGCATTTTAAATGCTCTTTCAAATGACATACGACTGCCAAGGGTATTAATGAAAAGATTTTGTTCAAAATTAGGGATGCACCGGAATTCCGGCGGTACCACTAAATCCGGCCGATCCGGCCAGTTGGCCGGAACTACCGTTCCGGCCGGATCGCTCCGGCCGGATCGGTATTTTCTTTTACCAAAAAATTTATCTATTCTCTGACACTTTAAATAGAGACACTTTCTCTAAACAACTTTTTTACCCACCATTACACGTAGGCACAAAACAAGTCTTAACCATTGTAATAATAAAATAGTCTCGGACACTTAATAAATTAATAAGAATTACCGGCGTCTTCTTAATTTCGCAGATAACCGAACGATTCGCATAGCCCTTTCTCGCGTTGTCTCTCTCTCGACCTCTCTGTCGAACAGATCCACTTTTCTGCCGCTTAATACAGCGCGTTTCATTACAAGTCTTATTTAGTATCATGCCTGCAGCCCTGTGCCTTTGCTTATGATTAGCAGGCGTCTGTGATTCCCCGACTTTCGACCAGATATATTTTGTAATTGGTCAACAGTGAAGGGTGTGCGTGTTTCCTTGCCTATGATAGACCGGCGGCTGTGGTTACCAGCTTCTTTTTAATTTTTTTATTATTGGCAGGTGGCTGCTATTCTCCAATTGAATGAGTAGAATTGTTTTAATTTTGTTAACGCTAATTAAAAATTAATATTTAAATAAACAGTAATTTCTATCTAGGTAAAATTAATAGTAATAAACACTCTGCATACTGTAGCTAGTTTAAAAAAAGTAAAAATAAATCAGCCTCAATATTTTCAATGTTTTACGTATAAAAATAGGCATGCACACACATTTTAAATTTAGGTCCCGATCCGGCCGGAATTCCGGCGATCCGGTCCGGCCAGCAGCCGAAATTCCGGTTCCGGCCGGATCGGCAAAATACCCGATCCGGTGCATCCCTATTCAAAATCCATATATATATTTTGATTTAATTTTTTTTTAAAAGTACATAATTTAAAATTCTCAAAATATTTGTATAAATACTTGGTAGTGTTCTGAATCATATAATAAAATATTAATGTGGGGTCTTAATGGGTTCATTGTTAAAAAAAATATTTCTGATGCTGGTTTTTCACTTTTAACTAATTTTGACATTATTCAACGTTTATCAGGCTTAAGCCTGACAATTGTATTTTTTTTTATAATATCGGCTGTCATCATTCCCGACTTGTGTAATTTAATTACTGTGATACGCTTGTTTTGGCGATTCATATTGAACTAAATTTTAAACAAAATGAATATTTTCAAAAATATAAGGGTTCTAAGAACCCTAATAATATCGGCTGCCTACATTCCCGACTTTTTTAATTCAATTACTGTGATACGCTTTTTTTGGCGATTCATATTGAACTAAATTTTAAACAGAACAACATAAAATGAATATTTTCAGAATTGAACGGGTTCTAGGAACCTGCTCGAGCAAACAATTTCCGCGAAAACCTTATTGATAAATTTTAAACTCGCTTAAAAAAAATTCAGGGAACTTTTATCGGACCCTGTATATATTCGTAGTTTATTTAAAAATAAAACTATAAATGAGGTGTGTTTAAAGTGATTTTGGTGTCAACATGGAGCCTACTATTGTAATAGTGCAGTGTTATAATCCAATGAAAAAAACAAATCATTTCATTAGAGACAAAAAAAAACTGAGAAAAGTCCCAGCATGGATGACTGGATTATTTCCACAAATGCCTATTGGCTCCATGATTTGTCATACCTGCAGGAAAGATGTAACGAAACTGTCAAAATTAGTTAAGTGAAAAACCAGCATCACAAATATTTTTTTTAACATAAACCCATTAAGACCCCACATTTATATTTTACTATATGGTTTAAAACAGTACTAAGTATTTATACAAATATTTTGAGAATTTTAAATTATGTACTTTTTGAAAAAAAATTGAATCAAAATATATATATGGATTTTGAACAAAATCTTTTCATTAATACCCTTGCCGTTCGTATGTCATTTGAAAGAGCATTTAAAATGCTGCAAAATGACACCTCTCCCAGCGTTCTAGCGGAATTAGGACAGCTTCCATAGCAATTTAAAAAATACACGTTCACACTTTTTTCGCGAGTTTTTAAAATCTTTACATAGCCATATATCGGAAACGGTGTGAGATAAAAATTTAAAAATTGGTATTTTTCTTAGTCTTAGTACATAGTATAAGTATATCAAATTTTAAGAAAATCTGAGGTGGTGTGGTAAAATGGGTGTGTTGAGTTGACATGGACTGACCCATTACCAAGTGTATCAAGAATGCTGTGGGTAAAAGGCATAAGGGGATAAGTCAAAAAAAGCAATTTTTTAATAGAACCTTTAACGTGTTCGCATTAGTTCAGGAAATATATTTATGTTTATCGGGTATATGCTTTTGTTAGCATATAACATGGGCTAACAAAAGGGTATACCCGCTAACCATAAATATGTTTCCTGAATTAATGCGAATACGTTTAAGGCTCTACTGAAAAATTGCTTTTTGCCCTTATGCCTTCTACCCACATAATGTCTGTTAAATGTACAGTCAAGTACAATACAATACAAAAATTTATTGCTTAATATTTTTTCGTTAAGCTCGTCCTACAAGATCCACGCGTCGTCTTATATCGCGCGGCCTGTTCTCGCGAAAAATGGATTCCGAATCGGAATTGGACGAGAACGACTTCGATGAGGACGTGTACTCGCGCAGGAGTCGCAACAAGCGGCACAGCAAGTCGCACATGGCCCGCATCGAGCGACGCACCGCGCTCTCGCTCAGGCCGATCAGCCAGAAGTGCTACAACGATGAAACGCACTCCCCTCTCCACTTCAATTCCGATAGTGAAGGTAAGAGAATTACAGCGATTTTTGAACCACATTTTTATCCCTCACGGTGTCCCTGAATAACTTATAATTGAAAGACTCAGACGTATCCGATTTTTTTTCATATTTTGATAAAAAATCACTTACAAGACAATTTTTTTTCAGGATTAACTCAATTCGCTTGGCACTTTTTTAGAAAAATCAATTTTTATAGAAACATTAATGATTTTTAATCAATTTTTTGAGAATTTTAATTAGTGAACTCCAAATAATGACTAACAGCTTTTAACGTATTTGTTACATAAAATGTGCAATTCATTAGACTAGATTAGAACTATTGACATATGCCACTTGTCACATGTCACATGTCGAAATCGTGATACCGTTGCGTTATTTTACCGTTTTTTTTTTCAATTTGTCGCAGATTTATTTATAAATTAGATATAAAAAATTATATTTGCATTGATTATAGTATATAGTGCAATAAAGCTAATAAAAAACCATGCATGGACTCACTCGGATAATCGCGAAAGAATTTGTTTGTTTTGTCTTAAAAAAAAGAAAAAATGTCTAAAATATGTGGAAAGATTCTTGAAAAAGTTCAAAGCATAGCTTTAAGTCCGAAACATCAGCAGCAGTTACTATCGCTCTTTTAAAAATAGAAGAAAAAAAGAGCGATAGTAACTGCTGCTTCTTTTACATTTATGTTTTTACCGCGGCAACCAACAAAACTTGACAAACATTTGAAATATTTTCTCACCACACGCTTTTTTTCTTTTTTAATGGGTTTATTTTTAGCACTTTTTATAAAATTATACCCAATTATTTCCAATTAGAATAATCAGTGTTTCTATAAATTTCTTGTTTAGCTGCTTTATATAATAAAATTTCACAACCTTTGCATACAACTTTTGGTAATCGTTCATCTTCTACATCATATACCACTATGCTTTGAACTTTTTCCAGAATCTTTCCACATATTTTTAACATTTTTTCTTTTTTTTAAGACAAAACAAACAAATTCTCTCGCGATTATCCGAGTGAGTCTATGCATGGTTTTTTATTAGCTTCATTGCACTATATACTATAATCAATGCAAATATGATTATTTATATCTAATTTATAAATAACTCTGCGACAAATTGAAAAAAAAACGGTAAAATAACGCAACAGTATTTTCAATCACGATTTCGACATGTTACATGTGACAAGTGACATGTCAATAGTTCACTAGTCTAATGAATTGCACATTTTATGTAACAAATATGTACATTAAAAGCTGTTAGTCATTATTTGGAGTTCACTAATTAAAAATCTCAAAAAATTGATTAAAAATCATTAATGTTTCTATAAAAATTGATTTTTCTAAAAAAGTGCCAAGCGAATTGAGTTTATCCAGAAAAAAATTGTCTTGTAAGTAATTTTTTATCAAAATATAAAAAAATCGGATACGTCTGAACCTTTCAATTAAAAGTTATTCAGGGACACCGTGCCCTATTTGTCGCAATGTTTTTTGTCACGTTGTCCTGGTGATAATCTTATTAACGGTGTTTTAAAATGGGCAACATTTATTCCATTAATTTACTCCAAAATTGTATATTTTATTTTAATATAAAGTATTTGCTTGGGCTAAGGGGCGGAGCTTACTGCCTCAAGACATTTTGCACTTTTTTCGCACTAACCTTTAGATGAATAATTGTTATTAAATTAATATAAAATTCTAAATTTTCTATTTAAGGTTTCACCCGCGTTAAATTTGAATTATACATACTATATAAAGGGTGTTTCACATTCGTGGTCCATTTGAAGTTTCTGGGAAACGGAAAAAAAATCGATTTGAAATATTAAAAGCATTTATATTCCATTTAAATCCATTTTTCTATATTTATTTATTTTAAACAAAATGAATCTTCCGGTTTAAGGGGAACTGACATCAACTTTGTTAGTTATTTTTAATAGAACATCCCATATATTTTAACATTTTTAAATTCTTCATAAAATTCTTCATAAAATTACTATTCCATGTCCTATACCGAAAGTGAATAGTTTTCAAGTTATTAATTTTTTAAATAGCCTATAACTTTTTTGTTATTAGGTTTGCAAATATGTGGGTTACATTTTTGGAATCTTAACATATTGTTTAAAAGATTTCTTGTCAATTCTTTAACATTATTCAAAAAATTACCTGAAAACCGAGGGTAAATTAGGCTAAGTTAACACTTTTTAATTTTAGATGTAACACCCGGTATGTTTTTGCATAATTAAATAGTAAATTAAAAAACCTTTCGACTAGAGATGCGACTTTTTTTCATTGTTTTTATCAAATGTTTTTTTTCATATTTTAGGTTTTTTTTCAAGATTAGTCTCATTTGCCTAATTGTTTATGTTTCCAGTCCAGGTCATGGACTAAAATTAGCCACTAAATGACATTTAGTAAATGTAAATACAGTATCGCGCTATGCACGCGCCACCACCACCGAATGGACCAATAAGGGCCGCGCTTGTTTTGATTTGGTCCTAAAAAAAGTAACTACCTATATTTTTGATTCAGCGCTTGATTTTTCAATAAGCTACCAAAAGCACTTTTTTTCATGGTTTTTCAAGTTCATGTAGAGTATGGAATTTTTTTCTTCAAAAAAACAATAGCAAATTCTTGTAGAACATTTATTCATTGGTGGTTCAGTCAGAACATTCCGTGGACCAAAAAAGAAAGCCAAATTGAGCGTTGCACGTTTTTCATCTAAAAATCATAAAACTAGAAACTTCAAGCTTCAAATTGCCTTTTTTACGGCTCCAATACGACCATTTTTAACAAAGATACAGCTATCCGAAAAATCGCAAAAAAAAATTTTTATCCTTTAATTTTTTCTATTAGTGTAGAAGTTTTACATTGCTATTGGTTTCTTATGTGGAAACTACCAAATAATAAGAAATCAGATATTTAGTCTAGGTCAAAATTTTCAATAATGAAAAATAATATATTCTACATTTCACTTTTTATTAATATACATTTTACCCAAAATTTCATTTTGAAAAATTACTCAATTTTTTAAGATTGATGTTATTTGAATAGAATAGAATAGATAGATTTATTGAACCAATGAGACATTACAAAGAAAATCTATGGAGGTTCATCCCCTTACAGTTTTTTATAGTTGATTATAATAATAATAATTATAATAATTATTAACATGAGAAAAAAAAATGTTAGCCTAAAATCTTATTATTAACATATATCACAGATAATTAACGCAGTGAAAACTGTTTGGTCTATTACTTAAAATCTAATTATTTGACATACATATCACAGAGAGAATTAATGATGTTATATAAAAACTGTTTGGTCTATTACTTAAAATCTAATTATTTGACATACATATCACAGAGAGAATTAATGATGTTAAATAGCGATTAGCTTAAGAAAATATATCCTCTATATATTATATATAGCCTATAATAGCCCAAGAAGTCTTTCAGTGAAAGTGTAAAGCCCTTTTTTTTTCTTTGAGGTTATTAGGAAGTGAGTTATAGTTGTTTACTCCTTTAAAAAAGATTGAGTTAACACCGTACCGCGATCTACAAGATTATATTTGTTCTGGTCCTAGTGTTGTGTTCATGTAGATTAGATCCTAGAGTGAACGTTAAGTTAGAATGCCTCGAATGATTTAAAACTTGGTGTATGAATGAATTTACTTGGAATTTGTAAATGTTTTTTAGAGAATAAATTTCATAGTTGTTGTATAAGTTAATTGTAGGATATTGGTTATCAAGTGAGTAAAAATAATATTCTGTCAATAAATAACATCAATCTTAAAAAATGGAGTAATTTTTATATTATGCTTTATTGTGGCAGATTTGAAAAAATACAAAAAAAAACACCGATTTTTTTCTAGTTTTTTTTCATGTTGTTTTTCACATCTGAAAAAAAACCGTTTTTTTACATCTCTACTTTCGACTGATGTAACTATTCCCTATAGATAAAGGTAATAATTTTAGAGAAATTTAACAATTTCTAAAATTTTAAATATTATATGGTATCATGAAACCTGTGACGGGTGAGATGACGGTATCTATGGTTACCACGTAATCTGTCATTGTTCAAAATAAAATGCCGTCAATTTTTCAGGTTATAAACAAACAAAGTTTTTTTGTGAAAACAATTATAATGGGGTAGTTAAATTTTTTCTGACCTATACTTTTTATGGTTTTATTCAAGGCGTTTTGTAATATTAAACATTTCTGTGAAATCAGAATTTCAATTGAGTTTACCGTTTTCGAGATATTTACAAAAAATATAAATTTTTATGACGTCACAAACCCCGCCATGTGACCAACATTCTAAGATTTCTATTGGTTGAAAATTACCCTGTTGTCAAGTTGTCTTGTTAATGATTTCATTCGGTTATGTCAGAAAATACCCGAAGAGGTTATGTACAAATACTGTCACTGTCAGTTGAGTGAAAGAAGAAGAAGAGGAGGTTAAAGAAAATTCTGAAATTAAAAATTTTATTGATACCTAGGTTTACACATTGAAACACCGTATGAAACCTATTAAAATGTAATAAATAGGTACCTACCTAATAACTGTATAAAGCAGAGTTTAATATATTTCATAGAAAAAGGTGTCAAAATAAAGCTGAAAATGAATGAAATAAATTTACAAAAAATAATAATATATCTAAAAGAATATAAAGAACTAGGCATTATACTAATGAAATGCATTTACTTTATTTGTTTAAAAGCTCCAATGTTCAATGTAACCAACCAGTCCACAAGATTCCTCTGTTTTGGAGTCCGTTATTAATAAATCACTTACCAATAACATTGATTTTCAATAATCTAAATTTAAAAAAAACAACCCGAAAAAAAGAAACGTCAAAAAATTCTTCTTCTTCTTCTCAACTAAAATATTATAACGTGGCGCCATCTATCGTAAGAATCTTAAACTAAACACACTGGCAACTATAGAAAAAGCTGGCAACGTTGTCAATAGCCTAGTGACGTAATTAGGAGATTTTGTTTTGTAAATATCTCGAAAACGGTAAACTCAATTGAAATTCCGATTTCACAGAAATGTTTAAAATTACAAAACGCCGTGAATAAAACCATAAAAAGTATAGGTCAGAAAAAATTTAACTACCCTATTGTACACTAATAAAAAGAGCAGTCAGTGACTAAAAAAATGGACAAAAAGTATGAGTACACAACAATATAACAATATTTAAGTCAAGAAGAGCAACGTCTAATGTAGAAGTAAGAATTAAGAAATGCTTGAATGTAAATGGAGGACACTTTAAACATTTAGTAATACATTAGTAATAAAAATTAAAATATTGTTGTTTTATTAAATTGTTAATAAAATATTTCATAAAATAATTTTTTTATTTTATTGTCTCCAATGAACTAGTGCTTTATCTAGTTGACATCCACAGCTTTGTTGAGTTTTTTTTTATAATTATCAAATACTGTTTGCATAACATTTAATTTTTTTAATGTTTGTCTTGTTAAGGTTTTTTATAAGTCACTGACTCCAATGTTTTATCAGTAATATTGTTTACAAAACAATTAATTCGTCAACAAATTGTTTATAACAAAAATTGACGCCATTAAATTTTGAGCAATGACAAATTACGTGGTAACCTTAGATACTGTCAACTCGCCCGTCACAGGTTTCTTGATACAAAATAATATTTAAAACTTTAGAAATTGTTAAATATCTCTGAAATTATTAACCTTGGGTATAGGGAACAGTAACATCAATTGAAAGGTTTTTTAAGTTACTACTTGATTATGTAAAAACATACCTGGTGTACATTTAAAATAAAAAAGTTATTAACTTTTTAAGTTATCCATATTTGCCCTGGGTTTTCTCAGCTAATTTGTTGAAAAATGTTAAATAATTGACAAGGAATCTTTTAAACAATGTTTTAAAAATAAAAAAATTCCACCCCCATATTCGCAAAACTAATAACAAAAAAGTTGTAGGCTATTTTTAATTGACGCGCATTTCTCAAATTGTACTCAAAATTTTATGTAGAATTTAAAAATGTAAGAATATATGGGGTGTTCTATTTTAAATAACAAAGTTCGGTTTAACCGGAAGTGGCATTGGACCATGAATGTGAAACACCCTGTATATTTCACATTATCCGTACATCTCATTAATACTAAATACCATCCAAAAATTATGTGGAAAAATAAAAAAACCAAGCACTGAACAACCGCGAAACACGAAAATTTAAATGAATATTTGGAATTATTATCCTAAGGGTTTCAAGTCCACTTTTAATGTTTTTTCTATTTTTTAGAATAGACTATACCTTAAAATTAAAAAGAAGTGGCTCTAAGGTTTAGATATATGTATATTTGTATTAAAATCTGCCACGTTTATGCACCTAAACAGGTACTTTATATTTAATTCTAAATTCGTGACAAATTTTAAATTTCCTTATGCTACATAAAGATATAAATTTTTGCAAATGAGTCAAGCACTATTTTAATAATCTTTTATTTTTTAAATAAATATTTAATATATTATATATAAGGTCACACACAAATATAAATTATAAACAACCAAAAATTTACATAGGTATAATTAAGAAATCCATAGGTCCATAACAATATATCCATGGCTTTAAAAAATATTAGTATAAAAATATTACTTACAAATACTTTTCATATTTCCGACTGCTTAAGCAGCTGTTAAGCTGATGATGTATTAACAATGACTAAATAAAAATGCAATTGATTAAATTTACATTTCACATAGTATAGGTTCATTTGAAATATATTTTTGTATGAAAAAATTGTTTTTGCACAATAATATTATGACCCTGTTGACCTGTTCGATAAAATGCATTATCCTCGCCTTGCCCAAAAAAAAATTGAATGCGAAATTTAAGTTTTAAACATTATATATAAGGATCAGACGCCAATACATTTTCTAGACGTAAATAAAATATAAATAAATCGCTTATCTTTAAAGTTTTACATAAATGCTTCTCAATACAAAAGTAATCTGTTAAAAAACGATATTAACGCATTAAGTTGTTTTTATCTTAAATTAAAAGTACAAAGTTTTGTTTTGTTAGGTTTTTACCAAAAACCCATGCCCAGTGCACGGTGCTCGGGAAGCAGCTTTAAATGAAAAGATAAGTTTCATGTTTTTTTTTTGTTTTTATGTATTTATTGCAACAATAGAAGTAATTTTTTGGTATATTTAGGATCGCTTAACATGGCCGTTTTTAAGAAAATATTGAATTTATAAAAATAAATTGGATTTTTTGAAAAATCAATTTATATTGTAATAAACTATCGTAAAAGCAATATGAAAGTGTATACTTACGTTTTTTAACAACTAAAGTAGCAAACACATTTTAAACTTACATACATATATACAGTGTGGCCCACTTAAGATGGAAACACCCCGTAACTTTTTTATTTGTAACCCGATTTTATTGAACAAAGGCTCAAAAGATAGAGAATAAAAAACTCTATTAGAGCTGTTAAAGTTGTTTTCAAAGTCACCCGACACATGCCTACTATAATTTTTTTTCTGTGTCAAAATTAAAAAAAAAACATTTAGGGTAATTTTTACGAAAAAAATAAGTACGCCACTGAATTTGGAATGCTTAAAAATGGGTAAATACCAAATTTCATTAAAAACAATCGATTGATAATTATTTTACAACGGTTTATTTATTTTGACACAGAAAAAAAAATTATAGTAGGCATGTGTCGGGTGACTTTGAAAACAACTTTAACAGCTCTAATAGAGTTTTTTATTCTCTATCTTTTGAGCCTTTGTTCAATAAAATCGGGTTACAAATAAAAAAGTTACGGGGTGCTTCCATCTTAAGTGGGCCACACTGTATATATGTATGTAAGTTTAAAATCTGTTTGATACTTTAGTTGTTAAAAAACGTACGTATACACTTTCATATTGCTTTTACGATAGTTTATTACAATATAAATTGATGTTTCGAAAAATCCAATTTTTTTATAAATTCAATATTTTCTTAAAAACGGCCATGTTAAGCGATCCTAAAAATACCAAAAAATTACTTCTATTGTTTCATTTTAAAAATTACTTCTATTGTTTCATATTGCTTTTACGATAGTTTATTACAATATAAATTGATGTTTCGAAAAATCCAATTTTTTTATAAATTCAATATTTTCTTAAAAACGGCCATGTTAAGCGATCCTAAAAATACCAAAAAATTACTTCTATTGTTGCAATAAATACATAAAAACAAAAAAAAAACATGAAACTTATCTTTTCATTTAAAGCTGCTTCCCGAGCACCGTGAGTGATGATGAGATATATTCTTTATATTTACAATATTTTTGGTAGGGTGCCTAGTTACTAAATGTCATATGACAAAGCCGTGCACGATCGGCCTGCAAATTCATTTCGACAAATAAAACAAGCGGTCCACTAAGAAAAAGCCGATCAGCACGTGCCGTGATATTGCCGCGCGTCTATTGTTTTTTCGCTCTGGCTAACTCCTTTCACTAGGCAATTAAATTACGCATGTATTTTATTTATTTGTGCAAAGTTTAATGTGTACCATGCCTTCCGAAAAAAAACTATCACTTCGTAAATAGCTGACTATCCTGGAAGATTCAAATACGACGGAAATGATTTATATTGTCGAAAAAAATATTTCGTGCAAAAAAAAGTTTTAAATGGACAAAAATTACTCTTTTTTTAATATTTAATGTTGCATAGTATGCAATGCATACAGGCCCTGTATTACAGGGTGCACCAAATATCTTTCTATCATAGAAGTTCTATGTACCTAATCTTTTTTTTTGAAGAGCTGAATGTTGCGGAATAATATTAAGTCTATTAAAATGGAATTTGAAAATTGGAAAAAATTCTGCGGTTCTCAAATAATAAAAAAACAAAAATTGTTATAACCTCGTTATTCCTGGAAATTAAACATACCCATTTATCTACTTTTTCATCCAATTTGTGATTTTTGAGTTACCACTACCATCTTCTGTTTTTCCTGTGGCCGCTATATTGGAATTTTATATGGTTAGATAGAAAAAAATCAATTAATCCAACCATGATGATAAAAATTTAGATTAATGTGTATGTTACGTTTTACAATGTAAAACCTTTTTTTAAAACTCCCAGGAATAACGACGTTATTATTTTTTAAATTAAACTTCAAGAGAATACAGGATTCCATAACAGGTACATATTACAGAAAATATAAATATAAAATGTATGAATATAAAATATAAAAAAGTAGAAAATATATAATACAAAAATAGCGTGTAAATAATATGATCATGTTCTTATATTAATATAATACTGTTTTTCTACTCCCACCTTTAAAACGACCATTATCGTACATGTTTCCATGAAGTTACCTTTTAAATACACCTTGACAAGTTGTGGCTTTATGGTGTTTTAGTCACGGTCTGAAGTTAGCAACAGGTTTTTAGTTGCGGGCTAAAGTTACTTGACAGTTTTCAAATGTCATACAGTCGTTAAAATAAAGTGCCTTTTTTGTAAAATAATACTACATGTAAAAATTATTTTATTACCTCAATACAAAAATACAAAAGTATTAAATAGTTTCTCAACTCCAATTTCCCATGAAGTGCTATAAAACAGTTTCTTCACTTTCACTGTGAAAAACTGTTGTTAGTACATTTTTAAGGGATACATTTCGATTTACACATACAAATTTGACATATTCACCGGCGCGCCGGTAATACAGATTCCCAAGTTGGTTAATCTATTTTTTTTATCGATAACGCTCTATACAAATTTTTGATTTAAATAATTTTTTGATAATAATAAGTATTTGCAACTCGTTTATAAACTTTTCTAGACACTCATTTAATTAAACACTCGCTCGTGCCTAATTTAAATTCCTGACTTAAATGGAGTATATCAAACTTGATATATAATAAAGAGGCAGTTTTAGGGCAGTTTTTCAGTACTTGTAAATATATTTTTTATATGATATTGTAGGTTGTTTCTTGTAAAATATTCGTGAATATCACAGTTTCTTGTTAATTCTACATTTGTACTAATTAAATGACCTATTTTTAATTTTGTTTTTTATTTTGATACTGTCCATTTTAATTAACTCGCATATTATGTTTAAAATGTTTAGTCATTATAAAAGCCATTTTACATATTTTGGGTGAATTGCTTTAAAATTTTATTTTGAATAGTTTGGAGATTTTTATATCCTTTTGTCTTGCCTGTCCCCAAAAGGCTGTAAGAGTTTATATACAGGATGTTTTGTTTATTGTTGATATTTTGGCATTTAGTTTGTTCACATGGTTACTAAAATTTAGAGAGCTGTCTAGGGTTAAGCCTAGATACTTTGCTTTTTGTACTTGTTCGGGTTCTTTGTTGTTTAAAACTAAGGTATAATTATCACATGTTGCTTTTGGTTTGAAGACTAGATAGTTGTCTTCATTGAGTTTTATATTATTATCTTTGGTCCACTCACTAATTGTAAATAGGTGCTTTTTCGAAAATATCTTGTTAAACGATTTTTGGTTTTGAAAGGTTTTTAGTTTTATTCAAATATTTTAAAAACTGCTGGCTTTTTTCCAATTTATAAATTTAATTTTAATTGGCTTGTAATTACGCAACTTTTCTCTAATTTAACCGACCATGTAGATCATCAAATAAAACAAATACCAATACAAGTATACACATAGAAGGATACTTGGTGCACCCTGCATAATCCAGAACTTTGTAATCGCTTTAGGTAGGAGAGGCGTACGAAGAAGCAAAAGAAAAACCGTCCACTGTCGTAGCGCATCGTGGTTGGCGGACGATCAGATAAACAAAGTCGGCTATCCTACTTTGAACGCAGAATATTCCGAAGAGGACAGCCGCGACGCGCCCGAAGAGCAATGGCAATCGAACAAACGCATCACGCGGCACTCGAACGGCAATCGCGGCCGCGAAATCAAGAACCCCAAGTACCTGTACGACTACCAGACCAATCAGGGCTCGCCGCGCAGACGCAGAGTCGCCTCGGGCAACCGCGAGCTGGGAAGTAGGCGGGAATCGAACGACAAGGAGAATAAAGAAGGGAATTTGGTGAACGGCCGTTCGTGCATAAAGAATGGCAAGGAGGAGGCGAAGGAGGAAGAAGGGGAGGACTTGGAGGTGGATTCCGAGGAGCAATCGAATGAAGCAAAGAATTTGAATGAGCAGGAAGATGCTATTGCACCAAAGGAGGAGAAAAATAATGTTCAAAAGGAGAATAAGCTCGAGTCTGAGTCTGAGGATGATAATATGCCGTTAAGAAGGCGAACTAGAAATAGGAACAACAATATGATTCCCAATCAGGAATTTTCCCCTAGAATTACTAGAAAGAAGAAAATCGTTGAGAGTTCGAGTGAGTCCGAGGAAGAAGGTCCTAAATACTCTCTAAGAGAAAGAGCACCAAAACCTATCCCCAAACAAAGTAGGTTTTAACAAGTGGCTCAAACTTTCTCAAATGTGCCACTTCAAAATTTATTCGGTTTAGGGGAAAAAACAAATTTCCTGAAATATTTTTGAAAAAATCGATTTTTACAATACTTATTAATACAGCCATTCCACGCTACTCGGGAATTTTGTAGCGTCCGTTACAATCAAAAATTGTGAGTAAAACTACCATAATTATTATGCTTATAAGTTTAAGCCTAATTATTACAAGCATAATAAACATGTTTGCAATATTAACTATTGTAACAGTATTTAATTTAATTACGGTAGCTTTTAATCACAATTTTTGATTGTAACGGACGCTACAAAAATTCCCGAGTAGCGTGGAATGGCTGAATAATTACATTTTTTGTGGATGTTTTTTTCAAAAATTGATTACTTCCAAATGGCTCACAAAACTTAACATTTTTTATATCAAAATTTTTCTTGAAAAATATACTTTACGATAAAAAGTTTGTTGTTAGGGGCAAAAAATTGAAAATTAATAAAACTTCTCCGCCTGCGAGGAAATTTTTTCACATTTTATCTGATTTTAGTAAAAATTTTGGTAAAAAAAGTTATTATTTTGTAATAGGTCACAAAAACATTTATAACTTTTGACCTACACTCACAGGCAAAATAATCGATCCACACAAATTTTCGATGAATTTCAATCGCAAATAACTTTTTTATTTAATTTCCGATTTAAACAAATATTAAAGAATATTGTAGATACATTAATGGAGAATCGCTCATATTTTAAAAATTATTAAAAAATACACCTACGTTTATAATATACAGGTTTAAACAAAAATATGTTTTTTACCATAAGTTTAAGACACTCTGTAGAGTGGCAAAACCGTATATTGTTCTAAATTAAGTTTTAATTATCAAGTCACATCTATTTTTAACAGTTTAGTTTTTGGTTCACCTTGATATATTTATTTTTGTTGAAAATATGGATTTTTTTAAAAAAAACATTGCAATTTCCAATATTTTTCCTGTATGAAGAACTAAGGTTGCTATGGTCCATCCATAGCCTATGGAGGATGACAGTGACAGTTTTGTTGAATCATCCCATACTTGGACATGTCATATACAGCTTTCCAAAGGTATCAAATTAAATTAATGTGTTAATTTTAAGGTGTCTTCTTACTTTAAAAAATGTCTCCGACTGATGTTGCCCTTTGTACTTTACTTCTTGTGACGTTTAAAACACTTGCCACGTAATATTGTGACCGTCCATCCTGGATTAAATTAATGGCTCTGGCAACATCAGTCGGGGACATATCCATTTTTTAAAGTGAGAAGACACCTCAAAATTTAAACATTAATTTGCAAAAAACAATTTGATAGCTTTTGAAAGCCGTGTATGAAATGTCCAAGTATGGGATGATTCAACAAAACTGTCACTGTCATTCTCCATAGCATATGGATGGACCATAGCAACCTTAGTTACAATACAAATTCTTTATTTGCTTAATTACATACCTTAGTTCTTCATAAAGAAAAATATTGGAAATTGCAATTTTTTTTTAAAAATCCATATTTTCCTCAAAAATAAATATATCGAGGTTAACCAAAAACAAAACTGTTAAGAATAGATATGACTTGATAAATAAAACTTAATTTAGAACAATATACGGTTTTGCCACTCCACAGAGTGTCTTAAACTTATGGTAAAAACATATTTCTGTTTAAACCTGTATATTATAAACGTACGTCTATTTTTTAGTAATTTTTTAAAATTTAAGCGATTGTCCATTTATTTATCTACAATATTCTTTAATATTCGTTTAAATCCGACATCAAATAAAAAAGGTATTTGCGATTGAAATTCATCGAAAATTTGTGTGGATCGATTATTTTGCCTGTGAGTGTATTACAAAATATTAACTTTTTTTTACAAAAATTTTCGTAAGGGATTGTAAAATTAGATAAAATTTGAAAAAAATTTCTCGCAGGTGGAGAAGTTTTATTAATTTTTAATTGTTAAAAAAAATAGTTTTTTTGAAAGGTTTGCCCCTAACAAATTTTGATATAAAAAATCTTTTGATGAACCGTTCGGGAGTAAACAATTTTTTAAATAACACCCACTAAAAATTTAATTATTATTAAGTAAAAATCGATTTTTTGCAAAAATATTTTAGGAAAGTTGTTTTTACACTCCTAAACTGTTTGAAAACCGTATTGCATTAATCAATGAAAAATGAGACCATCAATTTTCAAATGGCACACAATTTTGAGCCAAGTGCAATACTTTATTTTAACTTGTTTTGTTTTATAGTTCAATTGGCTCTAAGAGCCAGGACAAGGCGGCGGTTTAACCGAAGAAGAGCGGTTTCAGGAGGAAGTTCCAGTTCATCTCCTTCATCATCTGAAGTTCGACATAAGTATGAAAAAAAAAAACATTACAATTTTTAAAAATAATATTAATTCCATTTTTTAGCAAGCCAAAGCCGCCCAAAAGTCCACACTCTAAAAACGAACGCATGAAATCGGGCGTTGGCAACAACAATATAGCTCCGTTGGGTCCGGAAGTGTTAGATGCCAGCGTTAGATTTAACAGCGTTGGCGGCCTGGACAGCCACGTTCAGTGCCTGAAAGAAATGATTTTGCTGCCGATGATGTATCCGGAAGTTTTCAAGCAGTTTCAGATTCAACCTCCAAGGGGGGTTCTTTTTCATGGACCACCAGGTATAAAAACCTTGCTTACTCATTTTAACACAATCCCTTCAATGTTTTCTCTCTCTAAAGGTACGGGTAAAACCTTGATAGCAAGGGCACTAGCGAACGAATGCAGTTTCGGTTCGAAAAAGGTGTCGTTCTTCTTGAGAAAAGGTGCAGATTTGCTAAGCAAATGGGTTGGCGAATCAGAAAAACAATTGAGATTACTATTCTCACAGGTAGGTTTATAGTCGCGGCCAAATCTGCGTGGGTGCACGTCATCAACGGCATATGACGTCAGCGTTAAGGTCTATTCACACGTGCCCAGGTACAATCTAACGCTCGTGTATTGTTGACTGTTTATAGCGGTGGAATCTTCTATACTAACTAATTAGGAGTTTATTACGGGCAAATTTTTATAAAATGTGTTTATAGAGAAAACAAACGGAGTTTATTACATTTTTATTACATATGTACTATTCTCCACACCTCGAAAGTCCCACCACGTGACTACGTACAGAACGCAGTCTTTTGAACATTGGCATTTGCTTTTCAGGTTTTGTATCTGTTAAAGTATAGTCAACGAAAGAAATAATATTTATACTTTTACGGTTTATGTTAAAGCGTTAAAAATTTATAAATCTTTATAGTGGCACAATAGCAATGGTGGGTTTAAGAATTTAGGAATATAAATACTGCATTTAATTAAATTATAAAGTGTATGGTGCCAAATAAGTAATATTTGGTCTACAAAGGTATCTGGTTTCTTCATAAAATAGCTTAAACTAAACGGCATTTAATTAAAAAAAATCTAGCTTCTCTATTATGGAATATCTGTACCAAAGGTAGGTTAATATATTATAACAAAAAATATCATCTAACTTTGTAATTTTAAGATTAGAAAAATCTATTTTGACCAAAATAAATGAGTATGTTGGATTATTTGGAAAAGTGTGTTAATATGGTCATATATGGTTCAAATTAATTAAATGACGGTTTCATTTTTTATAAAAACAACTTTCCTAAAATATTTTTGAAAAAAATCGATTTTTACATTCATCAAAACTTTACATTTTTTATATCAAAATTTTCGTTAAAAAATATACTTTACGATAAAAAATTTGTTGTTAGGGGCAAACCTAAAAAAAACTATTTTTTTAAACAATTAAAAATTAATAAAACTTCTCCGCTTGCAAGGAACTTTTTGCACATTTTATCTGATTTTATCAGATATTCTTATTCCATAATAGAGAAGTTAGATTTTTTTTAATAAATGCCGTTTAGTTAAAACTATTTTATGGAAAAAACCAGATATGTAGACCAAATATTAATTATTTGGCACCATACACTTTGGAATTTAATTAAATGCAGTATTTATATTCCTAAATTCTTAAATCAACCATTGTTATTTTGATTCTATAAAGATTTATAACTTTTTAAAGCTTAAACAAAAGCGATAAAAGTATAAATATTATTTCTTTCGTTGACTATACTTTGAGTCACGTGGTGGGACTTTGAGGTGTGGAGCATAGTACATAACAAAAATTACTAATTTACCTGTCGTCAGAGCGAACCAGGTCAGACTTGGAGGTGATTAATTCCCCAAATTTATTATTAAGGATGCAATGCGTTGCCAACAAGTTTTGTAACATTGTTTACACAATCCAGTGGTAGAACATGGTAAACACTAGACTGGGCCAAAAAAACCTACCATTTTTTTTTGGAAAGTATATCGAAAATATTGTTTGGGGTGACAAAAAAAAATTATGGTGAAAGTTTGAGTCCATAATATTAATATTAAGAGGTCTATCATCGCAATTTTAGATTTTTTTTCCCAAATCATTGAGTTTTTTTATTGACTTAAGAATATTTTTTGAAGAAAACTGAATGCTCTACAAAAAAGGTTTGATTGGAATTTTCCGTCAGATGAACCCTTTTCTTACAATCATGCCTTAAAAATTGGTATAGTTTTACAATTTGATCTTTTAACTTTGGAATTTTATAATTCAAGTAAAAATCAGTACCCTGAAAAAAAACGATAAATATTCTTATGGGAAATCAAATGCTCTACAAAAAAAGTTTTTTTTATCATTTTTGGCTAAATTCACCCCATCAAAAGTTATTCAAGGTTAAATTTGAAGTCAAAACGAAATTTTAACCTTAAATAACTTTTGATTGAGTGAATTTAGCCAAAAATGTTAAGAGGCTTTTTTTGTTAAGCATTTGATTTCCCATAAGAATATTTATCGGTTTTTTATGGGTACTGATTTTTACATGAATTACAAAATTCCAATTTAAAAGATCAAAATGTAAAACTATACCAATTTTTAAGGCATGATTTTTAAGGAAACGGTTCATCTGACGGAAAATTTCACTTTAACCTTTTTTGTAGAGCATTTAATTTTCTTAAAAAAATATTTTCAAGTCAATTTTGTTAAACTCAATGGTGTGGGAGTTCTGAGACTAAAACTTGCTGAGGAAAAAAAATTTAAAATTGCGATGATAGACCTCTTAATAATAATACTATGGACTCAAACTTTCACAATAATTTTTTTGTCACCCCAAATCATATTTTTGATATACTTAAAAAAAAAATAGTTGATTTTTTTGGCCCAGTCCAGTAAACACAATGTACAAAATTATTTATAATAATCTGCAACAAACGATGCTTACGGACGAAATGTCAAAATTACAAAAAACGTCAAATATAAAATGACGCAATAATATTGAATGGTGCGCGCCAGCCTTAAGCTATTAGCAACTGGCACACACACAAATTACTAAGTGAATGGTTTTATTTTAATAATTTCGTAAAAAAGTTTTAAATCAGGGAAATTGTTACAGTTCTTGGTAAACATTTCGCAAATGATGAAGCAAATTTAACGGCAGTAACTTTACAATTTAAAGTTGGTAATGCTGACGTCATTATATCGCCTTGATGACGTGCACCCATACAGATTTAAGTCGTTTTTTCGCGTAAATACTATGTAATACTACGGTTAAATAAGTCATGACGACACAGTTAATTCATATAACCATGGTTAGGTTTCTAACATTTGACATTTGTTTACTTGTTCATAACCTATAATTTTTGAAATGTGTTTTTACCACAGACCTACAAGGTCTGTGGTTTTTACCTATTTATATTTAATTTCTATGCTTTTACCGGTGTAAATAAATTTCTTTGCCTCTTCTTATATCTAGTATATTCTTTTTCTATAGGTACTAGTTTTTTCAATACACGTTATCCAATTCTCCTAGGTACATGTTTAATACAAAATAAGGAAGAATATAAAACAAACCTGCATAATTTATTTTTACTAACACCCCATTTACCATTTTAATACAAAGTTTAAATTCGGTTTAAGAGCAATTGTACCTACTTAAAATATTTTAAATTTCAAATGTAAACAACTTTTTGACAGATCGAAACAGAAAAATTTATATTAAAAAGAGAAAGACTATTAACCACGTTGAATAACTAGCTCAGCGATATAGTTTTATGGTCTGGTATTTGTGACGTCATAGTTAGGATTTTTGAACGCACTCTAAACGCAAAAATGCCTTAAATATTAACCAAGGTTAAGTTTAATAACCATAGTATTTCATGGTATTTACGCGAAAAAACGACTTTGGTCGTGCAAATCTTTTTCGACACATTCAATGTTGTTTAGGCTAGTGAAATGAAACCCTCCATCATATTTTTCGACGAGCTGGACGGGTTGGCACCCGTGCGATCGGCCAAGCAAGATCAGCACCACGCCAGCATAGTGTCCACGCTTCTGGCACTGATGGACGGCTTGGATAGCAGAGGAGAGATCATAGTCATAGGCGCGACCAATCGGATAGACGCCATAGATCCGGCGCTGCGCAGGCCCGGCAGATTCGACCGCGAGCTCTTCTTCCCCCTCCCTTCGAGAAACGAAAGGGAGGAGATTCTCAACGTGAACGTGGCCAAGTGGACCTGCCAGCCCAGCAAACCGCTGATCTCCTATTTGGCGGAGAGCTCGGTGGGCTACTGCGGTTCGGACCTGCGCGCTCTGTGCTCCGAGGCGGTGATACAGAGCTTTCGCAGGACCTATCCGCAAGTTTACTCGTCGGATCACAGGTTGCTGCTGAATCCCGAAAACGTTCGCGTGGAAAAGGTAGATTTTCTCAGGGCCAAGTCCGTGTTGGTTCCGGCTTCGCATAGGCAGGCTCAAGGTTTGGGCAAAAAGTTGCTTCCGAATTTGGAGCCCTTGTTAAAGGTGCCCCTTAAAAGCGCGTTTGATAGCCTGAAGGAGACTTTTCCGCACGGGGCAAACTCAGCTTTGGCAAAGTAAGTTAAAAATTTCAGTCTTACGTTTTTTTGTTATCAAATCAACCAAAGGTTTTGAAGGCACCATCTTCGATTTTGATGAATTTTGGTACAGTTGCTCTTCCTATTGAAAAACTCAAAAAACCAAAATTTTTAATTTTTTTGAACAGTAGTTTTTTTATGGATTTTTGAAAATCAAGAAATTACCAATTTGCCTCTGAAGGCTCTTAAAAAACATATATATCTCATGAACTGCTTATCACAGAGCTTGTTTTAAAGGTCTTTTGAAGCCCTTTCAGATGATGTATACTTTTTCTTAAAAAAAAAAAGAATTTTTGAAAAAAAAAACTCAAAAACACCATTTTTAATTTTTTTCAAATCAATTATTTTTTTAGACTTTTTGCCTACCCACCCAGCAATTTTCTTTATAAAATTATATTATTTTTACCAATTTTAAATTTGACACAACATTCTGTTTTGTGTCAATGTTATACTATGATAGTTTTAAAATTTAGTGTAGTGCATAAAAAAGTGAGTTTTAAGAATTTGAAAATAGTTTGGTAAAAAAATTGCTTAAAATTGTAAAATACACTAACCAGGGCCAATCCCAGGACACTAACCAGGGCCTTTTCCAGAAATAAACCACTTTAGGTCATTGTTTCCAATGCCTTTATTTTTAAAACCGCAGATATTCCCCTATTATAATAATGTTGACCCTGAAGTTTTTTTTTTCAATGGATCACCCTATATATGTATTTATTTTTCGATTGCTTGTAAAAATCTAAGCATATAACATACCATATACCTAAATTCAACCGTTTCTGAAATATTTAAATTATTTTTAAGATAATAAGTTGAAATAGTTTCTCTGTCTGAATACGCCATTTTTACTTATTTAACAAGGCATATTGACATAATGTCACTATAGTAATTAATTTTCAATAAAAATTTTGGTATACTTGAGGCTTCTTGATTTATAACAGTTTAAAAAACATTTAATGATAACATTTCGAATGCGAATATTTCATAAACGGTTGAATTTAGGTATATGGTTTGTTATATGAATTATGCTAAGAATTTTCCAAGGAATCGAAAACGAATTTCCATATGAGGTGATCCATTGAAAAAAAAATAAACTTTTTGTTTTCCCTGTATATTGATCCATTTTCCATTTTTTTTATACGTAGAAAAAAGTATTTTTTAGTACCTACATAAAAAGTTAAAGGGGATCACCCTGTACATATTTGTTGCATGCAGGATTTTTCTTAAATATACCAACCTAGAGGTGGCAGAAAAGGCTGGAATTTTTATAAACAAAGAAAAAGAGGTATCTCAAGCATAGCAGAATTAAACCAGTTCGGTAAAAGATTGACTTTTAAGGTCCAAATACTAAAATTCCCTAAAATGGGTTATTTTTAATATTTTTGTCTTTCTAAGGTTCTAAATTTTTTAACTGAACTTTTTATTTCTCCATTTTAAAGTTTGGTAATTATCCTACTTAAACATTGGTAAAAAAATATATTTAAAAAAAAATGTTTTTGTGAAATTTACAAAAAAAAAAATTAGAGATGGGAAAATTCCCATTTGACGAAAATTCCCGGAAACTTTCCATCGAAAATTCCCGAAATTTTCCGAAAGTTTCAAAAAAATATTTTTTATTGGAAAAATATTTTTTTTTATGCCAGGGATTTGCAAAAATATATAACACATTAACTTTTTGTCAAATTTTTGGTTGCATTAACGACATAGATTTTCTTACAGATCTTGCTTTGAGCATGGTCTTTTTTGTTTTTTTTGCACTATTTTGTAATAATTCCATAATTTTTCTCTTGGCATTGTGCTATGCTTATAAATAAACAACAAAAATGTAAGAATGATTTTAACTTTGTTTATTGTATTTATTTTGTTTACCTTTTTTTAAAAAAAGTTTTTTGTGTTGATCATCAACAGCATCAACAGTTGATGCTGAATAATAATCATTAAGGTTATGTTACATAACTTACATTATTTATACTTCTTCTTCTGCTTTAAATTAATACAAATTAAATTCTTATTCAAAGTTTTTGGCCTTGTATCATGGCCTTAACGAAAATCAGCGGTTAAACAATTGACATTTAAATGAAAAAAACAAGGAATGTTTCCGGTAGCTTAAAAGAAACTTTCAAAATGAAAATAAATTCCCAAATGGAAACTTTCCAAAACGGAAAGTTTCCTTAAAATTGAAACTTTCCGATTCCCATCTCTAAAAAAAATCTCAAAAATCATCTGAGAGGGCTTCAAAATACCTTTAAAACAAGCTATTAGTTAATGTTCTGTGATAAGCAGTTCCAAAGATGCAGGGACAAAATTGGTAAATTTCTCAATTTTTAAAAATCCATAAAAGGAAAACTACTGTTCAAAATTTTTTAAAATTTTGGGTTTTCGAGTTTTTCATGAACAACTTTACCAAAAATAATCAAAATCGGAGATATTGAAAATAAAAGTTTTTTTTGGTTGATTTGATATGAAATTACCCTTAATTTGTTATTTTTTAGGGTGAAAATATCTCCAAACGTGCGTCCAGCTCAATTACTTATCACCGGAAACGGTTCTGAGCATGGTCAAACATGTTATCTAGCTCCTGCTTTAATATACCAAATGGAACATATACATACTTATTTGTTGGATCTGGCTACTTTATACCAAGAAACAGGCAGATCTGCAGAAGAAGCTTGCATACAGGTAATTGTTTTTTTATTAGTCCATTTATACAAGATCCCAAGCATCCTTGCAATAACTGGACCCACTGATTTATGTTATAAAAAATACAGGTTGAGTGCCATTGTACTCACAAAGTATGTGTACACGTCTTGGCTGGTACGAGTTTAATGTGGGAAATATAAACATTTTTAAAATTTGTTGGTTCTGAAGAAATAGGCGATCCATCTGCCCAAAATATTTTTTGAAAAAAGTTGTAGAAAATTATTTATTTCTTAATTAAGGTTAATTTTCTATCAATATCAAGCTAATTTCGTCGTATTTGCAATGCACAACGCAATGTATGTATTTTTATGTATGTATTATTTTTATAAAATAAGACGAAATTTGCTTGAAACTGACAGAAAAGTAACCTTAATTATTAGTCGCGTGGTGGGACTTTTGGCTGTGGAGAAAGTTCTATGATGTACTATAAAATTTCAAGAAAAATAATTGTCTATTAAACTAACTTTTAAACATTAAATAGCTTTCCTTTTTCCATTATTAAATAAATACATTTTGTAAGGATAATATACTGGGTTATCATTTTTATAATATCTTTATACCCTAAAAAACTTTTTAGCGTTAAATCCGAGGGGTCAACCACCCAAAGGGAAAACGTCCATGTATTCCCATTATATTTTATTGTATTCCTATGTATTTCCATTGTATTCCTATGGTATTCCCCCTCTAAAATGTCCAGCGATTCCCAGGTGTGGGTGACCCCTCGGTTAAATCCCTAATAAAATAAGTAATTATAAAAATAATAAATAAGGTACTTTTGATCTAAACCTTTTAAAATAGATAAGATAATAATATTATAATATACATGGTGCACAAAGTATCCTTCTATGGGTATTTTTTTATTTGAAGAGCTACAAGGTCGGTCAAATTAGAATAAAGCCTAATTACAGCCTATTAACATGAAATTTATAAATTGAAAAACGCCAGCGGTTCCCAAAATATAAAAAAACTTTCAAAACCAAAAATGATTATAACTTTGTTATTCCTGGAGTCATTTTAAGCCTATGTCTGAAGGTGCAACTTCTCGCGGCGACTTTCTTGCGGCTCTTGCAGCACGTAATTCCCTTTAAAAGTTACCAAGCCACGACTTTATTGTATGAATATAGAACAATTTTAGAACATGATATATCAGCTTATTAGTTGCATCGCATGAACAGACATAGGCTTTACATGTAAACATACACATTAATATAAATTTTCATCCAATTTCTTCGCTATAGTCGCGGCTAAATCTGCATGGGTGCACGTCATCAACGTCATAAGACGTCAGCGTTAAAGGTCTATTGATACTTGCCCATGCATAATCTAACGCTCGTGTATTGTTGACTATAGCGATGGGGGCTGTTTATAAAGATGGAATTATAATAGCATTGTTATAATCTTCTACACTAACTAATTAGGAGTTTGTTATTGGCAAATTTTGATTAAATGTGTTTAGAAAGGAAACAAATGGAGTTTATTACATTTTTATTACATATTTACAAAACAAAAAAATACTAAATTACCAGAAACACAAAAATACTAAATTACCAGTCGTATTTGTCGTCGGAGAGACCCAGGTCAGACTTCGACTCTGATTATTTTCCCAAATTTATTATTAAGGGCGCAATATCATCGCAATCTAATAGAATAGAATATGATAATCACAATTGTCAAAAGTCAAAATTACAAAAAAAAACGTCAAATATAAAATGACGCTGACCCATCAATAATATTGAACAGTGCGCGCCAGCCTTAAACTATTAGCAACTGTCACACACAAAATTTACTACATGAATGGTTTTATTTTCAAAACAGGGAAATTCTTCTACTGTTTTGGGAAACAATACGCAAATAAATGATATTGGGCCTTAAAAAAGCACATTGAACGGTAGTAACTTAACAATTTAAAGTTGATAATGCTGGGGTTATTATACCGCATTGATGACGTGGACCCATGCAGATTTGGCTGCGACTATACCATGGTTTGAGTTACCATCAAAATCTTTTGTTTTTATAATGACCGCCATAACTTATGTAGTTTGATACATTGTTAGATTTCTTGATTTTTTTTCTATCTAAGAATGTAAAATTCTAATATGGCGGATATAGGAAAAACAAAAGATGGTGGTGCTATCTTAAAATCCAGTGAGCGAAAAAAATCACAAATTGGATGAAAATGTACATAAATGTGTAGGTATGTTTACATGTTTACAAATTTTCAAATATGCTTTATTGTAACGGATTTGAAAAATACCGTTTTTTCTAGTTTTTTTTAAACCTGAAAGGAAACCTTTTGTTTAAATCTCTACCTATGGTTTCCCAACATAAAATTAAAATTTCTTTACATAAGTTAAATTTTAGGTACTAGACTGGGCCAAAAAAATCGACTATTTTTTTTTGTAAAGTATATCGAAAATATTGTTTGGGGTGACAACAAAAAATTATGGTGAAAGTTTGAGTCCATAATATTAATATTAAGAGGTCTATCATCGCAATTTTAGATTTTTTCCTGAGCGAGTTTTTGTCTCAGAACTCCCAAACCATTAAGTTTAATAAATTTGACTTAAGAATATTTTTTGAAGAAAATTGAATGCTCTATAAAAAAGGTTTAATTGGAATTTCCAGATGAACCGTTTTCTTAAAATCATGCTTTAAAAATTTATATAGTTTTACAATTTGATCTTTTAAGTTTGGAATTTTGTAATTCATGCAAAAATCAGTACCGGGAAAAAAACCGATTGATATTCTTATGGGAAATCAAATTCCCTACAAAAAAAGTCTTTTATCATTTTTGACTAAATTCACTCCATCAAAAGTTATTCAAGGTTTAATTTGAAGTCAAAACGAAATTTCAACCTTGAATAACTTTTGATTGAGTGAAAACTATACCAATATTTAAGGCATGATTTTAAGGAAATGGTTCATCTGACGGAAAATTTCACTTTAACCTTTTTTGTAGAGAATTTAATTTTCGAGTCAATTTTGTTAGAAACTCAATGGTTTGGTAGGAAAAAAAATTAAAATTGCGATGATAGACCTCTTAATATTAATATTATGGACTCAAACTTTCACAATATTTTTTTTGTCTCCCCAAACCATATTTTCGATATACTTTTCAAAAAAAAAAATAGTTGATTTTTTTGGCCCAGTCTAATATAAACATATCTTTAAATTTTTACAAAGCTAGTAAAAATGTCGATTATTTTTTTACTACTTTCTACTACTATCTCTTACACAGGCACAGCCACTAATTTCTTATGCCACCAACATACATGCGTTCACGCGTCCCCTCTCTCACTAATATCGATTTTCGCACGCAAACACTGTCACATCGACACATCTATATGACAATCAATTTCCCAGCTCGTTCTGCAAAGCCATAGCATAGATGTTTACGCATCAAAAAATTATTATTATTACTACTATTTTTCATAGATTTTTAACGAAGCCCGAAGAAACGTGCCGAGCATCGTATACATCCCAAGCATAAACCGATGGTGGGAGCTGGTGTCTGAAACGGTCAGAGCCATATTAATAATGCAATTGTCGAAACTCGAGCCGAACATTCCCATACTATTTTTAGCGACCTCCGAAGAAATTTACGGCGATTTACCTGAAGAAGTACAAAACATATTTTCCGTGTACCGTAAAGAGGTCCACCGGGTGGAAGTGCCGTCGGCGGAGTCCCGGTCGGCATTCTTCAAACCGCTGATCATCGATAGCGTTTTAAGGCCGCCCAGGGTTTTCCGAGAGCGCCCCAAAAGTCCGCCGCCGTTGCCGAGGGCGCCCACCCCCCCGCCGACGCCTCTTACGGAGCTACAGTCTCAAAAGTTGTACGAAACGGAAGAGCACACGCTGAGGGAGCTCAGGATATTCCTGAGAGATATTTGCAGGAAATTGGCCAACAACAAGTTGTTTTACATGTTTACCAAGCCTGTGGATACCGAGGAGGTGCCGGATTATACCACGATTATCAAGCAGCCGATGGATTTGGAGACCATGATGACCAAGGTAGACTTCCATAGGTACGAGTGTGCCAAAGACTTTTTGAATGACATCGAATTAATTTGTCAGAATGCTCTGGAGTATAACCCTGCAAGGTAAGAAATTGAACTGTTGAACGTGAAAAGTTATGTATTCATAGTGTCCGACCGAAACTAGATTTTTAGCAGAAACCGTAACCGAAAACGAAACTTGTTAGGGGTCTTTCCATCTCAAATCGACCAAGCAAACAGGGGTACGATTTTTTTACAGTTCTTCTACCGAAATTGATGAGACCCGTATTTTTTCCACTAGCCTAAATTGGGCGTATGTCCCGGCCAGGCGAAAAAATTCCGGGAGTGGATGGACGTTTACTACATACAAAAAAATACATAAAAAATTAAGTGAATTCACTCAAATTTTTTTGTTTGAAGTTGATAATATGAACAAATTTCACCAAAAGTCCCGAGTTGGCTAAATTTGTCATTTCGAAATTATTATTTCTTAAATGAAAATGCAATTTTCTAGTAAATTCGTGGTCCATAGCAAAAATTTGGTTTTTTATCTAGGGTCATGAAACTTTTGATATGAATCGTCCAATATCAAAAGCGGTCATCTCCTTTGAAGAATATTTTAAGTAAACGTCAAAAAAACATTTGAAACAGTAATGGTAAAAAATAAATATATTTTGAAAAACTTGTTCATATGATAACTAAAAATATTTTTTCTACAAAATAAGTAACCAGATTTAAGTTTTAATTAAAAAAACATATATTTCAAAAGGGAAATGGGCATTTTAAGTACATTTTTGTACTTAAAACATCAATGGAGATGGCCGTTATTAAAACTAACATAAAACTTTAATGAATTATTTTCCTTGCAAATAGCCGTTTTTGTTGGCATATAATTTTGCACTTATATACTACGTAATATTTCGATTTTATTAGTGTAAATAACTCATTTAAAAAAAAATTGGAGATGGCCGCTTTTGAAATTAGACGATTCATATATTTAACATATTTTTGTCACCGGAAATGCTCTTTAGTAAGTTAATTAAATTATTAAAAATTTTAGAGTAAAATGTAAATTCTTAATATTTTTGCATGTGTTACTTCTAAAAGATGTAAAAAGTATACGTAAGTTAATTTTGGTTAAAATAATAAAAAGTAAGTATTACATACCTGAAAGTAATCGAATGCTCAAGAAAACGCGATTTCAAAGATTCTAACCACCTCAATTATTATTTTTATTTTATTTTATAAAAAGTTTTAGCGTATGTTTTCACAGTAAAATAAAATCTTAAAATTCACTTACCAGCAAAACAAACTAACGAACTTTCAAATCTTATACTTATTTTAAACACAAAGGTTTTAAAGCCTTTTTAATTTATTTACAACACTTTAAAACCTAATAAACATTTAAATTTAATCAAGAGTTTGAAAGCGATATTATTAAAAAATAGAATCAAATTTAAAAAAATGGTTTTTGCATAAAGTATGGTTTTTCAATTTTTGAAAGCTCCTTAAAACCAGCATTGCAAAAAAGAATAAAATTGTATTTTTTCCAGACTACTTGGTCCAACATAAAGTAGAAAAGCCAATTCAAGGCACTGTAGATATAGAAATTATATTTAATTAAAAAACGATTTGACCAGTTAAAAATTGACAAATGACATATGTATGTATTCAGAATTTTATTTTGAATCGAAATATGTAAAAATGCATGGGGGGTTCATTAAAAAATAAAAAGTTTGAGACCATTTCCGGTGAAATGAAAGTGACTAAAATATGTTAAAAAGTTTTAAATACCAAATGTTTGCGAATTTACAAGAAAAGGGTATTTTCGTAAGTAATAATATCATAAGGGCATCTAATTTTTCCGAAAAAAATCGAAAAAAACGTTGCTAAGTAATATTTTAACAAGAAGCATGAGTGCTGGTGGCAACACAAATCCGAGTCGAAGAGGAGGATTTTTGCACCTGCATGAATGCATTTTGTTCAAAAATATTACTTAGCATTGTGTTTTTTCGATTTTTTTTTACAGGAAAAATTAGATGCCCAAATGGTATTTGACAAGACTATTTCATGAGTAACAGTTAAAAATTAAAATATAAATTGCAATTTTTGGTGACAACAGCTGTCAAGTTTTGCCGCGGGTAAACTCGAAAAAACTGCTGACAGGTGCTGTCACACAGTTTTTTCACCTAGAAACCATTTGTAATTCAAAATTGCGCGTTTGTGATTTGTGGAAATTAAGACGAGACAAGTCATTAATAAAATAATAATTCCGAAACGAAAAAAATATGAAGCAAAAAAAAAAGTGGCAATGTAAAAATTTTGACCTCAATTTTTTTTGCCTTTTTTAGAAAAAAAAAATATTGAATTCACTTAATTTTTTATATATTTTTGTATGTAGTAAACATTTACGTACAATTAAAAAAACATTGTTACGATCGAAACATTTTTGGCCAAGTTATCGCATTTTCAAGAAAAAAATTCACTCGTAAAAAGAGAAAAGTCGATGTTACTGTTCATTTTTTAAAAATTTCCAACGAGTAAACAAAATGAATTTAAGCAAAAAGAAAGAATACGGGTCTCATCGATTTCGGTAGATAAACTGTAAAAAAAAATTCGTTAAAAAATAACGACATACCTACCCTTTTTGCCTGGTTGATTTGAGATAGAAAGTTACAAACACATTATTTTATTAGGTTAAATAAAAAGCTTTGACAAAATTATTTAGAAAGAAACAATTCTACCAATTAAATTAATGATATCTTGCATTTGGCACCTTTGTACTAACAGCCTCAGAATAACGATACTAAACATATTTTTGAAAGGAAGAAAATTGTCGTTCAAAACAAAACTATTTTATGGTTTCGACCGATTCGAAACCAACATTCTGTCGGTCACTGTTTATTTATTTTTTATTTAAAGGTCGTCAGCAGATAAACAAATTCGCCACCGTGCTTGTTCGTTAAGAGACTACGCTTATACTTTAATAAAAAGTGAGATGGATACGGATTTCGAGGATAAATGTCAGGGTATAGCGACAACGCGTAAATTTAGAAAAGTGTGCACCACCAAATTTCTGCCTCCTTACATAAAAACGCCAGAAAATCAAACATTAACTGAAAAGGAGAAAGAAAGCGCCAAGAAAAATAACGAAGAAAATGGAGATAAATCCAATGAAGTTCTTACTCCTGCACAGAGAGCGCATAGTCCGAATAGAAAACGTCGCTTCAAGTGGCAAAAAGGATTTATACAGAAGCCCAAGCGTGCCAAAATGACGCCAGAAGTAAGAAAACTCTTGGAAACTTTTATACCCAATGTACGCATATTTTTATTAGGTTAATGAAAAAACATCAACTGGAGACGAATCTAAAGAGGTCGAGGAAAGTGATAAGCCTGTCGCCAGTTTAAAGGGATCCAGCAGCCAAGTAGAAAACGGTTCTGCCACCTCGGACACCACCACATCTAGCACCACAGCGCCGCTTACCATTAACTGTGATACGCAACCGCTTAAAATGGACGTTGCCAGTCCATTACAGTGAGTAACGATTTAAATATTCGCGGCTAAACAATCTTTTACATTTTCATTATTTTAGATCGCCCAAGAGACGATTAAGCTTACTTTTAAGTCCATCCGAGCTTCTAGATAGTCCGTTAGATTTTGATGATGTTGATCAAGCGTTGAACGAATCAGGTAACTAAATATTTTATTGATGAACCCAAAAGAATATTATTAAAACAAATTATTAAACGATAAATTCGTTTTTTCGGTTTTGCAAGTAGTCAACATTATTTGCCATTTTCTAGCATCTTGGTGTTTTTTTGGTGTAACATGAAAAATCTGTAGATTATGACAAATTAAAAACCTCAACTCTTAATTTTAATTTCAAGAGTTTTTAAAAATTCCCATTAAAATAACACAGGAAAATTATGCTTTCTCATTTTTTCTTTCTATGTAACCAATTTTTTATATACCGTATGTTCACGGATGGGGTTACAAAGAAGAAACAAAATATTTTACATTTCTTAGAAAATTTCATTCTTAAAAAGAAAAATCAAAATTGCAAATTAACCATAGACAATAAAAATGATGAGTGGAATCATTCAATTTTTTAAGCTAGGCGTTTTTGAGTATTAACCATAGAGAAACAAACAAGTCAACAAAAAAAAAACCTCTATGGTATAAACTAAGCTATTGATAATAGGTCAAAAAGTTTAAAAGCAAATTTGTGCTTATTTAGTTACTTACAAATTTGTAAAAAACTATTTTTTTATATCTTTATTAGTTAAAAAGTTATACCCAACCTCAAATATGTAGGTAATGCAATATTACCCTTGTCCCCAAAAAATCGTATTAAAATTAAATGAAACATATATTTAGGTACTAAAAAGTTAAAACATAATACAAATAAGAATTAGGATGTATATAGGTGGCACTTTCCCCCAAATGATCCAGACAAAGCTCGATTTTTCCTAGATTTCAGTGCTTCCCCCCTAATTATTAAACTTCAAAATTAGTTTTTTTACATCGTAAAATTTAAAGCAAAATTTTCTCCACCATTAATTTTTTTTATTTTGTGTGATACATGCAAAATTTGTACAATTCATTTAATAACGTAATTATATTTATAATATAAATAATTTATTCAATATATTATCGTATCTCCAGTATAAATAGGAGCTACAATTTTTTGATGTATTAACTATATTAATACTTGTAAAAAATATTTATTTTAAATTTTTCGAAGAAAAGTCATTCTTTATAATTTCTTTTGCTTGTTATATAAATACGATTCACGTCTAGAAATTTCCAGTTTTTTGTACTGGGTGCTCAAAAAAAAATACAATAGTAGATTTTGCAAAATTAAAAAAAAATTGAAGGTCTGATATGAAGAGCTTGTTAGGAGAAACCAAAAAGCCAAATTAATTTTTTTCATGTAAGTTGTAGTTACTAAAAATAAAATCAATTCAGGTCTTAACTTGAGTGGTCATATTATTTTGTAGAATTTTGACTGCTATCTCATTTTGTAATTATAAATCAAGGTTTTAACTGACTTGTCTACAATGTCTACAATTATTTGTTAAAATTTAAAAACTAATATATTTAATTTTCAATATCAAATATCTTAGTTTCAAAAACTCATGTGAAAAAACTTCATTTGACTTTTTGATTTCTCCTTACCAGCTCTTTATAGTAGCGCTTCAAAAAAAATATTTAAAAATTTTTAATGACTATTTTGATATTTGACAGAAAATTCATTAAAATATTTTTAGAAGTATCAGCAACTATTCAGAAAGACCGAAATTTCATTTCATTTCTATAGTTTGGTTTAATTTAAATTTTTTTAATTTTCAATTTTTGACCGAAAAAACTGGGAATAATGAATCCCCCTAAAACTTCCCCCAAACGTTCAAAAACCCCCAAGTGTAGAGGGAAAACCCCTGGCAACACTGCAAATATGCCTTGGTCACATGTTAATAATAAACAAATATAAGATGTTATTTTTAAAATTTTTTACCGTAGGTATAGTTTATAAGGACGAGAAATAAAAATTTATGATTATTTACAAGAGGGCGCTAATCATTAGCGGCATGTCGAATTAGGTGAATCAATACTTACTTTTTTTTAAATGGCGTATAAAAAATTCATTTCCACGATAATGTTTGTAAAATCACAGTTTTTTTAAATCATAATCAGATTTAAAAATATAATACCTTAAAAACTACAGCCAATATGAAAAAATCCCTAAAAACGTAATCATCATAATACTTTATCCATTTTTCATGGTCCTACCCCGCTATTTTTTTAATTGCGCGCAGTGTTATCGTAAATAACGATATCGCTTTTTTTAAACACCCTATAATGTTTTTTTTTCAGAAACATTGTTTTTTCTTAATGGACCGAATAATATAATGAGGTCTTATTATTGTAAATTGTTATATTATTTATAAAAATATCACCATGCAGTATGACTGTTAACGCATACGTAAGAAAAGGGTATTCCCCGGAAATAGTTGCGGTAGAAGACGCTGTAGTTTGCTTTTTTGTGCGTTTTAAATTCATCTCGTGGAAGAAAACATTGTTTTGCTGGAAACATCAGCCCAAAATCCCGTATTTTTCGAAAGTTAACAGTACAGTTTAAGTTTTTAGTACTAACTAGTAAACTATGGTTTTGAGTTGTCAGTTTCTTGTGCATAAGCAATATATTAACTAAAGCTACTACATAAACTTTACTTTTACTACTATTTTTAGTTGAAGGTGAATCCAAACCAGGAAAGCCCATTGAATGTCCATTGCCAGAGTTGGAAAAGGTGTTAGACCAAGCTGTAAAAGCAACGTCTCAATATTCTCTAATGGCCCTGTTAGATTTATATAACCATCTCAATGGCATTATTAAAAAATACTCTAGAACCCACTTAAGAACTGCACTACCCAAGGTAATTTGTATAATTTAATTTATAATGAATTACTTATCTTTCTTTTTTTAGGATATGATGAAGGAGTTGATACGTTTCAAAAAGGAAAGGAGTATGGACAATCACTGCCCAGTTTAATTTTATATTATATTGTTTTTATTTTATTATAAGTATCAGTATTTAAATAGATATTTTTTATTTTAAAGTTTACTTAAGCTGTTGCAGTGCAGCAGTACTTTAGAATTTAAGTTATTTATTTTTAGATTACCAAAGATAATAATGTCTTCACTGCCACAAAAAGGCTGATTTTTTTGTATCGTATTAAATTGTTTAAGAGGGTGCTTAATGTGCTTCAGAAATCTTATTTGTCCTTAGTTGTATATAACTTAATTCACTTAATTTTTTACTTAACTTATGTTGTTTTTGAATAAGTAGTAACTAAATAAATTTAACCTAAATTTATTTGAAATATTAATATTCATACCCATTTCGAAGAAATAAAACAAGGCTTCAACTGGGATAAAGTTTACTTTAGGACATAACAGAATGTCATAATACAATAAAATTTGTCTAGAAAAATAGATAACACAGTACGCAAAAAATAAATACTTTATACACCTTGAAACAACCAACACTTTGGGGTTAAAAAAACATAAAATTGGAAACTTACACCTTAACCTTAATAATAAATTAGTAAAAGAACAATTCTGGGAAGTTTTGCTCATACGTAGGTTTCTCTGACAATTTTTCTTCTGAAGCGCGTTGTTCAGTCACGCTCAAAGACTTAAATATTTCGTTAAGTTTGTTCTGTAGAACCTCATGCTAAAATAAAATCATCAGCCCAAAAATATTTTCAAAATTATAATTGTGTACCTTAGGTTGCGTTCTACGCACTAATTCCGAGAACGTTGCCGTTCTAAAAGTGTGGCTGATTTGTTTTCTTCTTTCAGCTTCGGCTTCTTTTCTCACTTCTGGTGGTTCTGATAAAACTTTCTTCATGCTTTCAAATGTCAGTTCCTCCTCTGGTAGTTTCTGTAAATTAAATAAGGCATTATTTATGGATTAAGCTTAAGATAAGGCGTGTTAGTTTAATGAACCATGTATTTTGTTAAAGAGGCTTGAAGCTAAACTTTGAAATGAAAACATTCCAAAAAATACTTTTAAGTTCATTTAAAAAATTAAATCCTGAAAAGTAAAGTAGCTATTTAAAAAGCCAAACGCAATTTCAAAGCAATTCAGGTAATGAAAAGCCAAAATAAAAAATAAACATGCCCAAAAACAAAAAATTAAAAACCTCAATCTTAATTTGGCTTCTGGAAAAGGCCCACTGGAAAGGATTAACCAAAAAGAACTAAAAGGGGAAACTAAAATTAATTAGGTTAAACCAAATTACAATAATATACAACCCTAGTTAAGTCGAACTTTTTAAGAATCCGCAAAATCCTTATAAGAATAAGGAATTCCGTATAAGTACCTTATAAAAACCAAAGATTGGTAATTCTTATAAGGTAACATTATAAGGAAATTTTCGGTCCGCCTCTCAGTGTCGTCAAGAAGTTCCCTGTGAAGTAGTTCTTAAACTAGGTTGTCTTAGCCCCTATAAGGTTTGTAACGCATTATAAAATAGCCTTATAAGAATCCTTATTCTTATTAAGTTATTTATAAGGTTGACTGTAAACTAAGGGATTGCCAATATTAAAACTAAAATGCCCAAATAAATTATGATAAAACTACACAACAAATACAAAGCATTTAAACTACATATTTAATAAAAAAACAAACAACAAATTGCAGTTGTAGATAAAAAAAGTTGAAATTAACAGTCGTTTTCTACTTTTTTAACTATGCCCTGCTATCAATTTTAAAATCCTGGCAAAAGTTTATAAATTAATTAATTGTTTACAATTCGTGTAATAAAACACGATTTTAAAAGTTTTTTTATAAAAGACAAACAAGTCAATAATTATAAAAATCGTTTTTCATAAAGTTCCATAGTAACAAAAATAACACATAATAAAAACTACAATATGAAACTAACATTTTTAATTACTTATGTGTTATTTTTATTACTATGGAACTTTATGAAAAATGATTTTTGGTGAATATTCCACTCATTACTTTATGGACCAATCAGATTTCAGAAAACGAGTATTTTTTTCAGTTTTGCAGCGATAAAACTACTATTTAGGTGACTATTCCACTCATTACTTTATGGACCAATCAGATTTCAGAAATCGCGATAAAACTACAATTGGTTTCTATGCGAAAAATAATTGTTGACGTTTCTGATTTTTAAATAAAAATGTCAAAAAATATGCGTTTTGGTCAAAACAATCATACAGAAATCGAACCGGCAGTTAATTCTAATTAAAATTTTTTTTTTCGTAAAATAGTCTTGCCGAATGCCGATAAAATTTTCCCTGGAAAAAACTTTTGATTTTTATTTACCTTGGAAAGTTCGCTCGTGGCATTAATTTAAAACCACTCGTGGTCTTAAAAATTAATGCCACTTGCGAAATTTCCAAGAAAAAAACATTCGTATAAAAATCAAAATTTTACCACCAGTGGTATTATATACGACTATTTCCCTCGTCTTAATTTCCACCAATCACAAACGTGCAATTTTGAATTACAAATGGTTTCTAGGTGAAAAAACTGTGTGACAGCACCTGTCAGCAGTTTTTTCGAGTTTACCCGCGGCAAAACTTGACAGCTGTTGTCACCAAAAATGGCAATTTATATTTTAATTGTTAACTGTTACTCATGAAATAGTCTTGTCAAATACCATTCGGGCATCTAATTTTTCCTGTGAAAAAAATCGAAAAAACACAATGTCAAGTAATATTTTTTAACAAAATGCATTCGTGCAGGTGCAAAAATCCTCCTCTTCGACTCGGATTTTTGTTGCCACCAGCACTCATGCTTCTTGTTAAAATATTACTTAGCAACGTGTTTTTTCGATTTTTTTCGGAAAAATTAGATGCCCTTATGATATTACTTACGAAAAAATAATTGTGCCATGAAATGGGCCCGTAAAGGCGAAAGACGAATTTTACTAAACTTTTTCTACGAATTCTCAAAATTGCAGGAGTTATTTAACTTTTAAAGCCCCCAATGAAAGCGCAGTATTCAGGACGAGTCCAGTGTTTGTTCAAATGTATGTAGACAACTAGGGTTTTAAAATTTCCGGAAAAATTGGGAAATTTTCAGAAAAATTGACTTTTGCATTTTTTTCGTTTTATTCAAAAGAAAGATGTCCAAATTTTTACGGATATCTGTACACTGATATCAAGAAAAAATTATAATCATATAATATTATGATGAATATAATAATAATTCCTTTTAATTTTAATTCAGTAAGATTCTATTTTTTTCTACCGGGCCGCAAAAAAAACATATTGACTTTGTAATTTAATTCATTATTTTGTAATTGGATATTTTCAATTTACTTATTTTTGCAAAAAAGACTCAACCGAGAGTATTTTATTTTCTTAAATCAAATTAATTCATTTCAATTCAATTTAGGTTTTTTTCCTGTAATAAAGGATTTTTTTTAAATTAAAATAATGTTAACATGCTACTTTTTTTAAAACATATTTTCAAAAAAAAAATCAATTTTTCCCAAAAGTACCAATTTTTCCAAGGCCTTGGAAAAAAACGGAAAAAACAGTTTTTTCAATAGAGGCTAAATTTAGCAAAGTATTCCTCAAGGTTATGACGATTAGCTGTCATTTTGGTTATGCAGGTACACTGCATTGTGCCATACCAAACTAACCCAAACTTAACAACCCAACCCAACCGACCCCGCCCCATTAAGCAATAGAGGTATAATATATCTAAGGGCAGGCTGGGGGGGCCCAATGGGGCGGGGTCGGTTGGGTTGGGTTGTTAAGTTTGGGTTGGTTTGGTATGGCACAATGCAGTGTACCTGCATAACCAAGATGACAGCTATTCGTCATAACCTTGAGGAATACTTTGCTACATTTAGCCTCTAGTGTTTTTTCCCCTATAGGCAACCCATATTACAAATCGACAATACTGCGTGCGGCTTCAAAAGTTAAGTAACTCCTGCAATTTTGAGAAAAATTCATCTTGGAATTTCAAGAGAAATTCACATTATATTAAAATGGAATTATATGGAAATTATATTATATGGAAATTATATTATATAAATTATATGGAATTAAAAAAAAAAAATCTGATTCTGCTTCTGATTTTAGAGTTACTAAAACTCAATGTATGCTGTATTAAATATAGTATATTTAAAAACTTTTAATATTGAGATTAAAAAAGTTTTTTTTTACGTCCAACCAATATATTCGCAGTTAAAATTTTATTGAGATCATAATAAAACTTTTTTATGTATAGGTCAATTTTGGAGGGGATTTGTATGTGAAAAAAGTCTCCTGACCTCTAAAATCTTTGTGTTAATTTTGAAAATCTTGTATAAAAAAACTTACCCTCTGAACACCAGGGGAACTGGCAGCACTGTCCACCTCGTGCGCGGACGTCAACTCGACGATGCTGCCCCTGGCGCCGTTCTCCATCCAGCTGTGCCTGTGCGCGCTCGCCAAATTACCCGGTCCGCCGGCCCCGTACGGCGACGTCTGCGCCAGCCTGGCCGGATCGATGCCGCCGCTCCTCAGATACTCGCACACCGCCATCTGGTCGACCAGCAGGTGCGGCACCTTGCTCGCCGGCTCGGCGGAAGCGGGGTAGTGCATCATCATTTCCGGCAGAAGTTGCGGCGCTTCCGCCCTGCGCTTGTTCACGATCCTGTTCGCGTAATCGGATAGAGGTTCGATGCTGACCACTGTAGGGATCAGCACTAGCAGGCTTATGACTAGAGCGTGGAGGTTGAATTTTTGGGTTGAGGTTATGGAGGTGCTGTTCAAAGCTAGACTTTGAATTCTGAAATATCAACATTTTTGTTCTTTTAATTTTTTGACTTAAGTACATTTTGATATTGCTTTTTAATTGTTTGTACATGGACAACTCAACTCACGATGTCCCTGAATAACTTTTAATTAAAAGGTTCAGACGTATCCGATATTTTGATAAAAAACCACTTACAAGACAATTTTTTATAAAAACATTAACGGTTTTTGATCAATTTTTTAAGATTTTTAATTAGTGAACTCCAAATAATGACTAACAGCTTTTAATGTATTTGTTACATAAAATGTGCAATTCATTAGACTAGTGAACTATTGACATATGTCACTTGCCACATGTCACATGTCGAAAATCGTGATTGAAAATACCGTTGCGTCATTTTACCGTTTTTTTTTTCAATTTGTCGCAGATTTATTTATAAATTAGATATAAATAATTATATTTGCATTGATTATAGTATATAGTGCAATGAAGCTAATAAAAAACTCACTCGGATAATCGCGAGAGAATTTGTTTGTTTTGTCTTAAAAAAACTTATAAAAAAATGTCTATGTGGAAAGATTCTGGAAAAAAGTTCAAAGCATAGTAGTATATGATGTCGAAGATGAACAATTACCAAAAGTTGTATGCAAAGGTTGTGAAATTTTATTATATAAAGCAGCTAAACAAGAAATTTATGGAAACACGTTAAATTTGCCTGATTTTTCTAATTGGAAATAATTGGGTATAATTTTATAAAGTGCTAAAAAAAAGAAAAAAGCGTGTATTGCATACAACTTTTGGTAATCGTTCATCTTCTACATCATATAGGTACTAATATGCTTTGAACTTTTTCCAGAATCTTTCCACATATTTTAGAATTTTTTTTTTTTTTTTAAGACAAAACAAACAAATTCTCTCGCGATTATCCGAGTGAGTCCATGCAAGGTTTTTTATTAGCTTCATTGCACTATATACTATAATCAATGAAAATATAATTGAAGCATGGAAATTCAAAAGCGTCTAAGTGCCACTGCAGTGCTAAGCAAAAAGGTGGTAACTAATGCATTACTTAATATTGTTTAATAAATTTGTGCTTTGCACGGCAGCGGCACTTGGACGCTTTTGAATTTCCATGCTTCAATTATTTATATCTAATTTATAAATAAATCTGCTATAAATTGAAAAAAAAAAACGGTAAAATAACGCAACGGTATTTTTAATCACGATTTCGACATGTAACATATGTCAATAGTTCACTAGTCTAATGAATTGCACATTTTATGTAACAAATACATTAAAAGCTGTTAGTCATTATTTGGAGTTCACTAATTAAAAATCTCAAAAAATTGATTAAAAATCATCAATGTTTTTATAAAAATTGATTTTTATAAAAAGTGCCAAGCGAGTTGAGTTTAGCCTGAAAGAAAATTGTCTTGTAAGTGATTTTTTATCAAAATATGAAAAAAAATCGGATACGTCTAAACCTTTCAATTAACAGTTATTCAGGGACACCGTGAACTACGAGCATAAACGAATCGTTTAAACCGATCAATGTCGAGCGCAACAAAAATGGTAAAGAGACCTAATGAAAATAATTTACAAATTAAAATTACTCAAAACAGGGTCATTCCATGTGACGGGTGGGACACTTGTACTAATTTGTATATGATTAATCAATTTATATTTTATTATTGTAAGCTTTTTTATCCATGGAACCCTGATATTTTGAAACTCCCATACAACATCTAAATAAACAATACAAGTTTCTTGTCACACTATTTAGTTTTATAGACTTTTTTAGTTTTATAAAGTAATTTTTTATTGTGACGGGTGGGACAAGCAAAAAACGATATTTTTTTGACTTATTGCTTGGAAGCAAAATTCTGCTAAATTATACAAAACTATAATATGTTAAAAAATTTTTTCTTTACATAAGTCTTTGTACTATATAATGCGTTTATATATTTTTTTAAAAAACATGTTGATAAAGTCAATAAAAAATATAATGCCATATTAAAAATGTGACGGGTGGGACATTATTATGTGACGGGTGGGACAAGTTGAAAATAATAAGGTTGGGAAATATATTATTACTTTATTTAATTTAAATTTATAAGATAAAACATTATTTAACCCTATAATATGCATTGAAGATTTAGTTTTAAATATGCTGTTACACTATATGTAAAAGATTGTCATTTTTAGCTCTAAAAAAAATGTTGTAAATGAAGATTAGGTATGGGTTTTATATTCTTCCATTTGTCTGCTAAATTTGCGCCAGCCTCTTTTATTTTGGTAGTAGGTATCTATGTAAAAACAATTATAAATTTTTAAGATTTTTTAAATACTCAATACATTCTTTTGGAGTATTAATTACCCTTTTCTAGATTTAATTTCTGACCACAATTTTTTTAGCTTATGCTCCAACCTTACTCATTGCGCCTTTTTCATGACTGGTAACAAAAAATGCCCAATCAACACTTAAACCCCAATCATGAGGCGCGTTACATAATATTAAATTGCCTAGCACAACCGTCGGTAAAAAATGTTATATGTTCTAAAGTGGAGCATTTAATTTTTAAATGGGAAACTATTTTCTTTGTAAAAGTCCAGACTAAAGACTTATCAAGAGATAAATTATTACTTAAAATGGCATACGAAAGTTTTTTCTTTTAGCCCTTCTTTTATATCCCTAGTTTTTTATTTTTTTATAAATTTTATATATTTCATAGGGTCTGTTTTAATTTTATCTCCACTTTTTCGTACAGCTACAGCTGATTCCATATCTAAATAAAAGATAGTTATAGCATTTCGAAGGGTGACAAGAAAAAACCTTATTTATTAGTTTTTGTAGTCAATTTTTAACAATGTTTGAATATTGAATTTTTTGAATTTAAATAAGATGTATTTTTATATAAGATTTATATTTCTTTGCCAAGCATATATACATCTTATTTAAATTTAAAAAAATAAAAAAACCTTATATCTTAGTATTTTATTTAATTAATTATTTAAAGAAAGTATAAAAACGCAATTTTTTTAATATTATAGTATAAATATTTATTAAATTTAGATGCAGAAAAACTGGATGGAACCTACCGCACCTGCATTAACAATAACTGATAACTGATTTTTAAATAGATTAACTTAAAAAGTTACAAAACACGCCGTAGTGTGACGGGTGGGACAAATTATAATAATTTATAAAAAATTTAAATTTTAATTAATAGACTTGAAATTACCCCCAAATATTTGATATTATTGACTTTATTTGCTATTAAAATCTGCATTAAAAAAAATTATTATTTCTATTAAAATTAAAACTATTTTGTTTTTTTTGTGACGGGTGGGACAAATAAGCATGTCAATTAAAACAATTAATTTAACAAATAATAACTTACCTTCTTTTGATAAACGTTAAACAAGCTTAACAATAAACACTTATTTAAATAAATTTTAAGTTAGAAAGTTCTTAAAAAGAGCCAGATCATTAATACAAAGCCAATTATTTACTTATATTTTACATTGAAAATAAATAAACGAATTAAATAAGTTCAAGTTAATAAATAAATACTGCATTTTAATTTAAATATTTAGTTTGTTTTGTTTTTGTTTATTTTAAGCCTTTAAAATTTAAAATTTAATATTTATATATTAAATATTAAATGTTTAATTTTTACAAAAAAGTTAAAATTTTCGTGGAATGTCCCAACAGTGATTTTGGTGTTATCTGGTTTTTGCAGTAACCCGACGATATATGGATAAAAAATAGAGAACCCAAAGACAATGTTTTTTAAACTAATAATAAAATACAAAAAATACTCAATTAGATAATGTTTTTTGTAAAAAAACACTGGTTAACAATAGCGTTTTAAAGCGTCGAAAAAAAAAGGAAAAATTTCCCAGGCATTGAAAAAAATGTACCATATAGGGTGTCCCAGAACTCGCGCCACAGAGAAAAAGGAGAAGTGCTGATAGCTATAGAAATGCCAAATTTAAAGACCAAAAAAGCAATTTCTTCAAAATTAAATATTTTTTCAGGAAATATGTTTTTTTTGGGGCATTCTTTCATAATAAGTGAACAGATTTCATGTGAAATTTTTACTGTATAAATAAGTTAATAAAGTTAAATTATAAAATAATTGTTTAAAACAATAGTTGTGTAACAAATTAGTCAATTGTTTCAGAATAAACAGAACACCAGCTCCCTCTTATCTTAGGAAGATTCTTGTTTACATAAAGTTTGGACTCCTTATGTAGGCTCCATGATTACAGCGATAAAACTATTTAGGTGACATTTCCCTCGTCTTAATTTCCACCAATCACAAACGCGAAATTTTGAATTACAAATGGTTTCTAGGTGAAAAAACTGACAGCACCTGTCAGCATTTTTTTCGAGTTTAACCGCGGCAAAACTGGGCAGCTGTTGTCACCAAAAATTGCAATTTATATTTTAATTGTTAACTGTTACTCGTGAAATAGTCTTGTCAAATACCATTCGGGCATCTAATTTTTCCTGTGAAAAAAATCGAAAAAACACAATGCTAAGTAATATTTTTTTAACAAAATGCATTCGTGCAGGTGCAAAAATCCTCGTCTTCGACTCGGATTTTTGTTGCCACCAGCACTCACTATGTTCTGTGCCAGCACTCATGCTTCTTGTTAAAATATTACTTAGCAACGTGTTTTTTCGATTTTTTTCGGAAAAATTAGATGCCCTTATGATATTACTTACGAAAAAAACACTCGTTTATACGAGCGAAAAATAATTGTCAATGTTGACGTTTCCAATTTTAAAATAAAAATTTCCAAAAATATGCGTTTTAGTCAAAAAAATCATACCGAAATTGAATCGGCAGTTAATTCTTATTTAAAAAAAATATTCGTGAAATGGCCTTGCCGAAAAAATTTTGATTTTTATATAATCAAGATTTTTCCTTTTCCAAGAAAAATTCATTTGTATAAAAATCAAAAATTTTATCCGTAAAATTTACCACTATTGGTACCTATTATAATATATATATACAACATATCATTTTTTAAAATCAAATTTAAAATGCATTTTGGTGGGAGGATATAAATCATGTATAAATATTATTATTATATTTTATAAAATAGTTGAAATATTCTCACAAAAATGCATTTTGAACTATAAAGCTGATTTTATAAACTCGTTTAATTCTGATATAGAGGTAGTTTTTCACAGTGAAAGTAAAGAGGATGTTTAAATACTAGTTTACTGCAAACAGGTCAATAAAAACGTGCATATAAACTTTTCAAGAATCTATTTACTAATTTTGTATTTTTGTATTGAGATTTGAGACTTAGTGTCAAGGAAACATGAACATTTGCGACTCTATTAAATTGACCACAAACTGTACTTTATTTTGTTAAAATTTTAACCTAATCAATATAATTGTCAAAAAGGCACTTAAATAAACCGCGCGTGTCAAAATTGGTGATTGGCCCTTAAATAAACTGTATTTAAACGAGTTGTAAAACTTTTTTTATCGATGAAAGTGTGTAATAAAATAAAAAAATATATACAAAAAAAGAATGATGCATGAGTCGCAACTAAAATAGATGTCGTAAAATATATTTAAATAGAATATCGCGAAAACAAGAATGATTTTTGAGCGCACCTAAATTACCCTAGAAGAAATAGCAAACGCAACATTTTTTCTGTTTTTTAGCAAAAAAGGGAAATTAATGTATGCTTACCCAAGTAGTAATTGAAGTAGATCAATAACAGTCTCCGCGCTTGCTAGTTCAACGCAAAGTAATGCTAAGGTGGTGTAAACAGCTTCAATATTTTCTGTGGTATTGCTTTCTATTTGCAAGCTTGTGTACAAGGCGTCGTAAATAGTTGGTCCATGTTTATTAATAAAGATCAAATCGGGCCTTGAGGATTTTTCCATAGTAAGTTCTAAATCAGCAACATAAACACTGAAAAAAAACAATATTTTAATTCGTGAATTGAGAAAATGACAAAAATAAAATTATCCATTTAAAAAATACAAATACTCACATAGGTTTGTTCAACTTCTCTAAATTGTGATGTCTGTCAATAAGAGTGTGCAATATTTTCTGTACAAGCAGTCTCATGTCCGGATCCGGCGCCAAAGACATTCTTAGAAGCGGCTCCAAGAAGGAAACCGGGAATGTTGTGTTCAAATGTATGGTTTGGTACTTGGTACCAACTTTGAGCAAACTCTTCAGCAAGATGCTTTGCAGCAAATTGTCGGCCGGAGTTTGGTTGTCTACTAGGGGGTAGGGTATTTTGCTCATAATGAACATCATTATTTCGATTTTCTGGTAATCTGGAAGGTGATTGGCGAACTCTCCCAAAGCGTTTATTAATGCTTCTTGGTATTGCTTTTCTTCGGTCTGACTGGCGCCCACTTTTACGGAGTCCCTTAAGTGACTCAGAAGGGAATTGATGATTTCAAGAACGGAAGGACCTAGCAAAATTAGTATGTTTTACAGGATATTTATTAAAAAATCCATTTTGATATTATTTATTGAACACGAAAATTTTGTAACACCTGTAAAAATGAATGCTGGAAAACATGTTTTAATGTTTAATTTTGTTTTTTTATATAAATAATTATTTTAGTAGGGTCATTCCATGACAAACGAAACTAAGGGTAAAAAAATAAATATGTTCTTTTCGAATTAAATCTGATGAATTTTGTCTTAGTCTTTAGTCTTCAGAATCTGTACTAAAGTAAACTGGCTGAATGGCCATTGTGCCTCTAACTATTGAAAAAATGAAAAAAAACTGTAAATCTGTCAACCGTTTTGACACGTTGTGATTTGAGATTATTTATCGTAGTATTGGTGGATTGCGTCACAGTCCCTAAAAAAATGATAATTATCACGTTAAATAAGTGTATTCTTCTTACTTTGCCACTGTAACACCCGAAACGAAAAATCATGTAATTGTTTTATTATTATACCTTACAAATTGATTAGTGTAATAATATTTAGTAAAAGTAACGTTAAGGTGGTGATGATTTAAAATACTAACTAATATCTGAGCATGAGACTAATTTGATATGTATTTTTCTTGAATAAAAAAGGTAACACCCGAAACGTTTCGGGTGTTACAACTTTTTTATGTGTCGATATATGTGTGTGTATTGCTTGAAGAATCCAATAAGTATTATTGTAACGTTTTTAACTGTTCGTAGTGTGAATTAAAACACGCACTGGTTAATTAACGAACTAAACTATTTATTTAATAACTTAACTACACTTAAAACACTATAAAACTAACTAAACACTTAACTACTAATTATTTATATCACTACTAGTTATTTATTTGCACTTATATTTATTTATTTCTTCGCAAGTACCCAAAGCTCAACTGACTGCCGTGTACTGCTCCGCTTCTTATATATTCAGCGCCAAGGTCTTCTGGAACATTCCAGCGAGCTCCACACTCTCGATTGTTCGAGCGCTGAGTCACCGGCGATGACTCATCGGCGATGACTAACCGGCGATGAGTCATCACTCCGATATCCAGAGCGGTACTCGCTACATTGCCCCCGTCTTAAAACATTTTCGTCCCGAAAATGGTCCTCAGTTCCATGGCGATATTTGCATAGAGATCCAAACTTGCATTGTGACGTCCTATAGAAGTAGCAGTCTACGGTCTTCCTTCCGGATGTTCTTTTAGGGTTGTGGCAACAGACAAGAATGTGTATGCCACTAAATCTGAAGATAACTTCCACCATACTTCTAATTATTCTCCAGTCTAAGCCGTCAAGTCCACAAGCAATCTTCGGTATCGCCAGGTTCATGATGTCCTTGGACAAAAGGATATCCCTCAATTTATTTAAGGCATTCCATACGTCACGGTAATTTGGCTTCTGATTGGAGAGTTGCTTCGTTACCAGATAGAAGATACTTCTATTGCCTATCTGCTCATTATCCACAATTTCAAGCACCTCTCCAACTTTGGGATTCTGCCTTCGTAGCTCGTCGACCCGTCCAAACTTGTTTTTAAAGACAACCGCTATTCCCCTGGACATCCTAAGGTCTTCCGCAACACAGTGAGCCAAGGAGTAATCGGCCGAAACCGTGAACAGATCTTTTTGTTCTTCTCGAGTGACACCATACCGAGCTTTTTTACCGCTCGAATAAAAATACATGAAGTCTTCAAAAGGCAAGTCGTCTTCCGGCGGATTAACCCTCCTTACTCTAGCGTCGTTTATTTGGTCATCATTGTTACCAGCGTAAGGAGCCAATCGGTTAAAATGGATCACTTTCGGCTTTCCTCTTGGTTGTTTCCTGATCCTGTAGATGATGTCATTTATTCGATCCATGACTTCGTAAGGTCCCTCCCAAGAAGTCTGCAGCTTCGGTGAATAACCACGACGGCGCTGAGGGTTGTATAACCAAACTAGGTCTCCAGGTTGAAATCCTCCATTTTCCGCCTTGATGTCGTATGCCTCTTTCATTCTATCACTGGCGCTCTGGATGTTTAAACGAACTCGGCTGTGAATGTCGCTCATTTTCCTACGTAAATTGTTGACGTAATCTTCTCCAGCAATATCATCCCCTGGTAGGCAACCAAACCTCAGGTCACAAGGTAGACGAAGTTCACGCCCCATAACAATGCTAGCGGGTGTCTGGCCGGTTGTATCGTGGATAGAAGAACGGTACGCCAACAGGAACAGATGAAGGAAGCGGTCCCAGTCTCTTTGGTGATCAGAGACTACCTTGGACAGGTACCGGTTTATCGTTCGATTCATTCGTTCTACCATTCCATCAGACTGCGGATGTAATGCAGTCGTCCTCGTCTTCCGAATGTTAAGAATTTTACAGACATTCTGGAACAGTATAGATTCAAAGTTCCTGCCTTGGTCTGAATGCATCTCCATTGGCACACCAAAACGACAAATCCACTCCTTAATAAGGGCATCGGCCACTGTGGCAGCTTCCTGGTTTGGCAAGGCGTACGCTTCCGCCCACTTGCTGAAGTAGTCCATTACAACGATGATGTATTTATTTCCAGATTCTGTTTCCGGAAATGGACCCGCCACGTCGATTGCAATTCTCTCAAATGGGCTGCCCACATTGTACTGTCGCATTGGGGCTTTTGGGCGCTTCTGGGGTCCATTGCTTGCCGCGCAAACGGCGCACTTCTTGCACCATTCCTTCACATCCCGTTGGCTGTTGACCCAATAAAACCGTTCCCTAAGTCTTCCGAGCGTCCTGGTCACCCCAAGATGTCCTCCAGTAGTTCCATCATGGATTTCCTGCAGCACTTCTGGTATCCTATTTCTGGGGATTATTATCTGCTTCCGGTCTTCCCCCCCTTCTGGCAACTCCAGAACGCGCTTTAGAAGCCCGTCACTTAAGATGATGGAATTCCATTGGGCCCAGTACGATTTCACATTCGGCGAATATTGGGCGACTTCCTGCCACGTTGGTTTACGGTCGTTCTTCTTCCAATCGATGATAAGCTTCAAATCCGGATCCCTTTCCTGGTCTTGTTGAACCTCAGCGGATTGCCAATGATCATCCACGATTGTAGTTCTGCGAACAAACACATCCTTTTCTTCGGCCCTGAGACAATGTTTACAGTCTTCCGGGCACGGTCTTCTTGACAAGGCGTCAGCATTTCTATGGATGGTCCCAGCCCGATGTTCTGTGTCAAAGTCGAACTCCTGTAGTCTCTCAATCCATCTTGCTACCTGTCCTTCAGGATTCTTGAATTGCAAAAGCCATTTTAGGGCAGCATGATCCGTTCTTAGCAAGAATTTTCTTCCATACAGGTACTTGTAAAAGTGTTCGACTGCCTTTACCACTGCCAACAGCTCGCGTCGAGTAACACAGTAATTTCGTTCTGGTTTGGATAAAGTTTTACTGAAGTATCCAATAACTTTCTCCTTTCCCGCTTGAATCTGCGACAAAACAGCTCCCAGGCCCACATTACTTGCGTCCGTGTCCAAAATAAATTCACCATCCGGAAGAGGATAACTTAAGACTGGTGAGCTGGTCAACGCGTTTTTCAGGTTCTTAAAGGCTTCTTGGCATTCTTCGTCCCATTGGAATCGTCTTTCTCCCTCTGTTAAACGTGTCAAAGGCTTAGCAACCTTTGCGAATCCAGGTACGTACCGCCGGTAGTAGGTGCATAATCCAAGAAAGCTTCTTAAGTCATGTTTGTTTTTTGGTACTGGCCATTCCCGCACCGTCTTCACCTTCTGTTTGTCCACTGCCACTCCTTGACTCGAAACAACATGGCCCAAATACTGCACTTCCCTCTGGAACAAGTGACATTTCTTCGGGCTTAGCTTCAGGCCGGAACTTCTTAAGCGCTGAAAGACTTCCTTCAGGTTCTTCATATGGTCCTCAAATGATTTCCCAACCACAATGATGTCGTCAAGGTACACCAAGCATGTCTTCCAGGATAGTCCCTTTAAAACCATTTCCATGAGCCTTTCAAAAGTTGCAGGGGCATTACATAGTCCAAACGGCATGACAGTAAACTGCCACAGTCCAGCACCCACGGTAAACGCCGTCTTTTCTCTATCTTCTGGTGCCATTTCAACCTGCCAGTAACCGCTTTTCAAATCCAGAGTCGAAAATATTTGGGATCCAGCCAATGTATCCAGGGTGTCATCGATCCTAGGTAGAGGGTAGCTGTCCTTCTTCGTCACGTTGTTCAGCTGACGAAAATCGACGCAAAATCGAGTTGATCCATCCTTTTTCTTAACTAACACCACTGGGGAAGACCATGGGCTGTTGGATGGTTCGATCACCCCTTCCTTCTCCATTTCTTGCACAATTTTATCAGCTTCCTCTCGCTTGGCAAGTGGTAGCCTTCTTGCCGACTGTCGAATGGGCTGTGCATCACCGGTGTTAATTTTATGCTGGACAATTCTTGTCCTACCCTTCTTTTCTTGTCCATCATCAAAGACGTCCTGATAGTTGTGTATCAGCTCTCTCAGCTTTATTCTCTCATTTGGTTTTAAGTCCTTTGAAGAAGTCGAAAGCAGAGTCGTCAATTCATTGCTAATTTTCTTGGCCGGAACTCCAGACTCACGAATGCTTCTAATAATTGAGGAAACAGAGGAACAGTTCCCCAAAACGATTCCTTTTTTCAAGTTCACAGAGTAACCATTAACATTCAATACTCTTACAGGCACTTCTTTTCCGACACGTATTAAAGTCTTCCCTACTACAACTCCTCGACCGACCTCTTTGTCATCAATTCTCGGCTCCAGAAGCATTATACTTCCATTTTCTGATTTACAATCCAAGAAAGCCTTCAATATCATCTCGCTGTGTTCCGGTATCAAAGCATCTTCTGTTAGCATTACACGAATATTCTTTTCTTTTGATCGATGCAACACGACTTCTTCTCCATTTACTCTCAATATTCCTTGTTGAAAGTTTAGTTCAAATCCTATAGAGTTCATAATGTCCATGCCTACAATAACTTCATCTTCAATATCTGCTACTAATGCTCGATGTTTAAATTTCGTGTTTCCTATGACCATCGTGATGTCCACTTCTCCATGAACAGTAGCAGTATCTCCTGTTGCAGTACGTAGTCGCCGATTGGTAGATTTTATCTTCGACTTTTCGACAATATCTGGCCGAATAATTGTCTTCGTCGCACCTGTATCCAGCAGCAGCACATGTAACTTTCCATTAATAAAGCCATCCACAAAAACACTGCTGGACTGATGTAGAAGAGATGCGACACGTTCGATATCCTCTGGGGCATGCTGGTTACAGGTCGACGGTTGCCCCTTTTCCTCGACCCTATCTAGTTTTCCGACTTGGATGAAGTCGGCGCCTCCTGGCTTTCTCTGCAACGACTTCGTATATGTCCGAGCTTTCCACATCTCCAACACCGGATTTCCTTCTTCTCTGGTAGGTTTTCTTTAAAAACTCGCCTGATTGCTTCAATTATTCTGGGTTCCTCCTCTTTTTCTTCCTCGACTCTCCTTATTCTAGGCTGGCTCCTACAGCTCTGCTTTGCCGCCTCGAATTCCAAAGCTCGAGCTAATGCATCAACCAATTGGCTCGGACGAGCCAATGTCAGAGCCTGTCGTGTTTCATTGTCCCGAAGTCCATCCAAAAAGGCTTGAACCGCTAATCGTTCCATAACGGTCGTTGGAGTAGCTGGATATGCTAGCCGGGCCAAGCGTGCAATATCAGCCTCAAATTCTTGTAAAGTCTCGTTCGATTTCTGGCAGCGATTCTTCAATTGGGAATGGTACACATGTTCCAGATGTGTCTGGCCATATCGAAGTTCCAGATGTTTTACTAACGCTTCGTAATCTTCTTGTTCGTTTGGAGAAAGCGTCTGCAAGATGTCCGTTGCATCTCCGCGTAAAGCCAGAGTCAACGCTGTAGCTTTTTCTTCTGGTAGCCAGCCATTTGCTTTTGCTGCTGCCTCAAACTGACGGATGTAGTTGGTCCAAGAAGTTTTTCCATCGAACTGAGGTGGTTTCATCCGGAGTCGGCTCCCCTCCTGCACTGTTCCTGGTTCCGCCAGCATCATGGGTAGATTTACAGCTTTTAATTTACTATTTATTTCTCTAATTTTGACTTCCAATTTATCATCCAATTCCATCCTTACTTCATTCAATTCCATCCTTACGTTATTTAATTCCATCCTTACATCGTCAACTTTCTGTCCTACTTTCTCTTCTAATTCATTGACATTATCTAGAATCTTCCCTTCCAAATATTCTTTTAGGTTTTTAGAATTTTCTAGAATTTTCTGCTGCAGTTCGCTAGAATTTTCCAGCATTTTCTGTTGTAAATTGCTAGAATTTTCCAGCATTTTCTGTTGCAAATCGTCCTTTAAATCGTTGACATTTTCTAACATTTTCTGTTGTAAGTCGCTAGAATTTTCTACCATTTTCTGTTTTAAATCGTTAGAATTCTCCAACATTTTTTCGTTTAAATTTTGCAACATTAACTGCATATCACACGGGCCTTCAAATAAATACGTATCTGGATTTTCACCTTCCTGCTCCAACGCTTCTCGAAGCCGCTGCTGCAACACATTCTTTTTTCCAGTTGTTTCACATTCCCTTTCTTCCAGCTCCCGCTTAAGGTCCGCCACTTTTAAGTCCATTAACGAAACCATTTTCGCGAAATTTCACACTAACCGCACTCCTGACACCAATTGTAACGTTTTTAACTGTTCGTAGTGTGAATTAAAACACGCACTGGTTAATTAACGAACTAAACTATTTATTTAATAACTTAACTACACTTAAAACACTATAAAACTAACTAAACACTTAACTACTAATTATTTATATCACTACTAGTTATTTATTTGCACTTATATTTATTTATTTCTTCGCAAGTACCCAAAGCTCAACTGACTGCCGTGTACTGCTCCGTTTCTTATATATTCAGCGCCAAGGTCTTCTGGAACATTCCAGCGAGCTCCACACTCTCGATTGTTCGAGCGCTGAGTCACCGGCGATGACTCATCGGCGATGACTAACCGGCGATGAGTAATCACTCCGATATCCAGAGCGGTACTCGCTACATTATTTTTAAGGCTCTTTCGACGGCCCACTAGCGCCGTGATTGTGATATCGAACCTACCGAAATTTCGGTATTTCTACCTAAATGGCAACGGACCTACCAAAATACCGAATACAATTATAATTATGTTTTTACCGATTTTTGGCAATAATAACGATTTTACCCTTTTTGCCGATTCATCAATCGCACCCGAAGCTGCTTAAGTTATGTTTAAGGAGAATTCATTCTATTTATGTTTATTTGTTACTAACTTATTTTGTAGTACCTAAAGACTAATAAAACACCGATTTTGTCCATATAAAGTGTTTAATTTTTGTACTTGTAACACCCGAAACAAAGTAAAACTTTATAAAAAAAATAGTGAAACGTTATTTGTGACAGTGATTATGTGGTAGATGGTTAGTAAATATTATACTTTTGGAGGCCTGTAATGTTTCCCTAAGAAAATTCGCTGAATTTCAAATAAATATAACAATGGTCAGGACATAGAGGCAGAATCGTGAAACACCCGAAACGCACACTTTTTGACTTATAAAATCGTTATCCTATATGGTAAACTAATTTTACAATTTAGATAAAACAACTAAAAACGTAGATAATAAGGTACTTTAATTGCTAAAATGTTATTTCAAAATAAGTACATAAAAATATAGACTTTGGTTGAACAAATGTAACACCTGAAACGATGGAATGACCCAGTAACGATTTTGCAATTTTTCATATCATATTATTTGTAACAAAAATATCGATAAAATAGGATTATTGCTTACCGACACTTTCTCCAGCAGCAATGGCAATAATCTTGGATAAAACACCAGCAATATTTGTTCTGATGGTTGGACTGGATTTTGCGTTTTCGTCCAAATGAGCCATTAGTGTTTCTACCACTGTATAAGAATATTGCGCCTAAGACCAGACACACATTATTATTGTTTTTATAATTTTTGCTTTATTATTTTACCTGAATAGAGAACATGATGATACGGAATGTGTGGATTGCAAACTGATTTGGTACCCATAGCTCATGCAAGTCAAAGTGCCTGTCAATAAGGATTGATATGAATATTTCAGTGATGGAAATAAGCTATTGTATTTAAATATTAATGTATTGCCATTACATATAAATAAATTAAATTATTTTAAACAGGTGTTGTAATTTAAAGTCAAACAATTTTACAATTAGGAACTGAATATTTTAATCAATTTTCATATTTTATTTAACATTTGATATTTTATTAATCATTTTAAAATCTAAATAAAAAAATATTATATTTTTAATTATACAGAGTATATTTCGTTATTTTAGTCAATAATAAAGTAATTGGCAAAGTGGGCATTCCACGGTAATCGGAAATTTCGTCATGAATTTTACAATACAAAAGGTTTCATTAAAAATAATGATAATAACTTATATAGGTATTATCTTAAACTATTAGTGTGTTTAGATGTAAAATAGTGCTAGTAATGTACAATATTTTATTGATATATTTATCAGAACAAAAATTATGCATAACTTTGGAATGTCCCAAACTTTCTTGAAAAAAAATAAGTAGCTAACATATTTTTCTGATTTATGTAAATAATTCTTAGTTTTTAAATTTTAAAGTGTAAATGTACTTTAAAAATTTAAGGGCAACTAGATAGATATAAATTTAATTTTACAAAAGGTTTTATGCGGTTTTACGTCAACATGAATTTTGCGTCCGATTTTAGGGTATGTAAGCAATTACAGTAGATTTATTGACAACAATATATGTATATACAGTGCTTGCAAATCCAAGTCCGACCACACTGGAAAGGACCGCTGTTCAATACCCGCGTGAAAAGAACAAGGATAGAACGCCAAATAGAATTTGATTGGCCAGCCGGCAGGCTACGACAACGCATACCCATCGCGCACCTCGCAGCGTGCTTGACACGAGGAATCCTCGTCGAGGATATCAGAACGAGAACTGCAGTGGTGCCAGCAAGAGCCTCTTGCCAAGAGGTAGTAATTTTAGTAAAAAAGATTATTTAATTAAAAAATGTAGGTACACGTTGGAACAAAAAGTTCAGATTTTAATCTGGCATTTTGCTGGTAATTCTGAACGAGAAATTCAAAGATTATTTGCGGGAATGTTCGAGGCCAGACCAAACAGAGAAACAATTCGACGAACCGTTAATAATTGCTTGTTCGAACATTTAATTTAATTTTTCAGTTTATTTATTTTTAGAGTTTTATTAGACCAGGGTCGATAATTTTTGAAACCAAAAAAAATAAAAGTAGGATGAAACCCATTGGAAAAGGAGAAGAATATAATAAAAATAAAAGGAAAAATAAATTACGGGCGATCTGACTTTGGGAAGTGGGAGGGGGGGTTTTAAGGGTAAAAAATGGTTTATCTCGATTTCCGGTAAAACTACAAGTCCTATGGAAAAAAGTTAAATGGCAAAGTTGTAGGTAATAAAAGGATCTACAACTTTTGTAATTACAATTTTTTTACATAACCTCCAAATTTATGGGAAAAATTCAAAAAACCAAGTTTTTGGTTTTTTATTTTTATCTTTTTCAAAAAAAAATTTTTTTCCACGAAATTTGGTGAAAACTTACCTTTTTATGTCCCAAATACACTGTAATTTATTTGATTTGAAATATTTATTATTTCGCCTTATTTTGACTTAATATCAAAAAAGCACCCTAATTTTCAATCGAAAATTCTCGCGTCAAAATATCAGCTTTTTTCAAAAAGTCGGTGTGCTTTTTGTTTGTTGAAATCTCTACTTTCTGATGGTGTAAAAAAATATACATTACTATGGTAAATGTTCTCAGAAAATGCAAAAAATATTATAATGAATAACGAAAAAAACTCGAATTCGAAAATTTATTTTAATCATTATGTACAATTTCATCAAAAAAATGTGATTGTTGCAATTTTTTTAGTTAAAAAGTTTATTTATTAAATTCTAATAACATTTATGTCAGAAAATCTCATAAAATATAAAAATACATGTAAATCATACTATTGAATTTAGATACTTCATTCTGATTACGATTGATTGAAAATTAGGGTGCTTTTTTGATATTAAGTCAAAATAAGGCGAAATAATAAATATTTCAAATCAAATAAATTACAGTGTATTTGGGACATATTTTTATTTTTAGTTATTTTTATTTGAGAAATCTTTTTTATTAAGAATACTATTTTTGTTGTTGCCCTAGTTCTCAAGGAAAAAAATCAAAACATTTTATTTTTAGGATTCGGGTATAAAATATTTAAAAAGAAAATTAAAATGTGCATCTCCACTCCAACGCAGTTTGCTTAACACTAAATCATTTAGTCTAAATGCAGCCAGAGACTCTGGCCCAGAGTTGACCTCGCTTACAATTCGCACGCATCCGGGGCTCTGGCCAATCAAATTCTATTTGGCGTTCTATCCTTGTTCTTTTCACGCGGGTATTGAACAGCCGTCCTTTCCAGTGCGGTCGGACTTGCTCAATATCTCGAGAAATACGCATTTCACGGAAAAATGTCTTAAATAAAAGGTTAATATAACCAAAGAGGATATTATTTGGTGCTACCGCTAGCCACCCCCTACCCCTCCTTAAGGGTGAAACGGGGGGTAACTTTGGAAAGTCAAATGGAATGACCCGATTTTTTTCACAGAGTTTGGTAGTACATAAAAAAATGAATAACTTTTATTTGAAAGTTTTTTTCAATTTATCAACAGATGGCGCTGTAATTCAAAATTTAAGAAAAAGGGGGTTCCTTGTAAAATGTATTATTTGAAACGTTTGAAAAACAAAAATTAACATTAAATCAACAATAGTCGGCTCTGAAAACAATTTATAACAAATGTTCGAAATGTCGTCCTTCCATTTCGACACCAAGTGGAGCACCAGCGTCCCTGGTCGGTAAACGTTTGGTGCGGTACCTTAAGCGAACGATTAATCGGACCCTTCTTTATTGACGGTGCATTAAATGGCGAAAAGTACCGGAATTTTCTAGAAAACTATCTGACGGACCTTTTGGAGGATGTACCACTAGCACGGCTCCAAAATATGTGGTACCAGCAAGATGGTTGTCCTGCACATTATTCGACAATTGCTCGATCGAGAGTTCAATGGCCGGTGCACCGCGGTGGATCGGTAGACGTGGTCCAGTAATTTGGCCTGCTCGATCACCTGATCTTACGCCACCAGACTTCTTCCAGTGGGGTTACTTGAAAGAAAATGTTTACGCTGCAATTCCTACAACTTGGGAGGACATAGTGGAGCGGACCCGACATGTTGGCGCGTTGTGTGCCAGAATTCATTACCCGCATTCAAAAATGTGTTGAAATGGAATGACGACATTTCGAACATTTGTTATAAATTGTTTTCATAGCCGACTATTGTTGTTAATGTTAATTTTTGTTTTTCAAACGTTTCAAATAATACATTTTACAAGGAAACTCATTTTTCTTAAATTTTGAATTACAGCGCCCTCTGTTGATAAACTGAAAAAAGTTTTAAATAAAAGCTATTTATTTTTTTATGTACTACCAAACTCTGTGAAAAAAATCGGGTCATTTCATTTGACTTTCCAAAGTTACCCCCCGTTTCACCCTTAAGGAGGGGTAGGGGGTGGCTAGCGGTAGCACCAAATAATGTCCCCTTTAGTCACAATAACCTTTTATTTAAGACCTTTTTCCGTGAAATGCGTATTCCTCGAGATATTGAGCTGTCTCAAGTTAAAAGAAACACCCTGTATATACGTTTGAAAAATACAAAAAAATATTCAGGCATTCTATAAAATATCTGTTATTTAGAAGAAAATCATTAAAGTTAGTCATTTTTTTGTTTTCAAAAAATACTTTGATTTATTCTACTTTTAATACCGCAATCCCATCAACTTCTACTAAATTTATGATTATTTTACTGAGAATTGAGCTTTAGTCTCCTGGTTGATATAAAATTTGTACATATTATGTCTATAAATAAATATTATTAAAATTTCATTTATTAATTATTATTTTTGCTTGTTTGTTCTTTTGAGATAAACTTTTTGCATCTTAATGTTTATTTATTTTATTTTAAAAACAAACTTAAATAAATCAATCCCAATTGGGAAAAAATAAAAAAAAAATAATATAAAAAAGTTGGTACCTTATGGGATTTGCGCTATGCAGAATAAGTCAAATTTTTTTAAAAACAATAAAATAAAATTAAAAACTAAACTTTATTTTTTGAAAAAACAATTTTAAAAAATTATGAGCATTGAAAAAGGACCATTTAAATCAAAACAAAATTCTGGTTGAGTACTAATGCCAATAACTTATTAATGTGATTTTCACTTTTGTTCCTTCATTAATTAAATTGTTTTTTATTTGGGCAAGCTCAAGTCATTATAATTTTTCATATTTTAGTTTTGCCAAACTTTAAAGCCTTATAACCAAAAAGTTTTTTTCTTCCTACCCTATGGTATTTTTACCATCTTTATAGGGATGAGAAAGTAGGCTTTTTTACGACAAGCCTTGCAAAAATAATCACAAATGCCTAGGTAGTAATAATTTTGTTTACTTTTTCAAATAGAGGGCGCTATAATATGTTAAATTAAAATTAAAAAAATAATATTCTCATGATTGTTATGAACATTTTTGGTTCAAACAAAGGCTGTTTTCTTTCTATAGAATAATCCTGAATAAGCCTGATAAAATTTAATATCAGCAAATGAGCAATTCCACGTTACTTCGCAATTTTTGTCGCGTCCGTAATAATAAGAAATTATGAGTAAAAAATACCGTTATTATGCTTATAAGCTTAATAAACATTTTTGGTATTTTTTTGCAGTCACGTTGTGTAGGAAGAAAAATAACGTGTAACTTCAAAAGTGTACAGGCTCATTAAAGATCGCGTTTACATTTCTTCTTTCAGCATGGAAAAATATTACTTTACTGCCTAGGTACAATATACTATTTTTTGAAATTCTGAAGCTTACAATTACTTTATAATATGTATGAAGTAAGTGTGGCATTAGGGTGGTCCTTAATAAGGTTATTTTCAAATTTCTTTGCTCCCAGGGGCTCAAATACTTCCAAATTGATAAAAAAAAATTCCCTGAAAATTTGAGCTCTTAATATTAACTCTAAGATAGTGCGCATTCCAATCTAAGTTTCCTATGGAAATAACATAGGAAAAATTACTTTTGTTGTTTATAATTTTATAACTTGGGAACGAATGAATTAAAAATTATAAATTATACATATTTTTATAGATAATTTAACGCTCTAAAAAAAAGGTCTCTTATAATTTTTCCATTAGTCTATTGGTTTATAAGTTATTCAACGTCAAAGTTTAATTTTCATATTATTATTAATATTATAAAGGCTTTTTTATGAGGCGCCGTTTGTGTCAAAATTAAAAGTGCTAAATAAACTTATTTTGTTTTATAAATAATTAATTATATGCTTTACCAAATAATTTTTTTATAAAATAATTTTTTTTTTCTAAAAAATTTTATAAAATAATTTTTTTATGAAATTATTTTTTTATAAAATAACTTTTTTTAAAAATAATTTTTTTTTTAAATTATTTTTTATAAAATAATTCTTTTTTATAAAATTATTTTTTTTTGATTTTTAGTTTTGTTTTAAGAGAATTGATTTATTTATTTTAATTTGTTTTCAAGAGAATTATTTTATTTATTTATTTTAGTTTTTAACAAGTGCTTTTTTTATAAAAAACGTTTAAACATAAAGAATTCTTGTTAAAAACTAAAAATCAAAATAAATGTAGATAAAAAAATTAATAAATTAATGAATAAAACTAATAAATTATTATTTTCAATCGTTTCCCCCGAATTGCGTCAAATAAAAGCCCAGTCCGTCATAAAATTGTATGTGGGGAGGGGCGTTCGGGTTTACTCGAGTGTCTACAAACAAATAGAGATGGCTGCAGTAAAAATTAATTTATAAATGCGCCCGTCGTCTTTTATTAAATAATTTTTGATTCGAATTGAAAATTATTTTATAAAAAAAATAATTTTATAAAAAAGAATTATTTTATAAAAAAATTATTTAAAAAAAAAATTATTTTATAAAAAAATAATTTTATAAAAAAATTATTTTATAAAAAAGTTATTTTATAAAATTTTTTACAAAAAAAAATTTTGTTAAAAAAATTATTTTATAAAATTTTTTACAAAAAAAAATTATAAAAAAATAATTTTATAAAAAAATTATTTGGTAAAGCATATAATTAATTATTTATAAAACAAAATAACTTTATTTAGCACTTTTAATTTTGATACAAACGGCGCCTCATAAAAAAGCCTTGATAATATTAATAATAATATGAAAATTAAACTTTGACGTTAAATAACTTTTAAACAAATAGACTAATGGAAAAATTATACGAGATCTTTTTTGTAGAGCGTTGAATTCTCTATAAAAATATGTATGAATTATAATTTTTAATTTATTTGTTCCCAAGTTATAAAATTATAAACAACAAAAGTAATTTTTCCTATGTTATTTCCATAGGAAACTTAGATTGGAATGCGCACTATCTTAGAGTTAATATTAAGAGCTCAAATTTTCAGGGAATTTTTTTTTATTAATTTGGAAGCATTTGAGCCCCTGGGAGCAAAGAAATTTGAAAATAACCTTATTAAGGACCACCCTAGTGTGGCATTTATAAACAACTTGTATAATAATAATATTATAATTATAATAATATATTTTTTGTGATTATTTACCTTAAGACAGGCTGCAAAACAGCCCTAATATGTCCAAATGAAGCCCTTCCAACCAACTCCCTCATGCAGGTTTCAGCCAGCATGGGAGGATCGGTAGTGTCTTCTGGTGTAATATCTGTAGTCCCTGGATCCTTAATATGAAATCCTGAATCCTTAATACAAAAAAAATAAACATCCCATTTAAAAATAAAAATGTTTGCACCTACTTGCATATTAAACAATAAACTAGGAACAATTTTGTCCATATGCACAGGTTCCCAAATATTTTCCACAAGATCATCAGACACAGTTTTTCTAACCACTGCCTGTAAACCTTTTATACCAGCTGTTCGTATTTTATTCCTTATCTCTGGCTCGTCACCACTGTGACACATCGCTGAGAATTTACTCACAAAGAAATCATACCTCCTATGATATGATGGAGTGTCTTCTTCAATATTTGCAAACTTAACAAACTACAAAAGTAATCTATAAGTTTTGTCTGCAATAATAAAACCCTAAGCAACAAAAAATTAAAAAAATGTCTTTTTAAGATTGCCTTTTATCAACAAAATTTTTTTTCTTAAATAAATAGTTTTTAGTGACAAAAAAAATGTAAGCAATTTTAAAATTGAAATGGACTTTTTCTTGCTTAGTTTGCAAAACTTACCGATTGTGTTGCTAATATTTGTAGCTCTGGTTCAGTTGACTCAAGTAACTTTTGTACCATTTTCAAGAAACTTTCTACAAACAAATTCAATGTGGGTGCATGGCAGGCCAATAGAAGCTGATCCATCGCTTCCATTGCAATAATGACAAATCTAAAATAGGATTCCTATGTAGCCAGTTCATTACCCTATTGATTTTATTGCATGCAGGAATAAAATTTAAGTATATACTTTGTAGACATAAATGTTTTAGTTTTATTGATTTTGTAATTTCTGGCCTGAATAAATTATTGCTCATATTAATGGCACAACATTAGTACATTGTATTGTATTTTATAATTAATTAACCTTGATAAATACTAATATTTATACTTCATGACATAATAGACATATTATGAGAAACCATGATCTAAACTTAGTATACATGTTTTTATTAACCTTTGGAATATATATATATATATATATATAAATTATAATTATAATAAATTTAAAATGGCATTACCCATATTTCTTTCGATAGATATCTCTAGCTGCTTTTTGATAAAGATACTCTCCAATCCTATCCAATTTTTCTGGCGAACTAAGAGAGTAAAATGTGAGTTTTTCCATATTAGATTTAACCAAACCATCGTGAGGGTTCACAGGAAATATATTGTCAACTAATCTCTTATATCTTGGTCTAAAAGCACTACAACACCCACAACAGCCTAAAAAAAATATATAATAAAGTTTTTATATCGTTAGAATATTATTTTACCGTTCCACATTGTGTACACTTAATTAATTAAAACTAAATAAATAAATAAAAATAATAATGATCCCAGTATGCACTGACAGCTACTTAACGAAACATAACCTTCTACTGTTTTGCTGTGTTGTCAACTAAACGTCAGATAAATAAATAAAACCGTTAAAAAACACAAAATTCAAAATATTTTTACAAGGGTATTATGGCACGATTATATAATAAACTTATCAACAATATAATAAAAAAATCAATAGGACATGCAAGTAATTTTGTTGTTAAAAAAAGACATTTGGCAATGTGCATAATACGGATGACATCTGTGTGTGTCTAGGCCAACTAGAATGTTGTTGTGGTTTGGTTAGATGGCGTGGATATTCAAAATCTGAACGTTTATTGAAATCCTTCAAGTTATTTGGAAAATGGGCAAGTTTTCCTTAATTATTATTTTATATAACTTACAACCAGGATCTGTACATTTCTGTATAAAGGTGTCCACAAGGTCCGATATTTCGGGCGCGTCAAAGCAACACTTGACTAAAGACATGTTGAATATTACTTATTTGTTAAATTATTTGTACTGTTAAATTTACTACTTTTGTTAAGGTACGCGTTCTCACTTTCTCCTAATTATCAACAGGTGAACTTTGTTAGAAGAAAAACTTGGCTATTATATTAATCTTATTATATAATTAATTATGGGTTCAATTTAAGGCCTAGACTTTAACGATCACGTCATGTTTTTTTAATTAACACACTTTCTAGAAGACGCCTCGACGCCAGGGCGTCCTTGTCTGGACGTCTCCCGACCGAACTGAAATTACAGCGTTTTTGTAACCTATATTTCAGCTGGGCTAAATGCGCACGCCCGATAAGGGATGAGATAACATTACAGAGCACAGAGCACTTTTTGGATTTGTTCGCAAGGATTTCTGTGTAGGGAAGGTCCTTGATATTTTTTGTATTAATTAATAATTAACTTACCATGGCCTCTTACTCTGGTATCAGACATAAAAGGATATTTTTAATAATACCTTTGATTGAGAACCCCAGTCTTCACTCGTTTTTGTAAAAATTAAAGGAATTAGGACTTAATAACATTTTTTATACCTACGTCAAAAAAAGTTACAAGGTGTTTAATATTGCACAGCCCTACCCAGTTCATTTTTGAAGTTTTTTATGTTGGAATTATGCTTTTATGGGAAAACTTAATATCTAATTATTGTTTAATAATTACCTATTAACTTTTCGGATACCCATGCCAAAGTAAGTATAATATACAAAGTACCTATACTACTAAAACGTTATACCCCTTTTGATGTTATATAATTATTAAATATTTATATACCATTTTTTATGGATTATAAGCCACAAAAATAACTTTCAACCTAAAAAAATACAGGGTGTCCCAAATAGTAAAGGTAAATTCCTCTTGAAATTCAAAGTCAAGTTTTTTCTATACAATTTTTTTCGATTTCGCAAGATTGCAGGAGTTATTTAACTTTTAAAACAACTAATGAGAGCGCAATATTTCTGCTCTATCGGACAGGCCCCGTCTTTGAGTAGGCAACCAGATTACAAATAGATAAAATATGTGTTGTGCAAACAATATATAATATTTTTTGTCTTAAGAGAGGTACCGGCACATTTCCGCCTCTGTCCAAACCAGTACTGAACTTAACGACTACAAAAATTTATATGGATAATCTGCCTAAAATGTCTGTTGGTAATTCTACCAAAAATAGTCTTTTAGTAGATATTATTGGACACTCACTCGGAAACTCATAATAATTATATATTATAAAGTTTACATATAGTTTACAATGTAAAGTTTACATATAGTTTACAATGAAAACTATATATTTGTGGATCAGAGCCAAACTGTATTGAGTCCACTTTTTTAATACCACATTACATATTTTTTGTCTATATTTTCCGCTGTTTTCAAAGTTAAACAGGATTTAGTCCTGGCATTTTTAGTTTATTGATATTGATTTATGTTTCTTACAATTATTTATATTTATTTTACATTTATTAAATAAAATAAGCCATGTTAAACATGTAGGTATGTATTAAACGGTTTTATGTGGGATTTTTTAAACAATATAAAACCTCGATTCTGCGATACGAGCATAAATTAAAAACAGGTCGTTTGTGGTATATTTATCCTTCAAAATCCGTATTTGGTAAAGAAAAATTGGAACCAAGTGTAAGGTCAATATTAATATAACGGTTAAAAATTATTTTTATATTAAATTTTATATTATAATAATCTAACATTGATTTATGGTAAAACTTAACTTCTCCAAGTCGAATTTTTCTACAACCTGTGAATTTACTCTAAATCGAATTTTCGATTTTTTTGCCGGTACCTACCTTTCTATTCTATTTGGGTTTCACCGTACCTAAAATTACACTAAAATTAGATGACACATCTATAAAAGTCAAAGAAGACCTACAATTTACTTAATCGATACGATTTAATTTATAGTACGTATGTAGTCTTGAAGATAATAGGATTAAAAGGATATATCGACTGGCATGTAGGTATCTAATATACCTTACAACGCTTAGATTTAGTCTGGATTAATATGGAACGCTGCTAGAAAAAATAGTTAAAAAGGTATTGTAGAAACTTTTAGGTCTTTGTTAAACAGTTTTAGACATGTCTAAAACACATGTGCACATTTTAGACAGTTTTATGATGGTTTTGTGACATTTTAGAGTTTAGATAAGTTTGAAAGTTTCATGACATGTCTAGGACGTTTATATGACATATGTATATCCGGCTATAGGGGGGCATTTGTTTAGGTTAGGGGGTCTGTTATTTCTTAAATTGGCTTTTCTCACTTGGGTATCGTCTACATTATTTATATACAGTCTAAAAAGACGTTTTTGTAAGTAAAGCTTTAAATTTCCTACAAAAATATGTTTGTATGTTGTTGAAATTCTATTTATTAGGGAGTTATTAAGTTTTTAAATGTTATAAAATATAATTTAGACAAGGTTAAACGACATGGCAAAACAAATATATTATTTTAGTATATAAAAACGAATGTGTCTTTGTTTGTCCCGTTCCTATGCCATTCCCATTTATACCAAATTTCATAAAAATCCGTTCAGCCGTTAAATACGTAGAAAAGTTAAATAATTTCAAAAATGGCGAATGCGCCGGGATGAATCATAATTGAATGTCCCAATTAGGGAATGCAATCTTGCAGAAAAATGTACAATCTTGGTATAGCTAGATTTGTAATCTCGCAAGATGTTGGTATTTTGCGAGATCTCGCAGATTTAAGATTAATAAAAAAATTATTTTTATTACAACTTTGTTAGAATATATCGTAAAGGCAAAATAATGAAATAAAACATAAATTAAATAATTTGTTTAAGACCATTCCACTCATTAGTTTATGGACCAATCAGATTTCAGAAAACGAGTGTTTTTTCAGTGTTGCAGCGATAAAACTACTACCTATTTAGGTAAAAAAAACTCGTTTATACGACCAACCAATTGGTTGCTATGCGATAAATAATTGTCAATGTTGACGTTTCTAATTTTAAAATAAAAATGTCAAAAAATATTGGCAGTTAATTCTAATTTAAAAAAAATATTCTTGAAATACCACTCGTAATAAAATTTTTCCTGAAAAAAATTTTGATTTTGATTTTGATTTACTCAAGATTTTTCCTTGGAAATTTGGCTCGTGGCATTAATTTAATACCACTCGCCTAGCGGCTGGTGGTCTTAAAAATTAATCCCACTTGCGAAATTTACAAGAAAAAAACATTCGTATAAAAGTCAAAAATTGTATCGGTAAAATTTTACCAGCAGTGGTATATAATATTATATACGAATAATCATCAAGCTATTGAAGCAAAAAGCATTTATGTTTATAAACAAGACTAAAATTATTTTTTGAAAAAACTATACATTATTTTGAAAATGACTTCCCAAAAAAGACAAAACACACATGGAATGCGCTGCGTCCTAATCTCGCAAATCTTGCGAGATCACGCATGGTTTTCGTGCAAGACTAATCTTGCAGAATTAGTGCGAGATCTTGGTATTTCGAGATCTTGGTATACCAAGATACTTACTTAAAATTTTACGAATACTTTTTTTAGTACTCGTGCCCAGCTCTGGCCTCTAAGTTTATATTTTTTGCTAATCTTTCGAGCTAAACCACTTCCTATATAATTTCAATGTATATTCATTATTATACATTGAAATTGTATAATAATTTGAATTTTGAAATGCATACAAAAATAAAGTCTTTCTGTAGGTATAGTCTTATGAGTGTTATAATATGAAAATTGTTATACGCTTAAAAAAAAAACGTTTATTTTAAATATTATGTTTCTAAAAAATATTATACTATTGCATATTACGGGAATAATAAACTTTTTTCACGTTGTTAGGCATCAGTGATTGGCTGATTTCAATATTAATTGTGATTTAAACCAATCGGGTTTTAAATTGAGATAAAGTGAGGTTGGAAGTGACTAACAGATGTCAATTTTTTTATATACGAGGGGCGACTCTAATGAGGATTAAAATCCAGAGAAACTGAGGTTATAATAAAAAAAAATTTAATTAAAGTAGAAAAAATTTTAAAGCTGACTCCAGCCCGTGGACGAAATAGCATTAGGATATTTTTCGCGGGTGTTGAATAAAAAATATTTTTACAGTGTGGAACTCACTTATGGAATAAAATTCGTTATTCGTTGATAAAAGATTTTTATGATAAACGCTCGGACACGTGAACTTTAGTTTTTTATTCCAAATCTTATAATGATAATTTTAAATTTTATGCCCCCACCATTTCCCCTGCCGCACATTAGGTACCCTTATCTTAAATAACAACCCCACTTTTTTTCATCGAAAATTGATAGTGCACATTTTTTTGAGTATGACGATACCATATAAGTAGGGTTTACTAAACAGTTTTCAATACAGGGTGAATATTTAAAAATTACAAGTATGAATTTTTTATTGTTATTCTATGATTTAGTTTCTTGTGTTGTGGATTTCGCTATTTAGATATTCATGTTTTTTCGCTTTGTTATTGTTTTTTGTTAATGCCATTTTTTGCGTTTGTCCTTTTTGCATTGTTTAAATTTTTATTATTAATGAAACATTAATAAGTGAGTTCCACACTGTATACTGTACTATTTATATATTGAGAAACGAAGATTAGTTGGCCAAATAAAAAATGGTAAAAATTTGGGGCGATGGGTTCCTACGTTTTTTTGGTGTTTTACATTTATTTAATGAATCCCGGCGCCTTCGCCAATTTTGACAATGTTGCATTTCATGCAATGTTTTTATTTTCTATCAATAGGTTTTTACAATTTCTATAATATAATTAATTTCATTATAATCATTACATTACAATGAAAATTATTGATTTAAATACCGAAGTGATTGGAATGTTCTATTGAACCAAATATACAATAATTTATAGAGATGGCGTGCATATGTTAATAAACACACAAATGTAGTTACACATGAAACATACCTAATTACCAGTAACCTAATTTTCATACGCACGCAACTTTAATAGTTTCTTAATTTTAATAACCTTAAGGGTATGTTGCAGTAGGTAGGTATACTTACGCAGTA